GAAATGATCAGCATGCTCGTCTTATCGCCCAAATTTATCGTATTGATCCCCAAACTCGGTCTCAAGTCCTCCTTCTTAAACTTCCACGAAATGTTCAGCGGTTTGTCGCCCTTCGTAACGTGACACGTCACCTGAACTGAGTCCCCATTGAAAATGTCCTCGTCGAACGTGAAGGGACTTATGTGGGGAAGGACTTGAATAGAACAAAAGAAGAAATGTGATAACACATTACAACAATAAAAAAAAAACACACCATTGACAAATAGTTCAGCTGAAAAGTTCACTCGTCCTGCCAAATTCGACGCCACACACGTGTAGAGACCAAAATTGTCCGCCTTCACCGATGATATCGTCAATAAACTAATGCGATCACCAATTTTATTCGCCAAGACGCCCGAATGGGAATAAATGGGCTTCCCATTGTGTGTCCACTTAATCACCAATGGCAAATCACCCTTGGACACATGGCAAGTCAATTGAATACTATCACCCGAATTTGCCTCGCCGTCGAATGAGAATGGATGGATGTAGGGCAGAACTGGAGGAAAAGTGTGATGTGTTTGTTGGATAAAAGTAAATTCAACAGTTGAGAATAAATTACACGTTGATCCTTTAGGGTTGAACATACATAAAACAACTTGACAAATTCACAACTAAAGCCCCACACTCTATATGATAACACACACGCGTAACTTTATCCTCATCATCAATGAAATTGTCTCAAAATACGCAAACGATATTAAATATTTGCCTGCAGCATCACACACAGAAATTTACCATTGACATCAAATACCGCTGAATATTCAGCCTTTCCAGCTCTATTCATTGCCAGACACTTGTAAACACCGCGATGCTCTCCACTCACATTATCAATGGTGAGTGAACTGGATTTTGCCGAGATGCGATTGATAATGACATTCATAGCATCACTGGCGAGATATTCATCATTAAACTCCCACGAAATGTTTATTGGTGAATCACCCTTTGTCACAAAGCACGTAACACCCGCACTGTCGCCCCAATTCGCCGGTTCATCCCCAAAGGAGAAGGGTAGAATTTGCGGTGGAACTGCACAGACACAAGAGGATTGTTTTTGGTTGGAGTGAAAAGTGAATCAAAACATTGAGAATCAACATACAAGACAAACTCTATTACATTGCAAACACTCTCTTTGTTTCATTGAACATTATAAGTGACTCTCTTGCTTCTCTCTCTCTCTCTCTCGCTTTCCATGATTTATGACTTTCGTGCGATAACAAATTATTCATCCCTACGGAAAGTTTCCTCACTCGAATGCATTTCCCAGAACATATATATCTATATATCATTCACAAATGAAGACGAGCTTCTCTTGTGTGCACCAAAAACTTCACAGAGGATTTACAGGATTGCAGGATAATTAAAATTCCCAAGAGGACTTTTGATTCAGTTTGAAGTACATTTTACTAAGGAAGTGATTGAGAATTGTTGTAATCTCTCTTTTGCACACCCTTTTGTGCATAAATTCATTTCCAACATAAACTTTTTGAACAAGTCAAACAGTGAAAAACGTTTCATACATAGGAAAACTATCAGAGTTTCCTCATTCAATACAAACTTCTGAAGCGTAAAATATGAATAAAAAAATGAGAAAAATTCTTTGCAGAATTGTTACACATTTTCCTATGAATATACTGTGCCGTATTTCTGGATTTATGAAGTCACAGCACGACAAAATCAATTCTCCTTTTCAATACTACATAATATATATATATACTGAATAACATATATTTTATACATATGTGAACAAATATCTTCGAAGCAAGAGAGAGAGAGAGAGTCTCAATTGTGTCCAACAGAATGTTTGTAATCAGTGAAAATGTTAAAGAATATCAGGAGCAGCGTTCTTCTCCCACTCTACCATTGACTTTCAGCTCTGCCATGTGACTCACTCGGCCCGCCTTATTGGACACGAGACATGAGAAATTGCCTCGGTGTCTATCATTGATTGCATCGATGCTCAGTGAGCTCAATTTGGCCGACATCTTTATGATGGAAACACCAAACTTCCCATTCGTAATTGTCTCATTGTTGAGACGCCACTGAATCTCCAGCGGAGCGTCGCCCTTAATCACCATGCACTGCACAGCCGTGCTGTCGCCATAGTTGGACGGATCATCGCCGAAGGCGAAGGGCATGATTTGAGGTGAAACTTTTTGGGGGGTGGAAGAAAAAAAGAACACAGGAAAGAAAAATAAAAAAGACAAGAATGATGGAAAGGCAGCAAACCATTAACATTAAGTGTTGAGGAGTGATTGAAACTTCCAGCTTGATTGCTCGCCGTGCACGTGTACTTCCCACTGTTCTCCGCCTTCACGGACGGCACGGTGAGAAAGCTGGATCGATCGCCAATCTTTGTCATCATCACACCCAAGTGACTGACAATTGGACGCTCACGGAAGAGCCAGGAAATCTTCAGTGGCAAATCTCCCTTCGACACATGACACGTCAACTGAACACTGTCGCCAAAATTGGCCTCACCATCGAAGGCGAAGGGATTGATATAGGGTTTGACTGGGTCACAACGAAAGGAAGAACAAAATCAGCATATAAGGAAATAATGATAAGACGTGAAGCTAATACAAAATCCTCTGTCTCAGCTATTGTACCATTAACATGAAGATGTTCTGAATTCTGCACCATTCCAGCCACATTTCTCGCCTCGCACGCATAAACACCCCGATGAATGCCACTCAGAGATTCAATGTTTAGATAACTGGTGCGAGGATTCAAGCGACTCACGGTGAATGAATCCCTTCCCGACATCACAGCCTCACCATTGTGCATCCACCTGATGTCCACAGGCAAATCCCCCTTCGTCATCATACACTGCACGCCAATGCTCTCACCCAGATTCGACGCCACGTCGCCAAAGGCAAACGGCAGAATTTGCGGTGGAACTGATCACAAAATACACACATACAAGAATAACAAACGCACAGGATAAATGGATGGGAAGAAGAAAGGCCAGATGACTAAGTTAATTAACAATCGACTCATTTGCATTTTCGCAATACCATTAACAATTAGCTCTGTCGCATAATCCGTGGCTCCTGCCGCATTTGAAGCCGTACACTTGAACACACCACGATGAATATCCTTAACATTATCAATACTGAGTGAACTCAATCTGGGTGACATTCGGAAAATCGTCACGCCGTTCTCTGAATTCACAAGTGGCTGTCCATTTAGTGACCATCTGATGTCAATTGGGACATCACCTTTAGTCACTGTGCAGTGAACGGCATGACTATCGCCAGGATTTGATGCTTCGTCCCCAAACGTGAACGGAATAATTTGCGGTGGAACTTTAAGAGAGAACACACACAAAGGATTTCAGGGATATTCACTCAGTCACAGGAAAGAAGTGTGAGAGAGAGAAAAAGAAGCTGAAATAAGCAAAATAAGACACCAATGGACAAACTTTCTCCCTCCAAAAAAAAAGTACCATTGATTTTGAGCTCCGAAGTCACTTCTGCACTTCCTGCAGTATTTGTTGCCATGCATCTGTACATTCCTCGATGTCTCCAACTCAAGTTGTCAATACTCAGCGAACTACTTCTCCCACTCATTCTCGTCACAGTGATTTCCTCCTCACCCACAACAACAGGCGCCCCATTGAGTGTCCAGTGGATCTCAAGGGGCAAATCTCCCTTCGGCACCAAACACTGCACACCCGCAATCTCACCCACATTCGACGGCTCAGTCCCAAACGTGAACGGGATAATTTGAGGTGGGACTGATGTTTTATGTTATAGTGCAATACAGGGATAAAAGGAAGAGAAGAGAAAAGCGCTTTTACACACGATGCACAAGTTGCATTTTACCATTAACAAATAACTCAGACTCCACTTCAGTCACTCCAGCAGCATTTTCCACGATACACTTCAGCTTCCCTCTGTGCCCATCGGAAATGGACTCAATGCTCAAAGCACTCAATCTCTGTGTCATCTTCACAATGGTCACACCTCCACGACCGGACATCACCTCCTGGCCATTCAGGATCCACTTGAATGCGAGCGGAACATCACCCTTCGTCACCATACAATTCACCGCCGCACTATCGCCAGGATTCATAGGTTCGTCCCCAAACGTGAAAGGCATGATGTGAGGCGGCACTGGAGGAAGATCAGCGTTTTTTCTTCTTCTTCTTTGTGTTCAACACATAAAGAGACTCAAAAGTGATAAATGGGAGAGTTTTGAGGAAGACAGGAGATAAACTAATATCATTACCGATTAAAACTCCACACAATCACACAAAAGCACCACAGTTTCAACTAAAAGGGACTTTTGCAAACTAATGCCGTATTCGATGACTAATGACTATTCACACTATCAGAGTGGACAGGATATTAGATTTGAGAAGATATTCCGAATTGAATGACGCAATTAATGCAAGGTTTGTGTCCAATTTTGATTTATTTTTTTTGACAAATTCTTCAGCTTTTGACACAATTTCATTGATGCATCAAGCTTGAAATTGACTTTCTGAAAAGAGGCAATTTTTTCTGCCACAAGTGTCACAGATTAAGGACACTTCACTTCATCTGTAATCCTGTCAACTCTGCTCCTTTGTCATTTATCATTGTTGTACCATTCACTCTCAATTCCGCCGTGTATTCCATCTGACCGGCCAAATTGTTGGCGACACATGTGAAATTTCCACGATGCTTCGACTGGACAGTCTCAATGCTCAACATACTAATCCTCTGGCCGCTCCTCGTCAGGAGAATGTCATCCATGCCACTGGAAATCCTCCTGCCATTGAACACCCAATAGATTTCCAGAGGCAAATCACCCTTTGTCACAGCACAATTCACCGTCGCCATCGCCAATTCGTCCACAGGATCGCCAAAGTCGAATGCAAGGATTTGTGGTAAAACTTTCCCAGAGGGACAAAACAAAAAGGCATTAACACAACACAGAGAGAGTGAAATGGAAGAGATGTATAAAGTTCTGACCATTGACATGCAATTGTGCACTCTGATGAACACTTCCTGCACTATTTTCCGCCCAACACGTGTAATTTCCCGAATGACGATCACGCACGGATTCAATGCTCAACACCGAAATCCTCTGACTCGTTTTGCTGATAAGAATGCCATCATTTGTGAACACCTTCCTCCCATTCCTCGTCCAGTAGATGTTCACCGGCAAATCACCCTTGTTCACACTGCAATACGCCGACACCATGTCCATCTCGTTGATGACTTCCGTGCCAAAATCAAAGGGCACAATTTGCGGAAGGACTTTTCAAATTTTTTTTTGTCCAACAGGAGGCGGAAAACGAACAAAAGACATTCCAAAATCATACACAAGGAAGAGTAAGAAGGAATTTTCATCCCACCGTTCACCGACAATTCTGCCGTATATTCAACCTTTCCGCCAGAATTTTTCGCCACACAAGTATAATTTCCACGATGTCGCGCTCGCACAGATTCAATACTCAACGTACTGATTCGCTGACTTGTTCGACTAATCAAAATCCCATCATTTGTCGTGACCTTCTGACCCGAAGTTGATCGCCAGGAAATATCAATTGGAGGATCGCCTTTGTTCACAGTGCAAGTTGCCGAAACCATGTCGTAAAGATTTATCACATCCTCCCCAAAATCAAATGGAACAATTTGTGGCAAAACTGCGACGTGAAAACACAGACAAGAAGCATCCGCATTAATTTTCGCAATCAGCAAACTTACCTCAAGACATTTTTCAAAGATAAAAAAAAACCACCTAAAAATCAATTCAATCAGCGAAATTTTACCCCCTTTTTATCACTTTTCTCTTTCGCCGAAATATATAGTAAAGTTCTTTCCGAGAAAATTCACATTATTTCATGTATTATATATAAATATTGTGCTTTTAGCATAATTCCACCCAGTATAAAAGTGACGTGTTTAACAGTTCTCTTTGTTTCCCTTTTTTCTCATTTTGTGAAAGTGCACAACTTTTGAAAAATTCACAACAAACTTTACAATGCAGTTTCAGTATCATGAATAGATAAAGAATACGTTGTAAAAAGTTCCATTTCAACGGATAATTTACTCTTCTGCATTTCATCCCTTTCATCCACACCCTAAAACACAATAATTATGTGCATGTTAATTATTAGAACGCTAAAGGGGTGAATAAATGCCGACGATCGTGATTCACTTGAGTGGCGATTTTTCATAAATATTCCTTCATTTAAAGTGAATTTGAATAATTAAATCATATTTAGAGACTTTAAAATGAACGCCTTTCAGCGATTTCTCAGCTGAAATTTTATATGAAATTTGAGAACTGGATTAAAAGACTGTGATTTACATCGAAAATCATTTCATATCCGATATTTGTGCGTCAAACTTGAGGAAAACTATAAAGTTTTGTAAAGTTATAAATTTCATTTCGGAAATTTGTCTAATTTACCATTTAAAATTCACTAAGAAAGACACTTTTTTACCCCTTTGCAATTTTTTTATACTTGTCTATCTGACGTCAAAGTAAAAACTCAATCTCAAATTTATGAGAGTTGCAGTGAAAGTTGAAGATTACTTTTCAACCTTATCGCAAACATTCTATGTTAAGCTTTGACTTCACCGCGCACAAATTCATTATAATTCTCAGTAAGAGCGTCACTTTTCCGGGTGGAATCACTGCCAAAGCAGAAGATAATGAGTAAAACTCACCCATAACTTGCACCTCAAGAGCTCCTCTGGCGCTGTAGCCTTCAGCATTCTTCGCCACGCAAGTGTACGTCGCCTGGTCGCTATTTCTCTCCACATTCTCAATAATAAGGGTGCCGTTGGGGAAGACTTTCTGTTTTCGATTGATTGGCAGTGCGCGATTGTCTGCGAAGATAAGAATAAAACCCAATTGGAGTTCATCAAGAGATGTCCACACTTGAGCCTCAAAAGCATGGCAAAAGCAAAGGCAAAGGACACCAACCTCTCTCCCACACAATGGACTCAATCGGATGTCCGGCAACGGGACAAGTGACAATGAGTGTTTCACCGGCAACAATTGCCTTCTTCTCCATCGGTCGAATGTACGGCAGTCCAAAGACATTCAATTTGGCCGAGTGCGTCGCGACGCCCACCTTGCTGCTCGCCATACACTTGTACAGTCCTCCGTCATTTGCATGAATCGCCGTGATGTTCAAATAGGACACAACATCGCCATTCACCGTGACGTATTGGCCCACTTGGAAGCGGTCATTGTTCACAATCTTCTTCTCGTCCAACTCCCACGAGATCTCAGGCGTGGGATTGCCGCCGGCCACGCAGCGCAGGAACATCGACGGCCCAGGATGCAGAACCTGATCGGTGAAAGCCTGACGAATAACCGGTGGATCGACTGGAAAGAAGTACAAAGATGGGAATTAGTTCATACATTCAAAATTATATGCAATTCATTATTGTTTTCTCCCAAATCTAAACAATACATTAATTGACAACTATTAAATATAACTTAGATAACTTCTAAAGCATGTTTAACTATTTAATATAAAACCAGAAGATATTTAGTTTGATAGATTTTCAGAAATCACTTTTGAGAGAACTTAACCCATAGAGTTTTCCATCCAGGAAGACTTGAGACTTGAGTAAATGTTGGAAAGTTTTGCCTTTGGCCACAGTTCAACAGCTTAAACTTTGCCATATATCTTCAAGTGAATTATTAATAAAATTCATATGAAATTGATCACAGAACTTCATCAAATGCACTTTGAGTGCAATCTTAAGAGATTCCAATTTTCTCTCATATCAAAATAGAATAGCTAATTTTCTCTGCTCTTCTAAGGAGAATTATGATATCAATCTCTAATCAGACTGTTTCTATGGCAATCCTTACATCTTCCTCCAAGTTTCAACTCAGCGCTGGCTTCTGCGGATTCCTGGTCGTTGCGAATGAAGCACTGATACATTCCCTTGTCCTCCTTCTTCACCGACTCAATCCTGAGAATGGCATCACTGTGGCCGATGGACTTTCCGTCCTTCATCCACGAAATGGTCTTGATGGGATTCCCTGAGAAGTGACATGTGAACACAGCTGGTCGCCCAAAGTCAATCGTTTGGCTCGCCGGATCAATCTTGGCCGAAAGTGGCGCCGTCACGGTCAACACAGTCTCCACACTCTCGCCGCCAACGGAGTTGTTCACCACGCACAGATACTTTCCGCTGTCCTCCACCACGGCATCCTTGATGATCAGTGTCCCGGAGACTTGCTTCACGCGCTCATTGAGCACCACAGCCTGTTTCCTCGTTGTGCCCTCGATGAATTTGTACCATCTGTGAAATTACGCGGAAGAAAAACAGAGAATTAGTGGAGAATCAAGCTTAAGATTGGCTGTAAAGTTCTTCAAGAGGCATTTCCACCCTCAATTTCCACACCCTCGAGAGAGATGATCAGCGACGATGATGAGTGAATCCACTTACCTTGGATCACGACAAGTGGAAAGAATTACCAGAGAAATGGCCTAAAATTGAACCTTAGCTAAGGAATTGAGCAACTCTACCGATAAACAGGAACTGGATATGCTTGGCCAGGACATAAACCCACGAAAATACTCCCAGCTGAGACGTCCTTCACATCAATAGCTTTCGATGTCACTCGAGGCTTCACAGATCCAACGGGTTCTGCATTAAATACGTTGGAAAACTCACAATTCATGCCTGAATTTACCTGAAACTTGGAATGGGGAACGATTGCGCCAGACAAAGCAGAGATATTGACAACTTCTGATGCACTTTCACTTCTTGCAGTCGATCTCCGGACAATTTGGGAGGAACACTTCCCACAGGCTCTGAATTAATAGCATAATTTAACCATCTATTTAGAGAGTCTTCAAGAATGCCACGGGAAAAGGAAACCCTGTTCATTTGCACCCCCAAAATGACTTTCTTGCAGAGTTTTTTGTGTACCTAAAACTGGGGGTGGGAAAGGATTGTCCCAAGCACAGAATCGACGTTGTACTTCCTTCGCGAATTGTCGCTTCCTGCAGTCGAAATCCTGCTATCTTCGGCGCCACAGATCCAACAGGTTCTGCACACACAGAGAAACAAATCAACGTAAAACAATTCGCAAATTCATGCTGAGAACATTTGGAATAGGGAATTCCGCAGCCAAGAACAGTTACGAATAATAAACGGAAAACAGTGTGCAAAAATGTCCATTCTCTTGCGCGTGAGACAAAATGAGTGGCACATAGAAAAGATGCGGCAATTAATGGTGAAATCAAAAGCTGTGTGAGGCTGTGAATATGATTGCGAACAGACCTTAAGCCGCTCTCAAGTTCAACCCAGTCCTCAAAAGCTCAATTTCCACCACAATATTGTCACATTCTTTCTGCAAAAAAGGACACAAGAGAAAAAATTCCATCATTAAAACACGAAGAGAGAGAGAATCAATGGGAAATGATGTAAGAATCTTATGTATCTAACCTGAAAACAGGAACAGGAAAGGCTTGAGCTTGACACAAGAGTCCAAAGCTGTGATTTACAGCACGAATAAAAGTACTGCTTTTAGAATCCGTGTTAAAAGCTGGTGATTTCCACCCAACAGGCTCTAAGAATAATTAATCCAGCATTAATTCAATCAAAAATCGCAGAAAATCAGCCTGAACATTGGGATTTGGTGGCAATTCTTCATCCTTTACCTGAAAGCCGGCACAGGAAATGACTGAGCTTGACACAAGAGAGCAAAATTGTGACCAACTTCTTTCTGAAAGCTCATGCTCTTGAGTTCAGTGGAAAATGACGGCGCTTTGGCACTCACAGGTTCTGTTCAAAAGGGACACAAAGAGGCTGTTTATCGCATTCCTTAACACTCTATTAATTGGGATTTTTCACCCTGTTGCGTATTTTTTGCCAAAGTTTTCCGATAAGCAACCGTTTATCCTTGACATTCACCTTATAATCGGAACAGGAAAAGCCTGAGCTTGACACAATAATCCAAAGTTTTCACCAATTCTCCTCCTGTAGGAAAACCCCGTTGCTTCTGTGCTAAAGGTTGGCGCCTTTGCTCCAACAGGTTCTAAAGTCATTCAGACAGAGAGAGAGAAAGAATTGCAGATAAAGATAAGATAATGCGTAAGATTACCTGATGAGGGGAACAGGAAATGCCTGAGCTTGACACAAAAGCCCAAAATTGCTTCCGACTTCTCGCACATAAGCAGATATTTTGGAGTCCGTGGAAAAAGTGGGAGCTTTTGCTCCAACAGGTTCTACACAATTTGCAAAGGAATAATTGGGAAATCAATCAATAACTTATTTTTATTTAAAAGAAAATCAAATGTCCTGAATATTGGAATAAACAGCCCTTGGAATTCACCTTATGAAAGGCACAGGAAAAGCCTGTGCTTGACAGAGAAGAGCAAAACTCGATGCCACAGGACGCACAAAAATGCTCCCTTTGGATTCTGATGAAAAAGTTGGCGCTTTTGCACCAACAGGTTCTGCAAAAACGAACAATCAAACGTACGAGTAATAAACTTTCCCTCTTGCACAGAATGTTGGAAAAGTGGGTGAAGCCCCAGAGTTTGTCCTAAAAAAAGACATCGTGAGGGACGTGAAAGTATGCCGTTGAGAGGGAAATTTCTGCACATGGAGAAAGGTCAGTGAAAGTTGGAAAAATTCTGCGCATTCGCAAAACAACCCCATTCATTTCTCACGTGGTCGTATTTAGGGATTATATTTACACACACACACACCACTTCCCCGACTTCCCGGATACGTTCAACAGGTTTATCAATCGAAATATCCCTTATCAGCTGATTGTCATCTCAACTTCCGCAGTGCGCAGGACAAACAAACACAACGCACATCGTCATGGTGACGAAATTTCCCTTTTTCCTCCACTCTCTCAACACTCAGCCATCAATGAAATTGGGAAATCTGGCATCGGATAATTTCAGTTTCCCTTCGTCGGTCATTTACCTGAACGCCGGAACGGGAAATGATTGAGCCGGACATAGAAGAGCGAAAGAGTAATTCTGTCTCCTCTCAATTCCGGCAAATTTTATGTCAGTGGACAAAGTCGGAGCTTTAGCGCCAACGGGTTCTTAAATTGTGAAAATGAAATAATCTTGAGAATGAGAATATCAAATCAATCACCTGAATGCTGGGATTGGGAAAGCCTGAGCAGGACAAAATAGAGTCACTGTTTGTGCCAAATGCCTCTCAATCCACGTCTTCTTCACATCGCCACTCGGCAAAGTGGGAGCTTTTGCACCAACAGGTTCTTAAGGGGCGGAAAACACAACACTTTAACAAACACGCCAAAATATTCACCTGAATGCCGGGACTGGGAATGCCTGAGCAGGACAAAATAGCGTGATTGTGTGTCTTAAATTCCTCCTTATCGACTGACTGTGAACATCGCCATTTGGAAGTGTTGGAGCTTTTGCACCAACAGGTTCTTTAGCGATTTCCCGGGAAAGTAAAGTTACAAATTATAGTCATAACTTCTCGCTAAGTTTTCACCTGAATGCTGGAACAGGAAAAGCTTGCGCCGGACAAAATAGCGTGATTGTGTGCAACAAGTTTCTCCGAATTGTCTGACTCTGAACATCTCCATTAGGCAGAGTTGGAGCTTTGGCTCCAACAGGTTCTAATGAAAGGCAAAATGTATCATTTTCTTCTATCTGATATTCACCTGAATGCCGGGACTGGGAAAGCCTGGGCGGGACAGAAAAGCGTTACAGTTTCCTCTAAGTATCGCTTGATCGATAAATTATCCCTACTCGGCAGTGTAGGAGCCTTGGCACCGACAGGTTCTTTAGACAATTTTAAATAGAAAAACCATTATTTTTCGCTTGAAAATCACCTGAATGCCGGGACGGGAAAAGCTTGCGCCGGACAAAAGATTGTTATAGTTTGCAAACGACTTCTTCTGATCCAAGTTCCCTGAATGTCACCATTCGGAAGCGTCGGAGCTTTGGCTCCAACAGGTTCTTGCAAAAGACAATGATTCATAGTTAGATTTCTCTGTTTGCTATTCACCTGAATGCCGGGACTGGGAAAGCCTGAGCGGGACAAAAGAGTGCAAAGGTCTGCATAAGATTTCTTCTGATCCACAATCTCTGAAAATCCTCACTCGGAAGAGCAGGAGCTTTCGCCCCTACAGGTTCTGTAAACCGATCATTTTATTCAGTGTCAATTCCCCACAACCGAAATGCCTCAAATGTTGGGATAAGAATCTTATTAAAACTCCTCGGAAATGCACCTGAAATTAGGTGAGGGAAATCCTTGGGCAGGACACAGCATAGCTGTTGATTCTTTGACATTCACAAAGAAATCTTTCTGCACTAAGCTAGGCATCCTAGGAGATGTACTGGACACAGGCTCTGAATTTAAAGAACGCTTTTGAAATAATGTTTTCTAACACTTCATCGACCAGAAAATGCCTCAATGCGGAAAATTTATCCGGTTTACCTGAAACTAGGAGCGGGAAATCCCTGTGCAGGACACAAAATCGACACGGAAGACGCTTGAGTTACCGAATTTGGCTTGTAAGTTAGTGAATGGATTCTAGGCGCAGTACTGGAAACAGGTTCTAACAAAGAAGGTTTCGTATTAGGATATTTCCCACTATCGATCATTAAAACGCCTCAATTGCTGGGATATCTCAAAACCCTTGAAAGAATCTTACCTAAAGACCGGTAAAGGAAAAGCCTGAGCAGGACATAAGAGAGTTAAAGTTGAGCCACTGTGACCGATAAAAGATCGACTAATATCTCCAGTTGGAAACTTAGGAAGAACACTTCCAATCGGCTCTGGGAAATTCAAGTTACACGATCAATTAACGTCAATCGAAATGCCCTGAATGCTGGACTAAAATACCCTTTGTTTTACCTGAACACAGGTGTTGGATAAGCCTGACCAGGACACAACAGCGTGAAAATCGAGTCGCTTTTCGCAATGACAATCCTCAATTGGTCTAGCAAATTGACTTTAGGACTCACAATGCCAACGGGTTCTGCATAATTGAGAGTTTTTTAGTTACTTCAATTGACTAAATGCCCTGAATTGTTAGGAAGGATACCCAAAAACAGTTGATTTACCTAAAAACGGGCACAGGAAAGGATTGTGCAGGACAGAGAAGACTCAAGTGTTTCCCAATCTCCGCAGGAACAATCATAGATTTGTCAGCAAAACTAACTTTAGGCGAAACACTTCCAACAGGTTCTAGAGAAAAACAACACTTGTAAAGTCGAAAAGGTTTTGACAACGCCTCGAATGTTGGGATTTTTAGCATTTTTCTCGTATTTACCTAAAGACAGGAATCGGAAAAGATTGTGCGGGACACAGTAAATTCAGTTCTGTTCCATTTTCAGCCGTGACAACGACAAATCCAATCTTTTCACCCATGTTAACCTTCGGCCGAACACTTCCAACGGGTTCTGAAGATGCAAAATCGTTAGGAAAAGTCAAGATTGAAATGCTCTGAATGTCAAGATTAGAATATCCTTTGCGAGCTTTTACCTAAACACAGGTATTGGGAAGGATTGAGCAGGACAAAGTAGATTCAATCCATTTCCAACTTCTGCCTGAATCTCAACTAAGAGAATCTTTTCGCCCATGTTAACCTTCGGCCGAACACTTCCAACAGGTTCTAAGGAAGAGAAATCGTTAGGAAAACCTCGCAAAAATGCCCTGAATGTCTTTGGGACAGGGAAAATCCCTGGAAAATTCACCTAAACACTGGCACAGGAAAAGACTGAGCTGGACAGAGTAGATTCAAATCCGTTCCAATTTCTGCATTTACCACAGCGAAGCCAAATTTGTCACCCTGATTAACTTTCGGTCTCACACTTCCAACAGGCTCTGAGAAAAAGAATTTCGTTACAATCAAATTCCACCCCAGAAGACACAAACGATGAATGTTGGGAAAGGTCATCAAATTACCCATTAATTGCAATTACAATTACCTGAAGATGGGAATTGGAAAGGACTGAGCAGGACAGAGTAAATTCAATTCTGTCCCTTCGTCAACAAGAATCACTCCAAATTTGTCACCCTGATTAACTTTCGGTCTCACACTTCCAACGGGCTCTTCAAGTGAAGGGAAAATGAATTTCAACATTAATTGGGTCACTCCAAAATTTGCCTGAATGTTGGGCACTTTTAGATGAGGACAAGAAGTGAAATGTCTTACCGAAAAACAGGAATTGGATATGATTGTGCAGGACACATGAGACTCAGACTTTCATTCAATTTCCCACGAGCAATATTGAATTCATCCGCTAAATTGACTTTCGGACTGACACTGCCAACAGGTTCTGAAGGAGTTTAACAAACGTGAAATTAGCCACAAATTCAAGTACATCACAACTGTTGAATGTTGGGATAGGTTTTGTCACTTGAGCATTATCAAGAAGGCATCATTATTCTTACCGATAAGCGGGCACTGGAAAAGACTGTGCAGGGCAGAAAAGATTGATTGCCTTCTTAACTCGCGCTCTAATCATTTTGAATTCATCACCAAGATTAACTTTGGGACTCACACTGCCAACAGGTTCTGAATGCAAAAGGAAAGAGTCTGTCATTAAGAGTGTGTATTGACAAGTGGATTAGAGAAAGACAGAAAATCCCTGAATGTTGGATCTAATTGACAAATTCAAGTGAAGATTCTCCAACTTAATTTATTCTATTCACGCTTACCGAAATGCCGGCGTTGGATAGGATTGCGCTAGACAGAGTAAACTCACGCCACTTCCCACTTGTCCGCGTGTTATCTTCAACTCATCCGCAACATTTACTTTGGGACTCACGCTGCCAACGGGCTCTAGAACAGCAAATTCACCTCTCTTAACCCACCGGAAAGAAAACCCACCCGAGAAATACACTTCAATTGACCCCAAAAAACCTCCTGAATGTTGAGAACTTTGACACCCTTTTGTGGGAGTTTTCTCCTTTTCTTACCGAAATGCCGGCACAGGATAAGATTGAGCTGGACAGAAGAGATTAAAATTCTTCCCACTCTTTATCTTCTCAACGATAAAGGAATCATGTGTGTTGACTTTAGGTGCAACACTGCCAACAGGCTCTGTAGAAAAGTGGATCAAAGAGCGATTTTAACACTTTCTAACATGATTTCGAAGCCAAAATGCTGAGAAAAAGTACCCTGACGATTTTGCCTGATGGTCAAATTCACTCACCGGAAAGCTGGCACCGGATATGATTGTGCTGGACAGAGCAAATTCAAGCTCGCATTCACTCGACTCTTCTCCGCTGTTAGAGTGTCATGGGCATTGAGTCTGGGAGCGACACTCCCAACGGGCTCTGGAGTGCCAGAAAAAGACACAAAATTGACAATCAAACCACCCACAAAAAGCTGAGAAAGCAAAGATCCTAAAGCCTCAGGAAATGTTGGGATTCGGGGCCAAAGAATCACGACTATCTCACCTAAAGGACGACACAGGAAACGATTGAACAGGACACAGAAGAGCTAAACTGCTGTTTTGTGGTGCAATGACATTTCTCGTTGTGTCGCCAGACATCAATTTGGGTGCAATACTCCCGACTGGCTCTGAATTTGCAACAAGTGAGTGTGAAATTATCGATTTTCCGCTTGGCGCAGAGAATTTTTGTTGTTGGGATGGAGAAAAACCCTCATTGAGTTCGCAACATAAAACATTGCAAGAGAGACTGTAAAAGAACACAATTTTCTCTCTCTCACCTAAAAATAGCTACAGGAAAAGCTTGTGCTGGACACAACAATGTTACAGCATCATTAGCCTGATTCACGAGGACTTTAATATCATTTCCTGACATGAGACGCGGCATTACACTCCCGACTGGCTCTATGAGCAAAACAAATTATGCACTTCCCAATGGTAGTAAAAATTATCCTTTCTTCTCTCTTTTTCTTCCTCAATTTGTGCAATCTTTTGCCATGTTGGGGTAGGAAAACAAATTGCTTTTGCACACAATTTGCAAAATGGGACAAGAAAACCTACCGATAAATGGCAACAGGAAATGCTTGAGCAGGACAGAGAAGAGTCACGCTTTCTCCAGATTTCATATCAAAAGTACTTGACTTGGAAGTGGATGAGAATTTTGGAGAAACTCTTCCCACCGGCTCTAGAAGACAAGAAGAGAGAAAAGGACATTGATAAACTCACACTCAGCTTTGCTGTACGCGAAAAGAAAACTGAGCTTTCGCGGTCTTCAGAATGTGATAAAATCAAATTTTATACATTGGAAATTACATTAAATTCTTTCCAAATCATCAATTTATTCAGTGAAATTTTCAGAGAGAAAAATAACTCCAAAACAATTGTATTTTCTGCACACAACCACAGAAAATATATCTGTGCTTTAGCCCAAGCCAATGAAAATCGATTCAACCCACTTACCTGACATGAAAGTGTTCAGAAAGGACAAAAAGGGACGACAGAATTGGGACACAGGGAAGTGATGGGAAATTTTCTCTTGTGCAAGAAGTCGATCGCCTCTCAATAATAAAACATCAAGAATTCTCTCGGTCTATTTTCAATCTCTCTTCACGAGCAAAATTTACTGCATTTCCTCAAAAAGCCACTCGAGAAGCGAATTATGACTTTTGCCGAGAGTATTGAATTTAAGAGTGCAAAATCACGCGAACGCAACAGGGTACCCTATCCCAACATTCAGGCATTTAATGATCTTTTTCAGCACTTACCAGGCTCAACAGCACTCTGAGACGGCACTCAGAACACTGATGACCAGGCAGTGATTATTTTTCTTACAATCTAAGGCTTAAATTGCATGCAATGTTGACAATGAGAGGTGCGTGTCATCGACACAAAACGCGTGCGCTTGTTCGCACACTTCAGCAAACAAGCTCGAAAAGTGAGATTTGAGGCATAATTTCTTCAGCTAATCGCTAGAGGAGGAAAAGCAAGAGTGACGCGCACCTCCCACAGTGATTAATCTCAATATAATGAAATGAAAGTTGCCAATAGATCTTCTTTTTTCTTCTTGTACTTCCTCTTTTATCAAGTTCAAAAATCTCTTTTCACATGCATTAATTTTACTCTACAATATATAATTGCTTCCTCAAGTGGTTTTATTTTCCATAATCTCTGACTTGAATTTGAAGTTTTTGAATTAGTTCTTTAAGAAACAAGAGAAATTGCCATGAATACTCACCTGTGATGACCAATCTACCCTTTGTTGCACTCAATCGTGTCTCGCCTGTCAATCGATGCTTCGTCCTGCACTGATAACTCTTGTATCCATCCTCAGGTCCAACTTCGCGAATGTGAAGCTCTCCAGACGGCAATACTAAATATTTACCGTCTGCACAAGTGGAAAGAGAAAATAATCCATTAGCGAGAATTGCTCTCATAAAACATCAACAATTTGTATGCCAACAATCAAGCAAATAACATGCATTGAATTCACATTTAGTAATTCTTGAACTTGACAATCAAATATCTCTTCTTCGTGCATTACGTTAATATAAATTGACTTTTTTGTATCTTCTTATCACAAAGCAACTCTACAAGCACTTAATCTCTATGGGAAGGAGGATGATTGGGATGAAGGTAAGCCGTGAGGCTCGTGGAGTGTTCAGGATCAAAGGATAATTCAAGGATGGACCAATTCTAACCGAAAGAAACCACCGAAATTCGTGCAAATTGCTCAAAAAAGAGAGAAAATCCGTTAAGAAATCAAATACAAAATCTCATGTACCGATAATATCTCCAGAGAGATTCCCAGCCACGAGTTCCTCCGATTCGTTCTCTAGCCACGCGGAAACCTCCACGAAATCCGCCACGAAGCTCGGAATGTGACACTTTACGATGGCCGTATTTCCGCGCAAAACATGCTCGTCCATCACATTCACCGAGTAGCTTTGAAAAATAACTGAACAAGGATGGATTTTCAGTCAATCTTTCAATATCAAAGAACAATTTCGCGAAAAGGGATTTATTCATTCTTCAGTGTGTGAGTGGGAAGCAATGGAAGAAGAAGCACAATTTCTTAACAATTTTCATAGTTAATACCAAATCTTGCTTCCATGGAGTAAATCCCACCCTCAGTGTCTGCCCACTCAATAATCTCCACGTGATCAGACACAAAGGAAGGAATGTTGCACTTGAAAATGGCCACATTTCCCTTAATCACGAAAACATCATACACCTGAGCTTCATAGTATTGATTGACAACTGCAAGAGAAAGAGCAACAAGTGCCTGAGAAACTGAATAAGGATAGATTTTACTGGGAAATCATGGGAAAATCTGCGCCATAACTTGTAAAATACCAAAATTATCCTCTTGGCCAATGGATGACGATATCTCAAGCGATTCATCCAAAATCCACGCGTCAATCGATACAAAATCCGCCACAAATGATGGCAAAAGACATTTGAGAATTGCTGCATTTCTGTTCAACACGAATTCATCATTCACTCGCGTTTGATAAAACTGGTTGACGACTTAAAACACAGAGAAAAGAGAAAACAAATAAAGTGAGAATTTAACAAACTAGAAAAGACAATGAATTAATGGACGGGAAGCTGGAGAATCATTTAAAATTTTTAACACAAACAATACCCAAATTATTCTCCTCAATTGACGAGTTAATTTCAAGTGATTCATCCAAAATCCACGCATCGACAGACACAAAATCCGCCACAAATGATGGCAAGAGACATTTAAGGATCGCCGCATTTCCCTTCAACACGAACTCATCAATCACGCGCGTTTGATAAAACTGATTCACAACTTTAAAGAGAGAGTAAAAGAGAACAGAAGAAATTGAATTTTTTAACACATTCAGGACAAGGAATTTCCTACAAGACAATTTCATACAATTATTATAGTTTTTTCACTTCAATACCCATCGCTTGATCATTGCCCGGATAGTAAGTTTGTCCCAAAGAATCCATCCAGAGATCCACAGACACGAAATCCGCCACAAATGACGGCACTTCGCACTTCATAACCACCGAATTTCCCCTGATAACATACTCATTGTCCGCCTCAGCTTCGTAAGGTTGAATTACAACTGTTTAAAGCAGACAAATTGAAAGGCAAGAAAAACAGAGTGAGATTTAATTGATCAAGAGGGAAAGGATTTCTCAGGGATATTCTGATGCCCAAAAGGTTTAAAACAACTCCACGCATTTTTCTCTCCATTTACCAAAGCTACTCGAGTCACTAGAGTAGGTCAATTCTGTGCCATCTTCCGCCAACCAGGCTTCTACGAATACAAAATCCGCCACAAAGGACGGAATCTTGCACTTCATCACTGCCGTATTCCCTCTAATCACGTACTCATTTTCCGCTTCGGTTATGTAAAATTGGGTCACGACTTTTCATACAGCGAGAAAAAAGACAAAGAAACAAGAGAAAAATATAACTTTCATCAAAGAAGGGACGCAAAGAGGGAGGAAATGGTGGATTAATTTTCCATATAAATATATCACAGAACGGAAAAATAACCATAATTCTCCGTTGAAACTAGCACAAGTCCATCCTCATCCACCCATGATTCAACCTTAACGAAATCCGCCACAAAGGATGGAATTGAGCACTTCAGCACAGCAGCATTTCCCCGAATAACATATTCCGTCATAATTTCCGCCTCATAGAATTGATTCACGACTGCAAGAGGTGCAAAAATCGCATTATATGAAACAAAATAAGGGAAGATTTAATGCGATAAAGGGATGGATTTTGGGATCATTTGTCACACAGAGGCAATTATGCACTTTGCGGTTTTGACTCTCTCTCTCTCTCTCTCTTCATCTAACCATAATTGTTTGTGGCCACGAGTTCATTGCCATCCTCATCAATCCACGACTCGACTTTAACGAAATCCGCCACAAATGATGGAATCGAGCACTTCAGCACCGCTGCATTTCCCTTTATCACATACTCCATCAATATATCCGCTCCGTAGTATTGATTGACGACTTAAAGGGAGAGATAATCAATCACTGCATCACACTTCTCACACCCATTTTGCTCCCAAAAATAGAAGCTGTGTTTATGCTAAATTAAAGTCTTTATCAACAGTTGTTGTCGACATTCAATGTATTCTTGTCCCAAATTAAGTCTCCACACTTTAAAAAGGAACTAAAAGAACCAAATAAACGTTAAAAGCCCAGGAAGAATTTCGGTGAGGAATTCTGGAGGAATTTAACCACTAAAAGGCATGATTTTGTATACCAAAATCGTCCGCCGGCAGATATTCTGTGCCATCGTTTGCCACCCACGCCTCAACTCGCACAAAGTCCGCCACAAATGATGGTATCGTACACTTGAGCACCGCCGTATTGCCCTTAATCACATACTCAGACACCACTTCTGCCTCGTAGTATTGATTAACCACTGCAAAAACCCAGACGTGTTGTAAATTAAGTGTAAACGGGAAAGGAACTTTACTTGGGATGCATTTGGGGAAGAAGAAGAGCTCAAGATATTTAGCCAACCCTTGGCATTGGCGTGCAGATCATCCATGGCAGATCCATATGTATTCCCATTGTCATCCTGCCACGACAGGACACTCACGAAATCCGCCACAAATGACGGAATTGAGCACTTTAGCACAGCCGAATTGCCTCTGATTACATATTCATTGTTCACTTCAGCCTCATAGAATTGCTGTACAACTGCAAGATGAGATTTGCAAGCCAAAATATATCAAAATTAAAATCGCCAACACTTAATTGAGGGCATTTTCCAACAATTGAAGAAGAATTTAAAAATAACTCTCAACATCATGAGAGCAAAAACTCTTGCGCCAATTGATATGAAACTCGAATCACTTTCAAAGCATTAAATTGCGTGAATTGAATAAATGGACACAAGAGCACGAATTCATTCCATCTCTCGTAACATCCATGGCAAGTCCGCAGACATAGAAGAACAGCTGATTCAAGCTGCGAACATCGAACTATTGGCGTTCTTTGCATTTTTCTGCCTCCATTTCTCACTCGCCCCACTCTAGAATCGTTGCACGAGAGAATGTCACATTAATAAATCACATTGCGCGAGATAAATAAATAATAATAAAAATTGCAATCGGATTTAAAATACACTTCGCGTCTTCTCTCTTTCTTACAGCATCAATGAATTGGAGTGTGTGTGTGGATAATGGAATTCTCATTATAAACGCTCATTCGAAGTATAAATAAATTACCATAATCCATCCTCTGATGGAAACTCTCATTCTGATCCGTATGCCAAGAAACTATCTCCACAAAATCCGCCACAAAGGACGGAATTTGGCACTTCATCACAGCTGAATTCCCCCGAATTACATATTCTTTATTAACATCCGTGTCATAATACTGGGAGACAACTGAAAAGTGTTTATTTCTTATAATAAAATCATGGATAAATAAGCAAAAAACAGAATTATTTTATTGAGGATAGGATTTCACCGGAAAAGATGTTTCTCTCTCTAAAGTATTAAACTTATAATGTGGAAGAAACAAACCAAAATCCCCATTTGGAGAGAAATTCTCATTCTGATCTGTGTGCCATGAGACAACCTCCACGAAATCCGCGACAAATGACGGAATCAAGCACTTCATCACAGCTGAATTTCCCCGAATAACGTGCTCTTTGTTGACATCAGCCTCATAGTATTGTGCCACAACTGCATTTTTTAGGGATAGAAATGTGTCAATTGTAACTCTCTGTGACACTTTTAAAAATACCCTCTCGACTTTTTGACCAGACAAGACATGTTAGAAAATTCCCTGACGCGACAACTTCATTCTTCCACTTCTTTTTTCTTCTCCCTTTTCCTCCCAACTTCAATTCTGTCACAGAGAGTGAAGAAAAATCAATGAGTTTGTCGTTGTGCAACTCAATTGAGTTCACCAAAATCCTATGTAAAATGCATCGTTTTCCACAGAGTAATCGAAGACAGAACGTAAAAAATGGGTCGCTGCAAGAATATTTCATTAGCTTGAGAGCGCGCGCGTCTCTTGAGTTCTCTGGAAAAAGAACACACATTCGCCACAAAAATTCACGTTGCATGAATTCGCAAAAACTATGCGCGATTTGCTGCTCTCCCCCAACGAATTCATGTCACGGGGAGCGAATAAAAAAGCCAAGTAGCAGCAGACATTGTGTGTGGCGTCTGTGTTGGCCTAACACAGAGAGCCACCATCAATGTGGCATCAAATAAGCACTTACAGTGGCTGCAAATTAAATAGAAACCTTTGTGGGCAGTTTTTGACTCTTTTGTATCAAACAAATTACTCAAAAAGACCTTTGAAATAATTAAAATCAACCAATAAACTAATTAATATTCATTTGTGAGTGATAAGAAGCTCTTTTTAACCCTCAAAATATGTTTGTGATCAAGTTACACAAACTGAGCATGAAATTTATGGTTCAAAACAGTCTTTTTAGCCCACAAATCCAAAGACTTTGTTTTTAAATTACTCTAAAACCTCTGAAATTTCTCAGAGTAAAAGGTTTCACAGTGTCTCTATTCCACTTTTTAACACTGTAACCTCACATGAGTCACTCGTAATTGTAATTAATTCGCCCGATGGTGTCTCCAAAGAACTCTCGCGCGCTCTGTGTGTGAAAGTGTCTGTGTTCCGGACAAATGGTTAACAGTCAACTCACCAGCGCGCACATTCACGTCCCGGGAAATGATGGATCCGATCTGATTCTTCGCCAGACACGCATAGACCTGAGCATGAACTTCCTGACGATAGTCTTCGGCTCTGAACGGTGGGAAGACCAAATTGCCATTCGGTTGTATCTGCAAAGTCAATCGCGCACATTACAGCTCAATTTCCTCTCTCTCTGTCTGTCTCTTTGCCAGAGCTGCAAAAGTCAGAGATGAGAGATTTACCTGACGCAATCCAGGAACATCACCAACGGCTGTGCCATCGCTGCGCACCCAAATTATCTCAGGCGGAGGATTTCCACTGGCCTTGCATTCCACCACGGCTCCTGTCGAATTGGAAAAGTCCACGCGATTTGTTGGCTCTTTCAAGAAAACGGGTCCTTTGAGATCAGCATCAGTTGTCGCAGCTTCCACTGTAAAAAGACACACCAAACAGAGTCACGATCAGTCATTTGTCTCACATCAATCTCAGTACATTATTGCGACAAGTTCAATAGAAAGGTGTGTTCTTTATCTTCTCTCTTTCATCTCATCTCGAAAAGTGTGGCGCAAGACAAAATTCTTCACCACAACAATGCGCTCCCAAAGATCCACATTTATATTCCTGAAGAACGTGAAGTGAATTCCCGTCAGACAGACAACAATTCCAGAAGAGCGACATCCACAATTTCTACCGTTTTCTCTCTCTATGCGTGAGATAAAAGTACAATTAAAAGTGATAAAAAACACACGCAGTCTTTCAACACTTGATGCCATTTTAATGTCTTTTTAACCAGTGTCTCGCACAGCATTTACAAGTGATTCTGCTTTTTCTTCCTAATAATTGTACTAATTCCTCTGCCAACCGCTAATGTGACTCACTTCTGGACATCAAATCTTTAGCGCGACTTTTCATAGTTTTTTCCCAGAACACCGTCGCACAACAAGAATATAATTTACTCCGCGCCAGAGAGAAGAACGAATGTGTTTATTTATCATGATGAGGAATTGTGATATCGTATCTATTTGTTCTTCACGCTGCATCGCAGAGGCCAGAAAAGACACATTTTATGACCTGGCATCCATGGCAGAATCTTCATTTTCCACTCAACACACAAACACAAAACCATCTTCTATTTTTACACCGGCAGCATGAAAACCATGTCATAAATTACAAAAAGAATGCATCCTCCGGAGACATTCACACCAAAAGGGATTTATTGACAAATTGATACACCCTCAAATGCAGTTAAATTCACCTTTATGAACATTCAAAAGTGATTAAAAACAATAAGAAATCAATTTTCATTGGCTATTTGAACATGAGCAAGAAAATTCAATAAAAAATTACATGTTTTTTTTTGGATTGGAAGAAAATTGCTCAAAATGCTTTACATATTAATAATTTCACATTTATTTAGCAAAGTAACAAGTTTTTTTAACTTAATAATAACGAAAACTGAGTCAAAAGTGCTCAAATCATTTTATATTAATAAATTTACTTGAATTCTTCCACCACAAATACTCCCAAATGTGAATATGAGATGAATTTCATCGACCTTTTCTCTCAACATTTCCCTCCAAACCTCAGGGATTTATGGGAAATTGAGGAAGAGAGTGAAAATGAGAAATTGTCGTCACGGTAGAAGTTTCAGAGCGTGTTTGAAAGGGAAAATGACAGAATGAGCAAATGAAAATTCTTGAGGTTTCTTCTCTCAGCAATATAAAACCACAACTCTTCACCATAAAATTTTACTCTATCAATCTGTCAATGAATCTGGTATTGAGAATCGATAAAACAACATGACATTCAGAGCATTCAGATGATTTGGATTGATATTGTGTGGGTCAATTGGGTCAATATTTCTAATCCTCAGATTCATATCAAACATTCACCGCCTTTCTTAGCATACAATTAGCGATAAATTACATGCAAAACAGCGTCCTAAACAACCCTCTTCATAAATTCTGTGAAAAAATCCACACTCGCGCTCAAAATTCCGTTCTTTTCGCTTCTCTTCTTCCAGACCACCAGTCATGTGTGTATTGTTTAACGCTGACTTCCTTCTCCTCTTCTCTCCCGAAATACACTCATTTTCATCATGAAATTCTGGCCAAACAGAGCGACTTTATATTTGTAATGTAGTGGCGACGCATTGAGTTCAAAAAACTATTACAGCAACGCTTTTAATTTACAATCGTGCGTCCAGAGAGTTGACTCAATTACAGCATATTCACACACATTCAAGAAAGCGACTCAAAATCATGACCGCGAGAGCATCACTTTTAATTTAAAAGATAAGGTGAGATAATAGGAAGCTTTCAATTTTTATGGTCGTGTTAATTTAAACAGAAAAAGAGATTTTTTGCCAAGATATATTTTTTTTTCGTTTGGGAATCTCTCTGCATCTTTTCTCACACATTTCGTGTGTGTGTCTCTTGGACAAATTGTTGCCATGAGTATAGAATTTATTGCAACAAATGCGAAGAAGACGAAAATCACGGTGTCTGATTGTAAAATTATACATGTGGAAATTGATGCCATTGTAACTCTCAACGATAGTAATTTGTCAGTTCAACGTCTTGAAGCTCAATTTTCCATTCATTTGACCCATTCGAAGAAACCCAACTTCTTCAAAGCGTCACGACAAAACACACCATCAAAAACTCCCTCTTGAAAAATATGAAGTGTGTCTCTATTTACTTGGACAGTGTCTTCACGGAACGCATGATGATCCAGTGAATTTCTTAACAATAAAGACAAAGTACCAACTTCCGTTTCATCGCGCCTCGAACAATCAACTATCTTACACTCTAGCCAGCGATGTATTTACATAAACACATTCTCGGACACATTTTGTACATTATAACATTGAGTAATTCACTGAGGGATTAAATAACAGTGTTGACCTGCTAATATTTCCACCCTATGAAACAATAACAGCTAAATTCTAATTATTTCCATCAATATTCATACTTTGTGACAGATTTCTCTTGCAAATTATACAATTTTAGGCAGGATTTCAGCTTAAATATTCATCCTGAATCGAAATATAATTGACATTTTATCAACAAAACAGACCCCAAAATAAATAAGAACGCTAATAATAACCATTTTGGCAAAATACTTATTTCCTTAAGAACTTCAAATCACTGATTCACGGTCAATTCTGTCTGATGCATCGAAAGCTGTGCATGTTAAACAACCTGCGCATGGGAATTTTACCTTCTTCTTCTTCACAACCTCACAAAAATTCAGGCAAGAAAGCGACCTTTGCGAAATAAAACCACGGCATTTCTCACACGGCGATTGGTCAGGAGTATCGAACAGCTGTCGCGTGTGAGTGCATTGGAGAAAAAACCAGCAGCTGCTCATCATTTTCATTCTTTTCGCCTTCTCTTGCATCTCCTTCTTCTTCGCTTCCTTCACGAGCACACCACGAATTTCCCACTCATGCTCACCATATGGGGCAAAAGAGTCAAAATACCGGCTCAAAACGCGAGCAAAACGCGCTCATATCACTCAATTGACACCCACACAGAGACACACAAAACGCACACATTCGCCCTCCTCCTCCTCCAGCATCCCGCGCTTCCCACTCGACAGTGTTGCAAGTTGTTCGCATCCGAAAACGCACTAGAAATTGCCCAATATTCGCGCCTCGAGTCTCAAAAGCCGCACATTTTTCTCAACACTTCTTCGCTCCAGAGAAATTGAGAAATTAGATGAAAAAACCCAACCCAGAAACACTTTTTTCTTCATTCATTCATTCATTCAAAACACACATTCAATGTCATTGAAAAATTATTGATTGTGGCTTTACATCACGTTCTGGAATAAATGTCTATAAATACAATAGAGATGTTGTAAAATTGCAATGTATTTGCTTTGATTTGCATTTTATAGCACAGAAAACACTGAATTTAATGGCCACTTTCGACAAAGTGAAGTGATTTTGATGCAATAAACAGTGTTTGGCGTGTTTGGGATTCTCTTAACAAGTCAAAGACTGAGTATTTTAAGTGTTGTATAAAAATAAAATGTGGTCAAAAAGATTTAGACTTTCTTTTACATTCAAAATTGTAACAAATTTTTAAATTATGTAGCAAAATTGAAGCCAAAATCAACACTGAAATATGAAAGAAACATTCAACTTCATCCTTAAAACACTTCTTGTGATATTCGAACAAAGTTCCAGTGTTTAGAAGAGTTGAAATATTAATTTGCATGAAGAGTGTGAGATTTAGAGAAAAAATCAAGTGTAATTTCAGTAATCGTCAATCTAACGCGGAACAAAGAAGCAATTTTCTTCGCTTAACTCAAATGTGAAAAATTGTCCATAAATCAATTGAAAATTTGGTATTTCATAGATAAGTAGAAACGTTTAAAGTGTTCTGAAGTGAATTTCATGAATATTAGTGTTGAATTGCGAAACTGAGAAGTTGCACTTGAGTCTGTGATGCGCGACAATAACATATGGATCCACTTAACTTGTCGCCATTCTCTAACACATTTTCAATATCAAGTTATGCTAATTTCCACACAATATTCGTCATTTGCTGCATCACTTTTTTCCGCACCAGCAAATTCTCCTCACAAAATCCAGAGAATAGTGTATTGACTTTCGCAAAGGGCGTGACACTTTATCGGAAGTCGTCAGTGATAAGAGCGAATTAAACATACCTTTGGGTGTGGAGAAGATGAATAGAACGGCCAGAATAATCCACATGATTCCGTGCGAATCCTCGTTCATGGCGAAAACACTCTTCTTCACTTCTTCTTACTTCTTCTTACTTCTTCTTACTTCTTCTTACTTCTTCTTACTTCTTCTTCTCACTCAAACACAGAAAACTCTTCAATGGCACAATATCACTTTCTTCACTGATAAATTACTCAATCCTTCGCACTGGTATTCCGACACTTGTGCTCGATGTCCTGAGCCGATGATTGATGTCGCTGGGCGGCGATTTGGGGGTGGGCAGAACCGCCCGCACTCGCGCGTCTACGCGGCCTCTATTCCGCGCTCACCTGCAATCAAGCAAACAAGAGAATCTTCATGAAATATTCACTCAACTGACCATTAGTTAAAGCGCCTCAATCACACGCCTTTATTCACACTTTCACTCGGAATTTCGGAGGCTCTTTTGGGGGTGAGAGTTAATCATGTTATCAGACACTTTTCTATGTTCTCTCAGTCACTCTTTCCCGGTCAAACGCCTCATTGACTGTGACTAAGCGTAATCTCAATATTTGCCTAGAAATGATTCCACCACAAAAGACACAAAAGGCTTCCAAAAACTGCCCGAAATACACACATTTTCCACGCAGCTTTACGCGAATCAATCGTAGTGACCTTTGGCTGTGTGTATTTGCCATTGAGCAGCATTTGTTCCATGTGGAGCATAAACATCAATTTCCCCGGGCCGAAAACTCCATCACGATAACACAGCATCGCGAGAGCAAACCGTGGCTGAGCAGTGATAAGAAATCCCAGATTCTCACTCTTTTCCCGCGTAGAGGAAAATAATAAAAAAGGCTCTTCCAGAGAAAGAGAAACCGACGATTTTTCCGGCGCATTTCGGGCGAAATGTCCTGCGGGAACAAAGGCGACGTGAAAACACAAACACTCCCCATTGCGGGTGGAAAATCGCCAAAAAGGAGCACTTCTGGGCCTCGTGGCGCCCCAAAAAGTGCCCAGGACACACCACAGTAGTGTTCAGGGTGGAAATGAGTGGAGAAAAATCAATAGTTCACTCGGGAAATTGTATTTGATGGCCTGCGAAAAGGGCGACGAACCCAACCCAAGTCGCACGTCACAGGATAATTTCGCCATGATGGAAAATGTCCCGAAACAATTTTCCCATCAAATTTTCGCATTTTCACACACTTCACCACCCTCACTGCTGATCAGACACACTGTGGATGGAAAATTGGTGTGGAGCATAGCCAAAAATAGCCAATTTTCCGGCACAATTGCATGAAAAGTGCGTGTTTGAGTCATTGACAGGACACCGCAGAGGAGTCACGATGTTTTCCTCATTTTCCGACCGCTTTTCCACCACACTACTCACCGTTTTCGGGGCGGAGGCGGCTACGAGGGGCTGTATTGACACTATTGGGGCACTTTTGCACGGCACAATCACCTGAAATCCGGTGTAAATTGAATTTACGCACGATAAAACGCGGAACGTCTTCCTCCGTCGACCACTCGAGAGAGACTGAAACAGCGTGAAGTGGGCCGCACACGTGCACCCTCGCGCGGAAACTGCGAAGCAGCGCGGCATTTGAATTGCCAACCGTCAGCGAAAGAATTGTGATTTTTTGATAGTATTTGATTTTATTCATCACCTAAAATAAACATATTACAAAAAGAGTACAAGGATTTGTGTAGAGACAAAAAGTGGGTTCAAAAACATGGCATAGAAGAGTATTGGAAGGGGTAAAAAAAAGGGTAAAAAATGAGGGCAAAAAGAGTCTTCACTGAATGCTTATCACAAAAAGTGTCCGGAAGGAGAGTTGTTCTTTCTGAGGAGGAGGGATTCAGTGGCGCCGGGCTTGAGCATTGTCCTGCTGGATGATGAGCTTGTTCTTCTCGCGTGTCACACGCGTGGAGGGTGACGAGGAGAGCTGCAGCTGCTTCAGATTCTGAATGGGAAGCGCCGTGCGCGTCAGCATGCTGAACTTGGCCAAGAACTTCTTCTTGCTCTCGCACTCCTTCACCTTCAGCCTGTCCAGCGGCTTGTACTTGCTGAGCTGTCGATCGCCGGGCAGTGGACACAAGTCCATGTCCTTCGCCTTCACCAGGGCATCGCTGGGCTCTCCGTAGAACGGCGGGTAGGGATCTGTGAGCGTGGAACTGGTGCTGCTCTCGTTGAGATGACGCATCATCAGCGTGAGTTTCGCCTCGTGCGCCTTCTGCAGCAGAATCGCCTGCTTCTCACCCTCCAGACGCGCCTGACGCACAGCATTCCGCAGAGCGCGCTCGCGCCACTCGGACGCATCGCGCTCCTTCTCCAGATTCACTAGCTGCACCTCCAACTTCCACGAGGACTCGCGCAGATCGATGACTTTGAGGAAGTACTTGTACAGCAGCGTCCGCATCTCCTCCTCGGACAGCTTGCTCAGCCGCTCCATCAGCAACTGCTCACCCTTCTCCCTGTCCAGGCGCTGCGCCAAGTCGGCGCTGCTGCGCCCGCAGATCTTCTCGTTCTTCAGCTCGATGGTCGTGTCGATGGCCTCGATGGCCACGTCGTACGTCAGCAGCTTGCGCTCCTCGTTGTGCGTCAGGATCTTGTCCTTCTTCAGCTTCTTGTCCAGACTGATGCGCTGCTCCAGCAGCTGATCTCTGGTCTTCCGCAGATTCCTGATCTCATGGCGCAGCGAGTCGTTCTCCTCGCCACTGAACTTCTCCAGATTCTCCGACTTCTCCTGCAGCACGTGATTCAGATGGCTGATTCTGGCGCTCACAGCTCGCAAGCTCTGACTCTTCTCCTCCACTTGGTTGTCCTCCGTCGGCGCCTGAGCCGCCTCCAGCTCCTTGAGCTCCGCCTCGAGCGCATTCCGCACCTTGCTCGCCTTGCGCGCCGACTTCTGCAGCGCCTCAAACTGATCCCGAGACTCCTTCAGCGAGTGCTGCAGCTTCTTCACCGTCTGTCCATTCTCACCCGCGATCACGATGATGGACACCAAGTCCTGCAGTCGCGTCTCCTGGTGTCCCGTCAGCGCGCTGAGGCGCTCAATCTCCGCCTTTCCCCTGCCATTGGCCACAGCCTTGGCCAGCTGCTTCTTGGCCTTCTCGTACTCCGCCTCCAGCTTCTTGCGCTTCTTGCTGAAGCGCTGCTTGGCCGTGGAGCGCGTGTCATTGTTCTTAATCAAGTCCTCAATCAGTCTCTGCTTCAGCGAGATCGTGTGCTCCAGCTCCTTCATCTGCCGCTTCTTGCCCTCCACATCCGTGTCGATCTTCTGCAGCCTGTTCACCAGCACCTTTCGCTGCCCATTCCGGCTGGGCAGCACCAGATCCGGCTGCACCTCCTCGCGCTGCTCACGCCCCGCCACGCGACTCAGCATCGCAATCTCGATGCTGCTCAAGCTCTGTCCCGGCTGAATGGACTTCCGCCGGCCGTGGCGCTCTTGTGGCGAGGCGCCGCGAAAGGAATCCGTGCTGTCAAACACAGCCTTGGGGTGAGATCGCAGAAACTCCTGGTAGCACTCATTCACCAGCGTGTCAGTCTTGGCCTGAAAGTCCCTCATCAGACTCCTCATCTTCTCCTCGAGATCCGGTCGATGCGACTCTGAATCGCTGTCTGTGTTCTGCTGGCACTCCTCCTGGTCGCTATTCTCCTCAGGCTCATCCGCCTCCTGAATGGGGCCCAGCAATCGCTGACTCCCAGCCACCATCTCGCCAGAACTCAGACACTCTTCGCACTCGGCCTTGAGGAAGAGCCACTCTTCGATCTGCTCGCGCTCCTGCTGCGCCAAATTGCCATTCTCCGCCAGCTTGCTCAGCAATCCCTCGGCATTGGACACCAGCTTGAACCACTGCGAAGCCGCGAATTGCAGCCCAAAAGTGTCCACAGGCTCTGGCGCCGCCTCCTGAACTGGTTCAACGTTCAGCGGCGTGTTGTTGTCGGAGAATGTGTTCATCACCACGTAATTCCGCACGCACTGCGCCTTGAAGGCGAACTGGAGATTGTGGATTGTCTCATTGGTGTTCTCCTCGAGCGACGACACGGTCAGCAGGACGAGTGTCTGCGCCCTGCCGCCGAAGGAGTCCTTCAACAGCGTCGTGAGATTCGTGCGGTGATACGGCACGTTGTTGTTGTACAGCACCACACTGGGATCCGTGAGGGCGTTCACGATGTCCTCCAGCGTCTGCAGCCGGCGATCCTTGGGAATGCTGAGATGCTGATTCATGCTGTTCAGCATGTACATCCTGTCCGTGCCGCACAGATCGCAGAAGCTCGCCGTGGACAGTCTGTGCTGGATCAGACCCTCGGGCGACACCCACTGCTGCTCCAGCGTGATGGTGAAGATGCTGTGCGACGTCTGGCCGGTCTTGTTGCCAAAGCCCAGCTTCAGCCACTGGAAAGCCTCACTGATGCTTCCGCATGGCACATTTCCCGCCTCCAGCAAATCCTTCACCGCGTCCTCGCCGCAGATCTCCACCCAAGCCATGTTCACCTCGTAATTCCGCGTGCGCAGCGCGGAGAGACGTAAGAAGATCTCCCTGATGCTGCGCTGCACAATTCCCTGCTCCGCCTCGCTGTGCGCACAATTCAGGCCAGGACCGAAGAGTGTGTAGGTCTTGCCAGTGCCCACCTGTCCGTAGGACACCACACTGGTGTCGTAGCCCTCCAGCAGCACCCCAATCATGGGCAGCACCGTGCGCCGGAACACTTCCTCTTGACCACTCTCTGGCGCCAGGGCGTGCGTGACGGGGAACGAGTGGCCCGCCACCTGCACCATGCCCGACGTGAGCATCTGCGGCACCACATTGCCATTCTCCGTGAGCCCCGGGCGGCGCACCTGCGAGATGGTCTGCACGACGCTCTTCTCCCTGTCGAAGTCCCTGGGAAACACGCGCACGGCCACTTGAATGGGAATCTCCATCGCCACGTCACACTCTACATGTCCTGCAACTGAACAAGCACAAGTTAGACCATCAGCAGCCCCACTAGCGCCCCAAAACTCACTTTTTCGCTCACACAATTTTCTCCTTTTCGTGACGCAGAGCAAAACAATACACCGAAGCACGGCAAGTGTCGCGTCGCTGAAGGGTTTCGCGGCTTCTGGGAAAAACTACTAGAAAATATTTGAACGGAGGCATTTATTCAACGGCTCTCTCGCACTCAATGTATACATAAAAATAACATCTCTTAATTCTCCCTCATTTCCTTTTTCTCTCTCTCTTTCTCTCCCTCTTAACATCGTCTATTAGACTACTCAAGTAAAATGATTGTAAAGTGTAAAATTAATGCTGTCATCTGACTAAATATGCGGAAAAAAGTGTATAGAAGACCATAGAAGACACTAGAATTGATGCTCTTTTTCCACTCCTCAACCTGTTCGTATTGATATATGCACTAAAAGAGTTGCAAGTTCGATCTCTTCGCTGTACTTGTTCCTCAAAGGCACACTCCGATACCCACTCTTGATGGCATTCACCTGAGGAAGACAGAAACAAGAGATTATGGCTCAGAAAATGCTGAAAAAATCAGTCAAAACTCACCGGAAACACGGCTTGGCCAATAAAGTTGGGCTCCCCAAACATATCCTCGTCCTGCACTTCAAATCGCAGCATTGCAAAGTGCGGATTCTTCACGTGAAACTCACAAATCTCATTCCAAATGGGATTGAAACCATTATCCGCTGAAAAGATTAACATAATTATCAAATTGAGCTTCAGGAGAGGAAGCTTTGGATACTCACCGACAGCCTTGGTCTTGTGCTTCACTCCTGCGTCGAAGGACGCGCCCAGAAGCTCCACCTCGACAAGTGGACTGTTGATATTCCTGCCAGACTTGAAGAGATGCCTTCCACCGATGATGCGAATGTTGATCGTCTTTCCCTCGACGCCGATCAGTGTGTTGGAGATATTGGGATCAAACACGTCCGTGAACATAAAGTCCGGCTTCAGGATGAAGCCACAGGCGCCATTATCGCGGAATTTGGCCTGATTCAGCTGCATCATCTTGTCTGGCGTCTGGAAGTTCAGCGCAATCATCTGACTGCCGGCATTCCAGAAGGGAATCGGATTGAAGTTGGACGAATCCAGGCGCTGCCCTTTGGGATACACGCGACTGATGAGTCTCCGGTGGTACTTGATGAAGTGCTGCTGATGCTGCTGGAAGAAGTACTTCTCCGCCTTTGTCTCACTGAAGCTGCACATCTCGTAGAAGAGCAAGTCACGCTCCTCCTTGAATGGCACACTCCTGAAGTAGATAATCATGTCAGACATCTCCTTGGCCACACGCAGATTCTTCTCCTTCTTCCGTCGCTCATCCGCCAGCGCGGATGCATTCTGTGCCGCCTCCTTGATCGCCGTCATCCAATCCATCGCCATTGCCTCATTGTCGCAACCAATGTCGAACACATTGTCCATCGCGGGCGTCTGAACGCGCAGCACGAACTGAATGGGACGCTCCGGATCGACAATATCCACCGGATTAATCTCCACCACCGCCCCATTCACGTCCAGCTCCTTGTGCATCGTGTTGGCATTCTCATCGCAGCATCCCTCCGTCGTCTCGATCACCGTGACGTAGTTGGCCGGGAAGTAGTGCTGCTTCTTGCCACCATAATCACCCGTCCACCACATCTCGTTCTCCTTCTTCTTCACATTCGTGATGATGGCGTGCTTGCAGAACGACAACTCATCGTCACGCTGTGCTTTGTAGTCAAACAGTGCCTTCACGGTGATCTTCTCCTCCACTGACGACGGATCCATGTAACTGGACGTGCCATCAGCCATGGGATCCTCCAGAAAGTCACCCAATTCAATCATCGAGCTACTCATGCGCTTCAGCATTTCACGCGTGATGGGATATGTGAGCTTCACTGTCTTGTACAGCGGACTCTTGGCATAGTAATTCACCAGACTCACCAGACTCTCAAATTGCGTCCCCGTGGCCAGATACAGACGCCCATCCACTGTGATACGACAGTGCTTGATCTTCTTGTGCGCCCAGAATGAGATCACGTACGTGTTGCTGTCCGTGTCACTCGGACGCACCAGAAAAGTCCCATCATTCTGCCTCTGCGACAGCACCTTCTCCGCCAGTTCGCGATTCATGTTCGGATGATACCACTCCTTCGTCTCGTGCTTCTTCGGCTGCGGCACGGGTTCCTTCAGCGTGATGGAGAACTCCGCACTGCGCAGCACATTCTGCCTGTAGTGCATGATCAGGGAGTAGAGAGAGTCAAAGAGGAGATTCTCCAGCAAATAGTACTTCGTCAGCCCATTCTCGTGCTTCAACTTGATGCGACAGTGATTCGGTCGGTCGCGTCGCCAGAAGGAGAGACAATAATCACCCACGAATGTCGCACTCTCCCTCACCAGGAATGTCCCATCGCCCAGGTGACTGTAGTCCTTCAGCAGCATCTCCGCCTCCTCGCGTCCACCCTCCAGCTTCCCGTGGAACCAATTCTCGCCAAAGTGCAGCTCATTGTTGTGAATACTATCCTTCGGCTTCGGCACCACACTCTCAAAGTCCGTCTCCTCGTCGCGCGCATCCTCACGCTCCGGCCTGTACATCAGCTTGTGCTGTCGCAGGGCAAATCTGTGCGGCACCCAGCGTCTATCCACCAAATCCAGAATATAGAGAATCTCCTCCTTCTCACTATTTCTCAGATCGCAATCCGCCTCATCCGCATTCATGCTGTTCCTCTCCTCGCCCTCGGGCAGCTTCTTGTGCTTCAATATGATCTTCCGCTTCAGCTGCTCCGGCGACGGCAACTCCTGCTCACCCTTGTCAATCTGCTGAATCAGCAGCATGTCGTTGTCCTTGAAAACCTCCCGCATCGCGTCCGCCATGTTGCGCTGCTGCTTCAGCGAGCAATTCTGCTCGATGGACAGAATCACGGGATACTCAGACGTCACGAAGGCGTGATCCCGGATCGTCTTGATCACGTCCGTGAATTTGATCTTGGACGTGAATGTGTGTCCGTGGAAGATCAGCGGCATGTTGTCCGGTCCGTCCCAGCAATCCAACTCGATGCATCGACAGCCCATTCGCAGAGCCCTGAAAAATGTGTTCATATTCTCAGTCTGAGTGGCTTTATTAGGGCAAAATTCAGAATAATAAGACTATTTCTCATCAAATCTTACTCTTTTTAATTGTTTTCTTCCTATTAAGATTCAATTTACTGATAAAATCATTATTCTATTGACTTTTTCTGAGAATAACTGTTTTTTTGGGATATTTTTCATACCTTTCACCGATCAAATGGAATCAAATACTGCCCAAAATGTTGCTGAACTTACAAAACTCGCTAAATTCTCTCTTGTATAAAACTGTGTTGTGAAAACTTTAGTATCTTTTCCTTAATCTCAACTTCCTGAACGTCACAAAAAAGTTAAGCAGCGGCTAAACTCAAAGTTTTTGGCCATTGTTTGTAATTAACTGAAGAAGAATGACTTTTAAAGAGTGTGAAAGAGCTTTTCCACCCTTTTTGCTATTCTCCCTCAGACTTCAAGCGCCTTGAATGACTGAGAAAGACCAAAGATTAGCCTCATTACCTGGCATACGCCTCCGTGGACGAGTCGCTGGAGAATTGATCGCCGGTGAGATATGTGTTGTGCGAGGAGGAAATCCAGTAGTGCGACAGCGGACGACTCATGTCCTGATACACGCGATTACACTTCCCATTCCAGATCTCGTTGTGTTTGGAGAACAAATAGTCGACGAACTACAATATAAACGAGAGCATCAATTAGCAATCATATATTTTCAATTAAATGCCCATCAATTTTCTCTCCCCCCGCTTGAGTTTGACGCCATCATTTTCATCGTCGTTCTCATCATTTTCCTGAGAATCTATTTTTACGCAACATCATCAACAACACAGGCATTTTCTCGGCAATTGCAGAGAAAATTCCACTCATATATGAGAGAACTCATAATCCGCCTTTGTGGCATTTTTTCCACCAGGAATGCCTCAAAATTTATAAAACAAATAAAGTCTGGCACGCGACTCAAGCCCACATTTTCCCTCCCATTGAAAACACACTTCACTTGAAAATGTGAGTAAGCAAAAAGAGTGAGAATTTGCAACAAATTATCACACAAGTATTTTTCCTCTTTCCACTTGTGTTCCCTCAAAATTGGCCCCAAATTCTCGGAAACAGAGATTTGCGCCGAGACAACTTTTCCGGCGTTGAAAAAGTGAGAAAAAGTCTCGGCAAAAATTGACAAAATACTGATAAAAGCCATGGTGTAACGAGTATAAGGTGGCCTCATACTGAAATCGCTCTACGCGTGACGTCACAAGCAGAAACCAAACTTGCATTTTGTATGGAAAAATGGACTTTTTCTCTGTTTTTTGGCTTTTTTGGGTATTCTTCGCTATAAAGTACCCATTGGCTCATATCAAAAGATGCGCCAATATTTCATCTATCTAATTATGAAGCTCTAGAGGAATTTTAAGACATATTATTAACCTTTTTTAAGCATTTTCTGAGACGAAACATCCTTACGCTGCTCAATACCATGCCACAGGTCTCACACACATCAGTCGGACACACGCATGGAAAAAAGACACTCCGTTGCAAGAAATTTGCACCACTGGCAGTGGTGTTTTCAAATTTTGAAATATTCCCATTCTGAATAAGAAGTTTTTTCATCGCGCCTTTTGCGACCTGGGTGATCTCAACTCCTTGCCTAGCAAGTTATAGCCTTTGGAGCGCGAGTCGTGCGTTGATAAAAGCGCTTTAGCGCCCAAAGAATCGCCAGGAGAAAGAGATAATCGCCGTCGTCGTGACGCCGCGGATGTAGGAGGGTTCGATTCGGTCCCGTTCTTCTGGCCACTTAGAGGATGAAAAATCTTACATAACAGTATGAAAAACTACATTCAGTATCTATTCCGTCAGTGGGGTATTCCCGCCATCTCGGTGTATTGCCGCCAACAAGGCAGGGCTCCTGCTCTTTTAAGAAGATCTTGAGCGGTTATGGAAATCCCATCCCTTCTTTGGTGTATCGCAAAATTGCCGAAATACATGTGTGATATTTAAACCATTTACATATTTGCATTACACTCAATAAATTTTATGGCCCTAATAACCTCTTGCAAAATTAGTAAGCAGTTTAGTTATGGGCGCTATGTCCAAACAAAATGTACTTCTCTACCTGAGGACCTTTTGAGCACTATATGGCCAAATTTGAATAACATTTAGTTAAAAGAGAAAGAATATTACATTACAGGCTCTGGCGCTTGCTAAAGAGAAAAGAGACAGAAATGCAAATTTCAGCCATGGAAATATGTAAGTTCAGATTTTTTATGATAGGTACTCCTTTTCAAGCAACAATTTTATGATTCTTAAGGACAAATTCGGTATTTAGGGTTTTTCCTTAAAAGATAGTCCATATTATCAGTCTTTGCAAAAATTTCGATCTGTGAAGATGCCTGTGAAGTGTGTCGTGTTGGGATGTAAAAACTATGGTGTGAAGGGAAAAGATTTAAAGTTTTTTGCTTTTCCTAAAGATCCAGTGATTCAAAAGCAGTGGACGAGTTTTACGAGGAATCAGAAGTGTAATGTGAAAAGATCGCGCATATGCTCAGAACATTTCAAATCAGAGGATTTACTAAATTCAACGAGTTTGAAATATGAAGTTCTTGGACGCAAATGTCGCGGAAAAGTACTTAAAGATGACGCAGTACCGAGCATATTTGAACCACAACTAAAAGATGCAAGACTCCTTCGTGTAGAAAAGCGGAATCAAAAGACTGTTGTGAATAACGTACTTAAAAAACATGTTGCTGCGGAAAATAGGTCAGTGAAATATCGATGCCAATCTATGTCGATTCGATTTTTTTAGAATTAAATCAATTAGAATACTTTTTAATATACCATTGTATATATTTTCTTTTAAAAATAGCACTATTCCATTAAGCAACGTGACAGATCATGAAAATATGAACGTGAATCACTCGCCAAAAATCACATATCTTTCAAGCTCTTCTCAAACAGATGATATTGTGGAATATCGAGAAGTTAATCTTTTGTAAGTGAATAATATACCAAATTTGAATTAAGGCTAATGAATTCTTGGTTAAATTTTAGACTTCAAGAAATGTTGGAAGTGAAACAGAGGTGCTTAATATTGGAAAAGGAGAACGCAAAGCTCAAAAATCAGAATTCTCAAATGTCCATTGAACTGGAGAGGTTAAAGAAAAACTTAACGCCCACTCAAGTGAAAATGATTGTCGATGAGAAATCTAAAACTCACTGGACGTCAAATGATATTTCAATATTCCTAACGCTTTTTTCGCGTGGTGCAAAGGCCTACGAATTCATGAGACAAGAGCTGAAATACCCCTTGCCATCCAAGGCAACTTTGCAAAGATGGGCAGCGAAAATTAAAACTCCACCTGGGTTCCAAGATGTGGTTTTTCCACTGCTGAAGGAAAAATTTGAGGATGATCTGGACAGACTTGTAGTGCTATCTTTTGATGAAATGGCAATTGATGGAAAATTGTGTTTTGATGTCTCAAATGATTGTATTATGGGACCACATTCTAACGCCCAGGTTATTATGGCGCGTGGTTTGGTAAAGGGATGGCATCAACCTATTTTCTACGCATTTGATCAGAAAATGACACTTGATATCGTATTCGAAGCAATACAGCGGCTCAAGTCTATAGGCTTCACTGTGCATGCGGTAGTCCATGATCTTGGGGGAGGAAATAGAGGCTTGTGGCGTGATCCAAGAGTGGCCCTGACTGAAGAAGATTGCAGGTAAAATTTTTTGGGGAAATATTCTTTTTCAAATATTTATGAAGTTTTATCAGTTTTAGATGCCCTGGTTCTGCACAGGAAATCTACATATTTCCAGATGTGCCCCATCTTATAAAACTCATTCGGAATCATTATTTAGATCATGGCATTTTTTGGAATGGGGTTAAAATAACTTCTGACCCCATCTACGAACTTCTCCAGATCATGGACGATTGTGAACTGAACATTGCTCACAAGATTGGACTGAAAAACCTGACAGTACAAGGAGTTGAACGACAAAAAGTAAAGTTGGCGGTTGAATTACTTTCGCACACTGTGGCATGTGCAATCGAGGAATTGGGGAAGAGGGGACTTCTTAAATCGCCAAACTGGAAAGATGTCGCCAAATTCCTTAAAATGTGCAACGACTGGTTTGACGTGATGAACACCAAAGTGCCACATAAAGACTCCCGATGCAGAGTCAAGGCTTTTGGTCTCGCGTCTGAAATCCAGAATGAGATATTAAATGCCATGGAGGACTTTGCCCAAAATGCTCGTGTTCTTAAGATATCGTCAAAAACGAAGTCAGAATATGCTGCAAAAAATAAAGTACATTTCCAAAATGGAATTGTGCGGTCTATCCGATCTATAAGAAAGTTGTATATTGATATGAATGCACAATATAAATTGGAATATATTCTGACCGACCGCTTAAATCAAGACGTATTAGAGAACTTTTTCTCCAGAATACGTAGCATGGGCTATTTAAACGGGAATCCTGATTGTTTGGCGTTTTGTGGCAGATTCAAGAGATATCTATGCTCGTCCAGGAATTCCAAGACATCAAAGCATCAAAACATCATGCCACTAACAATACACGGATCTTGTGCAGTCACAGAAACTGTATTTGAAAATATGCCAGAGTCAGCAACGGTAATTGATCCACTATACGTCGAAGAGGAAAATAGTGAAGATCGACCGTCTGACCAAATTAGGATTCCCCGGAAAGTCCCGAGAGAAGTTATTGAGAGTTGTGGGCTCCAATATGTGGCGGGTTTCGTCGCATATAAAAGGCGACGAGATGAAGATTTGGGAGCCCCAACTTCAAAAAAAACGAAACTCACAGCCATGGCAAGTTGGGTTCGATCCATTTCCGAAGGTGGCCTCTACGAACCCAACGAAAAATTTTTGAAAGAGGCCACGCTGATGGAGAGAGTGTTCCGGGAGTATAATCCAAATGGGAAACTCAACAAAAATGGGAATTACATGGAGAATTTGTTGAGTAAAATGAGGGGACAACTAGTAAGTTGTTCCCAAGAGACCCAAAGATTATACTTCCGGACACGAACCCATATCCGCATACGGCGGTTGTATTTAAAAGGAAAACAACGACGTGCGGAGAAGTCTCGGAAAAAACTAAAGAAAGTAAGTACATAAAATCCTTTCCAGTTTTAAATTTCTGTCTTGAAGTAACTAATTATTTTCATTTTTTGCAGTACACATAAGAGCGGATCGTGTATTTGGTGGGGAAGTTGAAGATCTCAACCACATTCTTCCAATATGAGTTTCGGGCAAAAGAGATGTTCCGTGCAATCAGGTCAGGACAAGGAGCAATCGACGTGAGGAACTAACGAGCTGCGTGATTGAGGAGGGAAGGAATAGGAAGGACGCACTCATGAGGTTCCTCAGAGAACGCGAAATTAACAATGTGATGTGAAATATATTCTATCTGTAACCCAATGATTTCAGTTTCGGCCCATTATATTATACATATAAAATCACATTTAGTGCTGATTACATTTAAGACAAATGGTAATATTATGGCAATAATAAATAAATGGCAATAATCAATAAAATTTTTTAGAAAATAAATTTTTTCATTAATTTTAGAAATTGTAATATTTGAGATTTCAAAATTTTGTACAAGTGGTGCAAATTTCTTGCAAGGGAGTGTCGTCTTTTCCTATGCGTGTTTCCAAATTGTGTTTGTAAGACGTGCGTGAGACCTGTGGCATGGTATTGAGCAGCGTAAGGATGTTTCGTCTCAGAAAATGCTTAAAAAAGGTTAATAATATGTCTTAAAATTCCTCTAGAGCTTCATAATTAGATAGATGAAATATTGGCGCATCTTTTGATATGAGCCAATGGGTACTTTATAGCGAAGAATACCCAAAAAAGCCAAAAAACAGAGAAAAAGTCCCTTTTTCCATACAAAATGCAAGTTTGGTTTCTGCTTGTGACGTCACGCGTGAGACAGACTGATGCATTTTCTGGCCCTTTCGTTTTGAGTATGAGACCACCTTATACTCGTTACACCATGGATAAAAGCTAAACTTTCAATAGCCTCACTGATTAGCTCTGCGCAGATCTCTCTTTGAGGGCGAATAATCTTCTATTTGATCTCTAAATATTTGGATTAAATTTTTGAATAAACACACTTCGATGGCAAAAGCCCAGCTTTTATCCCATGAAAATAGATCAAATAATGTATCTGAACCATATGAACAATTGATGTTATCACAGAGTGTGCAAAAACTTTGGCTTTATCAATTGCTACTCTCAAATAAAACAACCGTTCGCTATTATACCTTTTCCATTCTTCCCCTCACACAACCAGATAACAGTGAAATTCCTTATCAGAGCTTCTGCAAAAATGCAACCAGACTTTCTGCAATTTCTCACGCGCATTTTGGGGCGCCAACAAGAGAAAAACAGTCACAATTTTATCGCTGCAAAATTGGTCTAAATCAGAAATCATTGTCCCGAATTGAGTCACATTAATTAGGCGACAACAACGCTCGTCGCATGGCTAATGGACGTGAACGCGTCGTTATCGCTGTGTATCACATTTCCCCAGAGAGTTCATTTCCTCTCTCTCGTCCCGGGAAAAGCGAGGGCGAGACAGTTGGACAAATCAACAGAATGGCAATCCGACGAGAAAACCCATTAAGCCCACAATGACATTCCGGCGCGCTTTCCCCTCTTATCATTCAAGCTCATTTGCGCTCACTCGGATCGATAAAGTCGCCCAAACTCACCTCAGGCAGCGTGAGATACGGCTCCTGGACGTCTCGCTGCACATCCTGTATGAAGTCCTTGATGAGATTGGACACGAAGCCCTTGTCATTCGCCTCCTGCTCGTCCTGCTCCTTGAGCAAGAAGCGCTGGAACTCCTGCAGTGTGACAATTTGGTCATTCTTCGAGTACGGAAACGCCCTGTCGAAGCAATCCTGCAGCACATTCGGCGTCAGCATGAGCTTCTGATACAGCTTGCTGAAGGCATCGAAGCCAATCTCGTGCCTCTTGCGCTGATCCACCTCGTTGAAGTAGTCACTGAGGCGCTGCGTGCTAATCTTGCAGTTGATCTTCGACAGGAATGACTTCAGCTCCTTCAGCGTCAGCGTCTCACGCGCATTCTCCATGGCATAGAACTCCTTGCGGAGCCAGCGCTCCACCACCAGCGGATAGGATGACGTGGCCACCATGTGCATCATGTCGCGCAGCCCGGAAATCCACATGTTGCGCTCGCGCTGGTACAGAGCGGCCACAGACAGCGCGCGCAGCTTGAACTCCGCACCGTAGAAAATCACGAAGCATGTCTGCTGGTCAGCCTTCTTGCTCTCCTCCGCCCACTTGTCGAACTCCTTTGAGTTGCGTCCAGCTCGCACTTCCCGAATGTCGCGAATCTCCAGCGAGCCCTCAAAGCTGCTGCGGTTGTCCTTCTCTGCTGTGATGGGAAACCAAATCACCTGCAAAGGCGAAAAACCACTCTGAACTCCACTGTGGGCGGGGCTTAAGACTGGGCGGAGTCACACTTCCACCACAAATTTACGGAAATTCACTTCCCAAGCGAATAAATCCTCTTTTCCATCTTCAGTGCGACAAGAAAGCGGGAAACATTTGAATTTCTACGCCTCTGGTTTTCCCGTTTTTTCCCACCGCCGCCCCTGGATTGCATATTCTCAGGCAGACCTTCGAAGTGACAATGCACTTCATCTCCGTGCCTGGAGAAGTGTTGTTGACCCCTGGATGGGGAGGGCGGATGCTTACCTGGCCAGTTTCGCGGCGCAACATCAGGGATTTCTTCTCGGGCTTCCGCCGCGGGAAGAACTTGGTGACAATGGTGCCCCTCTCGAGATTGCATATCGTCTGCTCCTTGATCCCCAGACCGTTCACGCCAAACACATTCATTCTCGCAGCTCTTCACACACCGCGAATACCTCCAGGTGGCCACAGACACGCGCCCACAGAGATTTCCTCGCAATTTCCACCGGGAATGATGTTTACGCGGTCGTTTTCAGTGAAACATTGCGGATTTTCCTCGCGCGAAATCGCCTTCGACGACACTGTTTTTCCACGCGATGACAAGCGCGACTGGTGGCGCCGCTGCGCAACTCCTTCGACCTCTCACTCGCCGCTGCGCCATCTGTGATGGGACAATTTCCGTGGGCAAAGTGAGCGACAGTGATTGTTTTGTCAGCGCGATGAAAACTCGCAATGAAAACTCGCGATAAATTGCTGATTGAATTAATTCTGCTATTCTGTGCATACAATCTCGAAGCCAACGAAGAAACCCTCCTCAAAGGTAAGTGCCGACAGTGGAATTCCTTACAGTACATGGCGCAGGGCGATGGAAAAGTGTGATGAAAGTTTCCTAACCTCTGCGGTGTTGATGTGACGTGTAATTTTGATGGAAATCACCGGAAAATCCCATTGCAGACTTCCTCATCTGTCGGGCGTGTGGCAGCGACGTGGCCCTGAGCAACTTCCTGCTGTACAAAGTCAGCCCGCACGCCAAGTACGTCGCCAACGAGACGCTGTTCGAGGATCAGCCGACGCTGGTGCAGGAGCTAGAGAATCCCATCGGCATTCGGTACCGGATCGTGCTGCTGCGCCACGCCAACTGTGCCCAAATCGACAGTGTACAGATCAATGAGATTTCAGAGACTGTAGAGGTAGAGCGGCGACGCACGGCTGAGAAATCACTAATCCATTGACTTGGGGTTTTCTTGCAGTGGAACAACTACTACTCCTGGTTTCCCGGCTACTCGTGGAAGCTCTGCCTGTGCAGCAAGTGCGGCACCCTCTTGGGGTGGATGTACGAGCCCATTGACACTGCCCTCGAGACTCAATCGGAGCCCACGAAGGACGGTTTCTACGCAATCATCCTGCCGAACGTGATTTCTGAATCTTGTGAGTTTCGCCCGAAAAAGTGAAACATCGGGAGACATTTGAGCATTCTCCGTGTTCTTGCAGTTGTGAATTCCCTGTTGATGCGCGAGAAGATCTTGCGGGAAAACTGAGCAGAATGGTTGACCCTCATAGGCACATCCGGAACCTCACGGAGGACCAGAAGCGCTTCCTGGACGAGTGCGAGAAGGAGTTCGCACAGCGCTTCACGGAGAAGGAGCGGGAGTTCAGCGAGTTCTATCGCAAGGAGCCCCAAGAACCGCCGATTGTGGAGAACTGGATGCAGGGCCAGTTCGGCAGGCACCACGGCCGCAGTGACCACTACCAAAGAGACCGCTTTGGCGGTGGCCGGAACGACTACAGGCCGCCCGGACGCGGCTACAATCACCACTCCCGCAGGTACTGACCACATGCAGAAGACTCCGCAGCGCCATTGTAAATAGGTTTTCATGTCCACTGTGCACTAGAGATGTGTGCTGCGCCCCCCTGGGGCGCCCGTGTAAATAAAGGCGGCAAGAGAAGCATTCCGGCGGTGTTTTCGTGCAGATAAGGAGATGTTCTTGGGCCGAAGCGGGTGGCAAGATGTTCAAATTGTGGCGCCACCGGCAATGTCTATTTTACCGCACAGCCGAAGACGGCACGAGGCGGGCGCGAAGTGCGTCTTCGGGGTGTTCGGTGTCTTGCGGCGGCCATGTTGAAATGTGCGCAGGGGAAGGGGGAGGTGCATTAAGAATTCGTGAAGAAAAAGAGGAGAGAGACAAGAAAAAAGTGATAAAATGACGAGTGAGAGAATTAAAGACAATTCTAAATCAAGTGTATTGCTAAAATGTTTCACATAATCTCGTTATGAATGAATTAGACTCGCGTGTGTGCTTCGATGCGTTATCAACATTGCAAAATTTACAAATGGTTGAAAACGGTGAGAGAGATTTTCCAACATTCCATCAATACCCCAATCTAAGTTGGCTGCCTCCTAGACAATTTTCTTGCGATGCCCCATTTTGATTTTCGACTATCCACTTTTCCAATCGCCGCTTTTCACCCCACACGGCGCCCCCCTGTCGTCTGCTGGGGGCGCCGCGGAGTCACCTGAGTGTGCAAATAAGTCCAAAGGTTGTCCCGAAATCCGAAATTTCCGTGAAAATCCATCGCGAGTGTTGTGTGAGGTTAGAGAAATTTCCCCGTCAATCGCCCCCTATTCCACCCTCGCCGGCCCCCCGGGGCGCAGCCGGTCACCCAGCCGGGCCCCACGCGTCGCCCTCTGGGGTTTTCGCGCAGAATTTTCCACTCGGGAAACGCTAATTAGGGTGTTTAATTGAAGTAATTTCTCTCTCCCAACAAATCGCCATTGAAAGTAGGCACCAGCCATCTATGCCGCCGTGCCGGCCGTCTCGCTCTCGCACGATGCAATTCGCCCTTTGATGGTGCTTGGTGGGAGCGAGATGCAGCATGGCTGGCCTCTCTTCTAATGCCATATCGCCGAGAAATCGCCCGGAGTTATGCAATTCGGTGGGGGGCGCCGAGGCTGAGTGCCGCCGCGGACTCGCACGGAGCCCCCGATGTGTGCCCGGAGAGCGCGTGAAAGCCCTGCCATGCGGCCGGGAGTCTTCCAGAAGCTCCAACGGAGATGATAATGACTGAGATTCTGCATCTTTTGGGCGAGAAGTTATTGATTAGAAAGGCTGAGAGAGAGTTTGTTTACACGCGACTCGAGCGCCCTTTTGGTGGTGAATTCTCAGAATCAGCGCAATGTTTTGGATAAGTCATCCTGAAAATTCGATAAGAAAAATGTGTTTGTGTGTATGTTGTTTTCTGTTGGTTTTGAGCTCTGAAAGAAAAACGCGCGCGTCTTGTAATTCTAGAAGAGATTTTCCAATTAATAAATGGTTTTTTAGCTTATATTGCGGCATCTTCGGCACTGAGCCAACTTGTATAAATATTTAATTAATCATGTTTTATTATTTTTACACACAAACAAAACCGTCTCTGAGATTCTTTTTTGTCTGCCGTTTCTCTCCTTGCGTACGTTGCTTTTCTCCTGGCCTTCGCGTGTCTTTTCCTTCTTTCTGTGTTATCTTTCGCCAAGAAAGTGAGCTTTTTCTTAACACTCGACTCACGCGGAATTGCATTTTGTGCATTCTGACTTTCAGCGACAGTTGGGAAGGAAGGTTTGAGAAATTGAAGGAAAAATGTAAATCTTAGAGCCAAAATTCTCTTCAATCCGCCGGAGGACAAATTAAGACCCTATAAAATTGACAATAAGTGAGCCAGCAATGTGTTAAGACGGTGTTTCTCTTGCAGTTTGCAATGTCTGCGGCGCATCACATTTCACCCAAAACTGTCCGGACGTCTCGAAGGGGGAGCATGTGAGTAGTATGACCAGAGTTCCCACAGCGGCGCCCAAATTGACGAGATTCCAATCACACTAATCGCAGTTTCCTCCATTTCCATGGACGACCGACGGCCAGATTCAGGACACACCGCATCAGAACATGTCGCGCTCCTCCATTCCCAACGGGCTGCACATCATCGAGACTGGGGAGAGTCTCTGTGTTGTGACGTCCCAGAAGTTCGCCAAGGGCACGCGCTTCGGGCCGCTCATGGCGAAGAAGTCCTACATCCCCGTGGAAAATGCCAAATTCCCACTGATTGTGTTCGGGAGTCCATTGCTGGACTCCAATGATGCCGAGATCGAGGAACTGTTCAAGATACGCAATGCGTACTTGGACACGAGGAACGAGAACTACTGCAACTGGATGATCCACGTCAGTCCGGCGCAGTATTCCAACGAGCAGAACCTCATTTGTTACCAGGTGAGAATTGCGCTCTTTGCCAAAAAAAAAAGTTCAGCAGTTAAGAGGCGTTAAATTGGAGCAATTAAACTGTCAGTTTAAGTGCTTCTTCCGGGAAAGAAGAGAAGACTTTTATTGCATCTGTGCCAAAGGTGGTTGAGAAACAGCCTTGATTTTGCCAACCTTGAAGAGAGAATATTACAAAAATCAATGTTTCTCTTCCCTTTGACAAATAGTCAGTCTGTGATGTGAGAATTTGTTGTTCAGAGATCAAAGGAGAAATTCCTATTGATGAGTTTCAAAGTTAATTATTGTTGGAGAAGTTGTTGAGAATCATTAATGGCATTTGGCTGATGAGAGTTAAAGTTGTGATGCATTAAATTATGATGAAGAACGTGGAATAATTTCAAAATCAATATTTCGTATTAAATTATGAAATTTTGATATTTTCTTGAATTCTTGATATCTTGATTTCATTGAGATTTCAAGATTTTTATTATGAATCTTTAAATTCTTGTTGTATTCTCTTTTCCTCCTTGATTAGCCCTCTTTTGTCAGTACTTGTTTTTGTCATTTCTGCGAAATATGAACAAATATTATTACTTTTTCTTGCACAAGTACAAATTTCCTAGCTTTCTTTTTTCTACTTAGCATTTCTCACCTTATCGAATACGTCATAATTTTATTGATTAAATTGTTGAATATTAATGTTAAATTATATTGTTTTTATTGCTTTTTTTCCCAGAGCTTTTTTCTTCCTTTCAAAGTTGAGGGGAAAATGAAAGAAGTTTGTAAAAAATCACACAATTAAATTGGAAAGATTGTGAAAGGCAAATTTATGTTGTGTGTGTATATATCTGGGATCTATTTTAATATTTGACTGTTTTGTTCCTCAACTTGTGGGTGAGAGAGAAAGAGAAAAGGAGGAAAGAATTGGGGCGCGAGCGAGTTGAAGAAAATGAACTCTCTGTGCAGTTACAAGAGATGAATGGATTTATTAAAGGTTTTTTTTATGTCTCTCGCTCTCTCTCTCTCTCTCTTTCGCTTGTTGTGTGTGCAAGAAATCCCCCGCCAAAGGTCATTTAAAGCCAGAGACTTTTTTTACCATGTTTCTCATGTTATTCATTCTGTTCAATCACATCAGAGAGTGAGAGAAGTGAAGAGAGAAGAGATTTTCGTGCTATTTGAAACTAAACATTCAGGACTGGAGAGCTTTAATAATGTCTGGTGAATAACAACAATTGAGTGTGTTTTAAATGGGGGTAAATGGAGAAGAATTGTGGCAATTAAAAATAGTGAATTACAAGAGTTTTGGAGAGAGAAAAGCGAGAGAAATATATCTCAAAGTCAAATTGAATCTCAAACTCTCGCAAAGAGCGCGCGTTTTCTGTGGAGGAAAATCAATAATGTAGATTCATTTGGGTGTTTCTTGTACGTCGTGCGTTACATGTTATATTTTACATAGATATTTGCTGTTGTGTGAGTGTGTGGATTATGCATAACAAAATATGATGTAAGAGAGAGAGAGAGAGAAGGAGAAAAAAAGGAGTTGTATTTTCAATAATTATTCTTTCTTTTTGAATAAGTAATTATGCGAAAAGAAATCAATTTTTTGAACCTCAACATTTTTTCGTAGAAACTGATTGAACAAAACATAAAAGAATATTCTCTCAAGAGTCTCGTTTTCATTTGTTGTTTTTCTCACTATTGATACACGAAGTGTAATTAGCGAAATTCATTTTGCTTTTCATACACACAAAATACACATTAATTGCGAGAGGCGTGGAAAGAATAATGAGAAATATTCTCAGACAGACAGACTGAGAGGGAGAGAGAGAGAGTGAGAGAGAGACTAGAATATTTGGTTTGGGTGATTATTAATTAGATGATGTGGCGCATTTTCTGCAGAACTTCCGCCCAGAAGGCGCGCGAGTACAGAAAAGAAGGCTTGATGTGTTTGACTAGTGGAGGAAGAGGATTGTGTGTACAATATTTCTCAATAGAGAGCAAACGTTGTTGATAAGAGAATTTTGATAAATATTTGCTAGAGAGACACAAAATTTGACCTCAATTGTGGGCGCGAGAGACAGAGAGGGAGAGAGAGAGAGAGAAAAGTCGGTGTAAAAATTGATTTTTTATCGTGTAAACAGAGATTTTAGCGCGATTTCACTTTTTAGGACATGCTCATTGTCAGACTATTTAACGATTTTCTTTCAATGTTTTTTTCGGCTGAATTATTGGCCGCCGAAGAGTGAAGATTGTAATATTCCCTAAAGCAGTGAAATTCACCTTAATTTCTGGAAGTTAAATTGCATTCGAGAATGAAAACAGTGATGCAATTGCATGTTTTACCCCAATTCTTCATTGATAGTTAATCTATTCATGAAGAAATTAACTTAACTTGAGGTTTTAAATGATAATAATTAAACTACAGATGTTCTGACGTCGTTTATTATGAAAATAACAGTGTGAAAAGATGGCAAAATGACGATTTGTGAGCACAAATGTGACGAGTTGTAAGTCTTGTTTATGCGGAAGTAGTTTTTGTGTAAAGAATGATACTTGTGACTTGGTTTGAAAGACGATCTTGTTTGTTTGTATTGTAATTCTGCTGAATTCGATCCTTCCTTGATCATCAGATTTGATAGAATTGCTTTTCAAAGCATTTCTTCTCAATATTTACACAATTTTGACTCACTTTCTACCCTTTTGAAGACTAAACAGTGTCATATTGAATGCATTAACACACAATTTGCATCTCTTTTGCAGCTGTACGATCAGATCTTCTACACGGCCATCGTGGACATCGAGGTGGGTGACATCCTGAAGGTGTGGTATGCTCCAAAGTATGCGGCGAAGATGAATGTGGAGCTGCTGAAGCCGAGTCCGCATGAGATTGTCAACAATATTCTGCGGCAGGTGTCAATTGCCAGCATGGGAAGTCTCACGGATGACAATCTGAACTTCGAGAACAATGAGTATCCGGTGTATGAGGATATCACGGAGAAGAACAACTCAGAAATCTCGCTGCCGCCCATCAACAGTCTGATCAAGGCGTCGTCGTATCAGAACAACAATTATCTGTGTTCGGAGCATCACATTTACGACATGGACAAGAATTATGAGATCAGCAGCACGAGTTCCATTGCACAGATGGACAGTGCGCAGAATGCCAACATGATGGTGAGTGATCTCAACTTCAGTCTCGTGCCGGGCTTCGGAGACGGTGACGCAGCGACACCCGGACGGCCGGATCAGATGTTTGAGAAGTGGAAGAGTGGCTTTGAGGTGAAGGTGGCGCATGTGCCGGGAACTGGAAAGCTGGGCAGCAAGAAAGTGTCCAAGTACTTCTGTGAAGTGTGCGAGAAGGAGTACATGACGCTGGCGAATATCAACAAACACATGCGCTCTCACAATTTGCACCTCTGCAATCTCTGTGTGAAGTCCTTCAAGAGCACCAATGAGTTGCGCGAGCATGTGTGCCCAAAGGAGAAGGACGTGACGAATTACTCCAAGTGTCCAGTGTGCTTTAAGATCCTCTCGAACTCCTGGTCACTGAGTCGTCATATGAAGACACACAAGCGCGATGAGGCTGTCAGTGGTGAGGAGGCAAAGAAAATGCCCAACACCGATCCGGACGAATCAAATCCCAGCGATGAGGTTCTGTCCAAGAATCCCCGCGTGGTGCTCGAGCGCCTGCAGATCGCCATGCCGGATGATGAGCAATCGATTGATGATCCCAACAATTCGCGATCGTGCGACGAGCGCTCCGTGTCTTCCACTTTAGTGCCATACTTCGAGGCAGACGACGCCGCCAGGACGGCCGGCAGTGGTGGCGAAATGATGGAGCCCTGGGAGCGTGCCGAGGGTGAGTTCTCGTCATCGATGGAGGGTGAGGATGACTTCTCGCCGCACCAGCGAGACATGCTGGACATGGACAAGTGTCTTGACACAGGCGCAGCTGGTGTCAATGGTGCCACGGAGAAGTGTACAGTGTGCGGGAAGCAGTTCAAAAATCGCACGTATCTGTACAAGCATCTCAAGAGTGTTCACACGGCCAAAATCATGCGCCCGCCGCTGCAGAAGCCGCCGCCACACATGCAGCATCCCGGCGGCTATCCAATTGGACCACCGCCGACAGCTGGCAAGCTGGATCCGGCGCAAATGCATCCGAGCACGGACTTCATGAGCACAGCGTCGCCGGTGAAGCCGGCTATCGCCAAGGCGCTGGCGTCAAAGCTCACCAGCAAGCAGAAGAAGAAGAAGCTGCCCGAGGATGAACTGTCCGTGTGTGGCGGCAACTCACCACGATCACCACTGACGCCGAACTCTGAACTGCTGGCCGGTGACTACATGGTGCCGTTCTCGAATGCCAACCAGATCAACATCAACACGTCGGGCAACTCAATCACCATCATCAGCAACGTCACGTACTGCAACACGCACGAGGGCGTCGTCAATCAGCCGCCAACGCAGGGGCCTCAGGCGCCGGCTGCTCAGGTGCCCACCACCTCGCACGCCGGCGGTTTCTACCCGCCGCCAGCCGGAGCGGTGAAAGTGGAGCCGCAAGTGACAAAGGTGAGTTTAAAGGAGTTCTATAAATTGTACTCTATTGCCACGTATCGTATCGATTTCACTAAATTATTCATTGAAATTGGATTTTCGAGCTGTTATCATGCTGAATTGTAGTGTAATCACAACACAATCTTCTCTGACATCGTCAATTGATGAGATGCAAGTGTGATTAACTGATAAATGGGATAGTTTATGAACTTTTAGATAGTTTAGTGACTGTTTTAGAGCTCAAAATTGGGTTCTTCTCTTGAAAGGAAGAGCTTTACTAAGGACAAACTCATTTAATTTTGCAGGTGGAGCACGTCGATGGAGTTCTCACGGAGAAAATCATGTCGTCTAGTGACGATCGTTCGACTTCGCCGGCGACATTTATCATCCAGAAGGTGAAGAAGGAAGTTGTGGTGTCCGAAGTGACGCAGAACGATGAGTTGTCGCACATTAAGGACAGCGAATCGCTCTATCCACCTCCGCCACCACAACAGCAGCCGCCACAGGCGCCAATGTTGCCCGTGTCTCAGCCACAGATGCCGCCGAGCATGGGCATGCCGACGGCGGCGCCACAAATGCCGCCCAGCGATGAAATGACGGATTTGCAGGGCGGCGACGACACGGAAGGCACGTTCGACGAGATGAAGGACGAGGAGGAGCAGATGGAATCTCAAGGGAATAGCAGTGACTCGCCGGAGAACTTGCCGGGCGGCGAGACGCCGACGCACGCCGCCGCCGATCTGATGAGCACAGAGGCTCTGACGCCGAAGACGGAGGAGAGTCTGCCGGAGGCGAAGATATTCACGTGCGATGAGTGCAATAAGACCTTCGCGAAGAGATCTCAGTTGACGCGCCATAAGAACATCCACAAGAACATCCTGTTCATCTGTCCGTTCTGTCAGCGAGAGCCGTTCAAGGCACGCAACTCGCTGAAGAACCACCTGAAGACCAATCACAAGGACATGCGGGAGAAGTGGGCGGATCCGGCGTACATTTCGGCGCAGGTGATCAAGGATCCGGACAAGGTGGAGGAGTATCTGAGGCAGTGGCATGAGAAGACCAAGTCGGTGATTGCGGCGGAGAATCCCAATGCGGCGGCCATGAATGATCCCGTGTTGAATCCCAGCACGCCCAATGCGGCGCCCACGCTGGCGGACATTAAGATGCTGAAGAAGAAGAAGAAGATGCTGATGAAGGCGGCCGGAGCCGCGGCCAAAATGGAGCCGGAAAGTACAAAGATGATGCCAGAGGTGAAGCTCGAGACGGAGGAGATGTTCAATCAGCCGCCGATGATGAAGCAACAGCAGCCGCCGCCGCAGATGATGCCGCCAGTCAATCCAGCGGTACAGGGTGGTGTGCCGCCGGGTGGCGGTGGTGGCATGATGCCACAACATCAGCCACAGCACCAGCCGCCGTACCAGCAGCCGCCGCCCCCGATGCAGCAGCAGCAGCCGCAGCAATACAACAGCCACGCTTACCAGCAGCAGAACATGATGGGCATGAATCATGCCCAGCAAATGCATCACCAGCAGCATCACGCCATGCAGCAGCCGCAGCAGCACTACGGTGCGCCGGCCGCGGCGCCCGCGGGGCCACCCATGATGCACCAGCAGCCGCAGATGATGAGTCCGCCGCCCATGTGCGGCCCCATGGGCTCATCGCCCGTGCGCACGAACATGCAGTCGCCGCCGATGTCGCCGCATCCCTCGCATCACTACTACCCCATGGCGCCGGCGGGAGGCATGAACGGCGGCGGGGGACACCATCCGCCTGGTGAGTCTCTCAATCTTGTCTTTTGTGCTTGAAATGTTGAGCTTTTTTAGTGAAACTCTTATGGTGAAGGCATAAGAGAGACTCTTAAGACAGTCTGTTAATGAATGAATGAACTCTAATGCCATTGAGCTGGGCATAGCCCGGCTCTATCTGTAATCGCACAAAAAATCAAATCTTTCTTTGATTGCAAATTCTTCTTTACGACAATAATAAGAAGAAATTGATAATAGTAGAAGCAATTTTGACTCCTTTAGTTGAATTTTCGTGTCATTTGACTCAGATTCTGACTGCTTCTTTGCTCTCTAATAAAATGCAAACAACCTTTCGCGGCACTCATAAAAGTTCATTCATTAGATGAATGTTGCGACGTGTCCAAAATGAGGTCACGCTTTCAGAGATTGATGCAATAGAACTCGAATGTCGATTGCCGGTCACTTTGTAGAGTTCAACTTCTCAAGACTGTTGTACTTTTTTTTTACAAGCGTGTATTTCTTCTACACTCAAGAACTCGCCTTTGCCTTTACTAGTCTCACGAACGAACTATACTGTCTTGAGGACAGTTGCGGAGTGAGAAAGAGAGAGAGTTCGTGTCTTTCCTTGGCGTGTTGTAGATAAGATCAGACACAGATGTTAATGCGCTCTTCCTGTCTTCCTTGCTGTTCAGGCGGAGGTCGAATGATGAACAACTACCCAGTGAATTCCGTGCAGCCGCAGCCGCAGCAGCAGCAACAGCAGCGCGGTCCGCCGCCTCTGGTGGCCACACATCATCCGGGCGGTGTGCAGCCGGCGGCGCAGTACGCGGCACAGCCGATGGCGCCGTACCAACAGCCGGCGCAGGCGAACAACTGCTACGCGGCGCCGCAGCAGTACATGAACCACCATCAGATGGGTGCGCAGCAGCACGGCGGCTACGACATGATGCACGCCAGCAAGCGACCGCGGCTGTACCCGCCGCCAACGCAAGCGCCGCCACAGCATGGCCACCAGGCGTACGGCGGCATGATGAGCGCGCAGCCGATGCACCACGCGTACATGCACCACCAGCAGCCGCCGCCCAACCCGCACCAGCCGCCGCCGCAGGCGCCGCAAGCAGGCCAAGTGGTCAGAGGCAATTTTTCGTAATGTCCTTATCCTCTATGATTTGTTTAATTGTTTTATTTTAATGTTTTTAACTCGCCTTTGTGTTGAATTCCTTTTAAAAGAAAATGTGGCAGAAGAAGTAGAAGAAGAGCAGAAAAGTGTATCAAAAAGTGAGAGAGAGAGAAAGAAAGAAAGAAAGTCAAGAGTTTAGACGGTGTTGAGTTCAGTTTTTTGGATGAACCTTTGTCACCCTGTATTGTCTCGTATTTTCGTGTCACTTTTGCCATTTTATAATCTAATATTTAAAAGAAGATGAAGAAGAAGAAAATGAAAAGAAGAGAGAAAATGTTGAGGAAGAGCAAATTGAGGAAAATATCTTGATTGCATAAATCACAAAATATTATATCAACTTCTTGTACAACTTTTGTTTAGTCCTTTTCTCCCTCCTGTTTTTCCATGTTCATAAAGTGGGAAAGGGAGAGAGAAAGAGTTTTTAAAACAACTACAAATTATTAATATTACTATATTTATTTATTGCCTATTTTAAAAAAAAAGATGAAGAAAAGAACGGGAAAAATGAGAACATAATGTTAAACAAAAAAAAGCATGAAATTCTTTGTCGATGATGAATATTTTTGTGTAATAATCTCCTTGACAAGTTAATTAAAGAAAGTATAAAAAGAAAAACACACTCTGAAAATCACAACACAGAACACAAGAAACAACACATTTTTTAAGATTATAGTGCAGAATGAGAAGAAAAAAAATTGAGCAATCATTTTATCGTGAGAGGAGGAAAAGAAGTTAAAATTTTTACGCTATGAATGAGATGAAATTTGAGAAGGAATTAAGATTACAAAGAGAAATCACTACTGATAAGATTGAAGAGCGAGAGAGAGAGAGAGAGTGAAAACAAGTTTATAAAACTTTGCTGCTTGCTTTCGATAACTATAGTAAGTCGTGAGAAGAGATAAAAAAAATTTTAAGGATAACTATTTTCTTTCGTTTAAGGATCAAACTTAGTTTATCGTTTCTCTTTCTTTTAAATTTCTACACGCGCGCATTGAGATGGAATTAAACAAAAAAAATGTGTCTTTCTAGAGAGATTTCTTCGTTCTCAATCTAAAATGTTCCCTTTTTTTTAAAGAAAAAAAATGCATCCTTAATCTTTATATAGATGAAGACTTTTAATAATGATGGTGAGAAAAAAGATCACAACAAAAAAAAAACAATGGAAGATTTATATCAAAATGCAAGAAAAGAGAGAAAAAAATATTACAAGTTTTACAATATTTCTTAATCAAAAAAGAAAAGGAAGAACAGTATGGTGAGGAGATAAAGAGGAAAAGGCAATTGAGAGAATGAAGAGAAAATCACAAAATCATAATTTTCCCCTCGAAAAAAAAAATGCAAATCAGAAAAAGAATAAAAATGTAGCGCGAGAGAAAAAAAATCACCCAATTATCCTAAATAATGAAGTAATAAAATGAGGAAAAGAACAAATTAACTAATAAATATTTAATGATAAGACACAGAATTTTTGATGAGAAAAAAGTCAAAGAAAGAATGTCGAAAAATGCTGCTAATTAAATGAGAAGAGAAGAGTGAATAAAAAAAAATCATTTTGCATGAAAAATTGTGAAGAAACTGAAAAAAATGTATAATCAGAAATTTATTATTCCTTTATTTATCATGTCATTTTTCCCCATTTTTCAATCTTGCAAATTAATGTGCAAAAATAATTGAATAAATGAAATGGTGAAGAATGAAAGAAGGAAATTCTACGTATAATATTTAAAAAAGAATAAAATGAACAGATTAATTTTTGTCTATTAAGTTTTCAAAAGAGAAAAAAAGAAGAGGAAAAAATATTGATGGGAAGAAAAAAAAGAACGTGTTTAGGCGAAGAGAGAGAAAGAAGAAAGAGAAGATAACAATTTTTAGGAGATTCTATAAATTTAGGTCCTACTTATAATAATTAAATGAATTTTTGAAAGGAAGGAATATTGTCTAGAACACTGATCTGGATGATTTATTTGCCAAAATTTAGTTGTATTGACAGAATTGCAAAAGAAAAGAGAGGAATTTTCTTCAGATCTGTGGCAATTTTTCATACTTCCACGCCCCCCTTTTTACATTACCAACATTATTTCTCCGCCCTCCAGAACAAATAAGAAAAAAAAAGAAAGACAACTCGCAAGAACAAACAAACCTCAGATAAACACACTTTAGAGAACAAGAATTAAAGTTTTAAAATAACTGACGAAAAGCACTAATTTTCTCGCAAATGACTTGAAAGAAAAACAAAAATAGAAATTACACTTGGAATATTAACTTAAAGAAAAACCACGTTTTGATGTTTGTAAGCGACAAAAAAAGAGTATAATTTTCATTTTGTACAACCTTCAGGAAAAAAAACGTGAAAAAGTGAAATCTTAAAAGAAGAAAAAAAAATGATGAAAATGAAGTGGAAATAAGGAAAATGAAACAGAATACAATTATTTTGTGTATAATTTATGAAGATGATGATGAGAGAAATGAAGAAAAACTTGCAATTAAAATATATTACAAAAAAAAATCCTTTAAACTTTCATTTGATCTTCAAATCGAGCGTGAATCAGCACAAATTCAACAATCTGCACAGAATGATTTGCCAAATTTCAACAACATGAAGAAGAGTTGCCGGAAATTGTTGACTTCAACAGCATTTTTAGGTAAAATTCTGACTACATTTTAGCCCTTAAAGCATATCATTATCTGGAATGAGACGAGCGTCGATGCTGAATAAAAATAATGATTATTAAATGCACAATTTGCACAGAGCAAAAGCCTCTGAAACGGTCACGGACTTTCATAGATTTCCCAATGTGAGGCAAATGAGAGAGCTTTTCTCAAAGTCACGGAAATTTGACTCATTCAGTCGTTAAAAGTCTCGTTAAAAGTGGTTTTTGGTGTGTTCTGTTTTCGAAGGATAGCAAAATTCAACAATAAAAAAAACCTTCGAAAGCGTGAAAAGATTTTATATGAAGTCCAGAAACGTTGAGGGTTAATTCTCTGTTGCAATGTTTCACTCGTGTTTCACGCAATTCTCTCTCCGTGTCTGGCTGTGGAAGCTGCGCTGAGATGATGAATATTCTGGCATGATTAATTGAGTCATGCGGAATGAACTTGAAAGCTCCGCTCGCCGCACTTCCTCGCAACGGGAAAAGCGTGTCCGAGAAAAGCCAGTGAGATGTTCGTGGAGATAATGAGCGCCTCATTAGAGCGCGAGGCAAATCGCAACCACCTTAATGACCACAACCGCAGCAGAAAAAAAGCGCGTCGCACTATTCATCTAATATATATATTCTCTCACAGCACTAACAAGAAACAGGGTAGAAAAGTAACAAAAATAAATACTTTGGCGCTCCTCTTGGCCCCATCACTGGCCGTCTTTGAAGACCGAGTGGTAAGGAAGCGCCGCGAAGACGTTGTTGAAGAGTGTCTGGATGATTTTGCTGAACGCATCCTCAATCACCTTCTGCAGCTCACCGAAGATCTCCTTCCAGTTCTCATTGAGGAAGTCATTTGTGGTCGGTCCGAGCTGTGGATCACCGTTGAAGAGATTTCCCAGATAAATCCAGGCTCGTGTGGTGGTGAAAGTGAGCTTCAGATTGTCCGTTTGCAGATAATCCTTGCCGTTCTTCGTGATTTTCTTCGCTGCAAGTCACAAAAGAGCCTTTATTAATTTCATCGCCTCCTTTTAGCCACGCCCACTCAAATGCCCCGCCCATAATCCTTAAGAATGCTTTCACAAAACCCATTTATCACTTAAAAACTGCATTTTACCCACGTTTTCAGACACTTTAAGCTGAGAAATGTCTCCGAAACTCACCCGTGAGGCGAATCTTCCCGACCATGTTCTCCAGGGTGATGTTGCTGTCTCCCTTACCCTGAATGGGCAGAATTAGCACTCTGCCGTTGATCGTGTACGGCCCAATGAGCGCCACTTTGGGCGAATTGAGGTCCAGCTCGATCTCCTGCTCCACATTCTTCCCGAATCCCTTCACCTTCGTCACCGTGGCGTTGTTCAGGCCGTAGAACTTCACATTGCGGAACTGCAGGTCGATGTTCACAGGACTGTTGCCGCCCTGCACGATGCTCATCGAGGGCACATTAATGGGATCGAACTGGAGCAGGTGGATGGACTGGATGCCCTCGGGGCGATTCCGCAGCACCCAATTCGTCCGCTCCACTATGCACTCGTGCTCCTCATAGCCGCACTTTGGTATCTCACTGGCTGCAAGAGAATGCGTGTCAAACACCGCGAAATCCTCCTAAACAATCCTCCCCACAGAGAAAGGCTTTTGAAACTCACGCAATTTCGCCGCTGAGGCCACGAGACCGAGCAAAAGAACACCACACACGGACTTGATCATCGTGGAGAGAGAGAGCACTATTCAATCCAAGTTACGAACAACTAATGCTGGCTGATCTTGAGCTCTGTCCACATTTATATCGCCACACGCGGAGAGCATCGCGCCCGTGCTCAAGGAGAGCCTCTTGCCGATCGACTTGCGCTGGTGAAAAAAAAAGGCACTTTTGTGGCGGAATCGGCGTGAATGTTGGCCGATCTGTGATCAATCTCGCCCTCTGTTCGCCCCCAAAAAAGGCCCAAAGACAGTCAAAGTGATTTATGAACTTACACTTGATCAGTTCGCGCGTGTGATACAAAATTCAGGAAGAATCTCACGCACAGACAGTAAGAATTCTCTCGTATGTAATTGATTGATAAATGGATAATCAAATTGATTATCACAATAGAATAGAGACGATGATTCGTCTGATATGCTCGAGACAATTAAGCGACTGGCGAGAGAAAAGGCGGGAAATTAACCGGGAAAACCTGGGAAAATACAAACATTCAATTAAACCATTCGCGATGAAATTCTTGTTCCCAATTTCTCAAACACACTCTTCGTGTCGACTTGACATTGGCAAAGAAGTGTGTTGGCCGAAAAAATGTGCATATATTTTTTCCGTAGAAGAAAAATTGTGTAACCGAGCTGAATTACAGAGTCGGAAGTTCAATGAATCCATTGAAGGCGCGCATCGGATGAAATGGAAAACAGGCCAATTTATGCACAAAACACAATCGAACTGTTTCATCTCGTGCGCTCTCGCGAGAGAGTTCAAGATCCACCCAAGATCACTCTCACTTGCATGGCTGATGAATTTTTCGATGACGGAAGGAAACAGCCCAAGTAGAACGAGTCTCCGGACTTGAGACCTGAAACACAGTCGCGAGCGTGTGTTTGCGAACGAGATCTTCAATTACACGCAGGTTTTCTGAGGCGAAAGTCACGCACAAACAAGATCGCTGAACTGCTTTTGATGATAAACAAACCCAAAACTTGTTTCCCCACAGACGACTTTTTTGGGGGTTTTGATGAATTTTGAGCACTTGTTGTTTATTGGATACAATTTCTAAGAATTTCCCGTGAAGATTTTGGCATAATCAAAGACACTAGAAGCTCCGCCCACTTTCACGCTCCGCCTTTTAAAATCATAATCGTCACTATAAAAAGTGCTCTCGTTAATTTTCAGCCATTTTCAGCAAATCATCAAGAGAAACCAGAAGTTTAGCTCTTATGAATAAGACTAAACTCCAACCATTTTCATACGAGACTTCATTCTATTCTGTTGTGATTAAGAAATATTGCTGACTTGGAAAAGATTACTTTGCAAAACTTCTTCAAGCAATCAAAGTCCAAAACTATTGATTATTTACATAAAAAAGTTTCAATTGCCACTCAATTTCCAATATATTCTCAGAATTGAGTTAAGAAGTTTCCGATAAGGAGTTCTTCAAGCACACCAAAAAGGCATTTCAAGTGCCAAAAATGCGCTAAATTCCACAAAAGTTATTTCTATACTTCCTGCAGAATCTCTAAAGGCACGCTTTTCCCATTCAAATTATCTCGTTTTTCCCTATTTGAGTGAAACTATTGACTGCAATCTCATGAATATTCAGTGGAAAATTCTGCACTTTCCTTATTAGCTCAGTGACTGTGAAAAATCGCACCTTGTCGTCTCAGTGCGTTCCGGTTTTTTCCTGGAAACCATTAAATCACGGTAAATCGTCAAAATAGAGCGTCATGCGAGCTTTGAATCCTCACGCGCGACGGAGATACGAATCTCCGGGCATTAAGTCTCTAATGACTGGTGGCTTTTGTCATGTGCTCACCTTTGGCCCAAACTGCGACGTGCAAAAAGCTATTTATTGTTCTCGGGAAAATCTCAAGAGCAATTTGCCAAGACAGATTGTAGGATCATTTTGTGGTTGAGTCTCGAGATGTTGAGTGATTTGTCAAGTTTTTTTTTTGAAATCAATTTCACGTCTTATTTATTCTAATCCGTATTACATCAGAACATCTGAGCGCAAATTGATGATTTATTCTTGCCATGTGTAAATAATACCATTTTTCTCCTGCTTGCAAGCAAAACAAATAGTTCTTCAATTTAGCCATATGAAATCCATGTGAGAAACTAACTGATTACTTATTAATTTATCTCTCTAAACCATTAATATACATCTCCAGCAGATGGAGAAACATAAAATTGCAGTTAGAGTAAAGAATATGATCAAATTCCTGCATAAAATCCTCACATTGTGATCAAATTGCTAATCGAAAAGAGCGATAAATACTGATATCATGGGAAAATGCGGTGTTTGTTCTGACTGATTGCGAATGAGACTTTGGGTTCAGGGTACAGAAATATGCAATCTTTTAGTGTCACAATTGGGAGCATTCGATTTTCAGGCGCCATTCTTGTAATTCTTGACTTCGTTATGGTCACTTTTGCACCTCAATTACTTCTTCAGCACTTTCAATGGCACTTCTATCGAGGTTTTCGACACAAAGTTTCGTCGCAAGTTCAAGGGGCTTCCAAATGTTGATCTTGAACTAGTGTTGTGAGATAATAAAACAATTTCCTTGATTTCTATCAATTTCATTTAGAGGTTTTAGCAACTTTTCGTTATGAAACACATTTGATACAGTCAATTAAAACTGAGCTGAAATACAATTCTTAACTTGTAGTCAAGCGAAAAGAAGGAAATTCATGTTGAAATATTGAAAATGCTCAAATCAAGAGGAATTTCCGCCATTTTTATAATATCTCAAGTAGAAAGAACTAAATATCTTCCTAAATTCAGTAAAATGAAAGTGTAAAAACGACTTTCGGTGTCAATCTGCGGGCAAAATATTTTTTTCTCACTTGAATTCTAAGCTTTAAAGCTCTCGTCACGTGCTTTTCTTTGCGTATTTGCGCACCTCTCGAAAATCCACTTGAAAAAGTAATCCACTTGGACGACTTTTTACTCTTCACCAAACTCCCAACTGGTTTTATCAATCTAGATCTGCGTCCCAGACAAGAAGCACAGCGAGAAGCATTGAGTGTGCGACGCTAATCCGCTGGGCAATCCCCCAAAGAATCCCCAAAGCCCCCTAATTGCCCCCACATCGTGCCGAGAGAACAGACGGATGCCGTGACTGATGAGCTGTGGCAGGACGCGGAGATCCTGCCAGGCGCGCATGCCGGCATTCCCCTCCCTTTCGCCACTCTCGGGCTGGATTTCCGTCCACGCGAGTCAGTCTGTCTGTGTGCGTCTCTGGGCCACTCTCGCTCGTGGAATTCTTTGTGAAAGTCACAGCCCGAAAGAGAGTGAATGGCTTTGCGGACTCTATTGCGAAAAAATCGTGTCAGTCGCCAAGAGTGTCCCGTCCGGCAGTGATTATTGGCTTTTCGGGTGTGATTCTGTGGCAGCAGCAACAGCAGCAGCAGCAGAGAGTGAGGACTTCCTTCTTGCGATGAGCCATGACGAGAGGAAGCCAAGTGCTGTCAATGGACTCTGTGGAGTGTGAGAGGAAAATCGATTATTGGCTTTAGGGTATGTTAACAAGGCGACGGGAACATTCCACGTGAAATTATTGAAATGTTTCCACGCACAGGAATTCAACACACAAAATCGCAATTTTCGGGGGGTGGAAATCAAATAGATGAATCTCTATTTATATTGTAATATAATTTCATATGTAATTTAATTGAGCTTCCCAAATTCACGATGTCACAATTCATTTAATATTGTAATGTTAAATTGTAGAAAACCACACCAAGGGAAAGAGAATCACCAAAAGTGGTGTACAGAGAAAAGATGTGCTTTAAATATCTCTAAAAAATTCATTCTCAATTTTAGTATATTCCGATTACATTGGCAAAAGTATCACAATTTCAAAAGTTTTAACTTTCCAGGACATATTTAGTTAGTTAGATTTCCGCTAGATGACCAGCAGAAGCTCTTGTCCTTAAAGCAATTTGAAATGAACAGAAATCAACTAATTTTTGCGTATTTACCAAGGTATTTTGGGTGTTTTCTTCCTCTTAATAAATTCCTTTGTGGATTAACCAAGTTTTCCTTATTCTACACTTGAGCTAATAATGTTAACTAAAATAACAAATTAATAAGAAATTATTTGTCTCAGAATACATGCAAGAAAGATGTATTTTCAGTCGAAAAGCGGCTTTCCCTTGAAGCGTGTAACTTTTGAAGCTGTGCTCCAAAATTCATTTTAATTGGTTTTCTGCATAATTGATGAGAATCTGATCCAAAGCGCGCACAAATGAGATGATTAAATTTTCCTCTCTGCTGCGTACAATCCTTGGTGTGAATCATCACGCACGCCCCAATCGTATAACATGAGAACCGCGTGGCTTTCATTGTTTCATTGTGAAATCAATATAGCGGCTCAGGAAGAACTTTAATTAATTAAAGCAGAATCGTTGAGAATCTCCAGGAATGTTTCGTGCCTTTAATCCAGCCTTTAGCAGGAGCGGCTGAATATTAAATATTAAGCACTTAATGGCACTCATCCAACTTCCTCCGCTCTCGCAGGACCACAAATCCGGAGCAATAATGGGCGTTTTGCGGATGCTGCGCCGCTGTGGGATGCCACGCTGGTCAGCCGTGCTCGTGCCGTTCCTCTTCTACGCCATCTTCATCATCGTGGTGCTGAATCTCTCCTTCCCGCTGAAGAAGGCCACCGAGGACACCACGCCGGATTACGTCTCCGTGCCGCCCAAGGCGCCCGAGACCGTGATCCTGGCCAGCGCCGACACGGATGGCACGAATCTCCTGCGCGCCGCCTTCCGCAAGGCTGACCTCGACGCCGACGGCTTCCTGGCCATCCAGGAGCTGGCGAGGTACATCAACACGCGCGTCCGCGAGCATATCCAGGCGGCGGTGCGTGCCAATCCGTTCGCCTTCGCGGAGATCGATGTGTCACCGCGCGACGGCCTCGTGACGTGGGAAGAGTACCACGCGCACTTCCTCAAGGATCACGGCCTGGACGAGGACTACATCGGCGCGCACAGTGAGCAGAAGCACGTGGGCCTGGACAGGAAGACCAAGGAGACCATCATGCGCGACAAAGCGCTGTGGCTGGAAGCGGCGCGCACGGATCCCTTCAGCCTCACGCTGGATGAATTCCTCGCCTTCCGCCACCCAGAGTCCAGCGCCGCCAATCTGCTGAGCCTCGTCGATGATCTGCTGCGCCAATTTGACCTGGACGGCGATGATGTGCTCACGCTGGAGGAGTTCAGCTCCAATCCTGACGACGACGATGACGCCAAGCTGGCCAATTCTGCGTCCCATCGCAAGAGTGTGGCCGAAAAGCGTGAAGAGTTCCGCCGGCTGATCGACAAGAACAGCGACGGACGAGCAGATCGTGCTGAATTGCTGTCGTACATTGATCCGCGGCATCCGCGGCACAGTTTGCAGGAATCGGCGACGCTCTTCAGCCTCGCGGACGCCAATCGCGACGGCAAGTTGTCCTTAGACGAGGTGCTGAGTCAGGCCGGCGTCTTTCTCGCCTCCAAGATGATCAACACATCGGAGAATTTCCACGAAGACTTCTAGAAAAAAACATTTCCGTCCTTTTTTGATCGCGTGAGATTTGTTGCAGCAACAAATCTCTCTCTCTCTCTTCAGTGCAGAAATCGCGCTAATTGGCGGCATTTTGCATTATATATTGTACATACTTTCTGGCGTTCCGGGCTGCTTTTCCAGAGCTTCAAGCATCACAGCTGCAATACAGCATCCGAGGTGGATTCTATCTTCATTTGCGCCAGTGAAATTTATGGTAATTGATGCAAAAGTTCAATTTGCATATAAATTTAAATGTGCTTTTTGCGAAACTTTTCCATCCACCGAAATGAAAGTCTTTGAAATCCGCTAAATTACCATGGAATTCAATGGGAAATTTAAAAGATTTCTCAATCATTCTTTAAGACAGACTTAAATGAACTAAAAGTGCAATTGAATTCAATTTTACAGTCTTTAATTATTCCCCTTTCCTTATCACTGCAATTCAATGTTATTTAATCATTTTCAATTTAATTTGGTCCTTAAAGAGGCGAAAAATTGAGAATGTGAGATTAATTAAAGAATAATATTTGTATAATCAAGAGGAAACGAATAAAAAAGGGTTCATTTTTCATGCTCTTCTTGAGAGTCTGCAAATTGCGTGATAAGAGAGCCCATTTTTTCAATGTCCTTTACACTCTCTTTGCAGGAAACATTGATCCAGACCAACAATGGTGAAATACTCCTGGCTAGTATTGAAATTCAACCACAATCGAGTGCTGGAATTGTAATTTATGCCACTCGAAAAGGTGGGAAAACTATAAATAAATCGACAGTCATTGGAAAATAATAGTCAATTGAGAATCTTTCCAACTTTCAAAGTCGAGCGCCACTCATTGAACATGTCGAGTCTGCAGAAGACAGCAGGAAATGTATTGGAAAGGACTGCTTAAGAGGCTCAACGACAGATTTGCCCTCAATTTGAGGGGCGAATCAATAATTCAACTGACTTTAAAGACATTGAAATTTCCAGCAATTCACCGAATCTTCAGCTGCAGACCGTCCAAAAAGGCCAAAATCTTGTCACTCCTTCTCGAATTGCAAGGAAAAATTTTCACAGCACAAGAAAGAAAAAAAAGCACAAATTCGAGAGCACTGAATGTGAATTAGAATTACAATGGAAACGGAGATTTTCATACAGAAAAAAGTGTTCATAAAATGTCCAAAAAAAAAGTAGTTGAAGAAGCAAAATGTAGAATAAATATCGATAAATCACAACTTTGCGCATCATTTTTCCAGCCATAAAAAAAACACCCACACTTTTATTCACCTTCAATAATTTATTTGTTTTTATACACATACTGAACAAGTTTTAATTGATTAGTTAATATTTTTTCTCTCTCATTAATATTTCATGTCTCAAATGTCTCTCACTTCTCAGACTCTTTCGCCGCGCCCTTTTTTTCTTTTTGGTGAAAAAGGGATGAAGAAAGAAGGAAAAAATTGTCCTAATATGAGTGAAAAGGAATTTCCCTCAATGTTTCATTTTTCCACCTACTCATCTTCTTCTTCGCCGAGCAATTAAAATCGAGAAATGAAGAGTAAAATGAAACTTTAATATGAAAAAAAAGTGGGGCCGAATAAATGGAAAGTTCCCGATTTGTGTTTCATTTTTATTATTATTACTCTATCGAAGGTGGGCTTTGAAGAGGACAAAAAATCCCCTCGCGATACCACTTAAAGAATGCCATTCTCTATTAGCTTAAGAAGAATTTTTTTTTGTAGAATTAACAAGAATCATTCTCACACATTTCCATGCGCGCCCATCGAAGGAAAAAACACAATTTTATATAGAAATAAATTCCTACTAACGCTACTGACTTAAAATCAAAAAGAATATTTTCGCCTAAATCCACTCACTTTCTCTCCTCCTCTTCTGGCTTTTCTCTCTCTCACTCACACAGGAGAGAATTCATTGTATATTCACTTAAACTTCTCATCTGCGCTTCATAATCTTGTCTACTTTAAAAACCATTTTTTTTTATATAGTCTCTCTATAACCGCTATTATCCACAATAATTCATAGTTTCTTCTTCACCTCTATTGCTGGAAAGTGTCGCCGCTGCTCAATGTTAAAAAGACGTGAAAGTATCTTCTAAATATGCATATGAGGAAGGACTTTAATTGTAAATTTAACTCTTTAAACATCTCTTCTTTCTTTCTCACTCTCTATCTCTCTCTCTCGTCAATGGCTGTGCTAAATTAGTTCTTTTTTCTATGTTTATTTGTTTCTCTTTTTCAATTTGCTAAAAACCTCAAAATGCGCTCTTTTTTTCCCCCTGCGCGGTGGTTTTGTCAACGAAGATGATGGAAAGAAAAGCTCTTTTGCAGATGATTAACAAAAAAATTAAAGACTTCTCTTTCACTGGCAAGAAAACGCCGTCATGCGCATCTTTTCACCCTTTTCAATGCCTCTTCGTCTTCTCCTCCTTTTAACCCACAAGAGAAAATCAACAGGACAAAATGTGTGTAATGTTTTCCAGGAAAATGACCCACTTTGCTAATTATTGTTCTTCCTATGCAATATTTTTTTTTAATATTCTTTATAATTTACATTTTAGCCATCTACCTTTTTTGTATTTTTTTTTTCGCTCGTTAATTGCTATTAAACTGACTTTCTCTATTACATTTACTGCTTTTCCCTCTTTCTCAGCTAAAATAGTTTGTCATTTTTTATTGTTGGACAGCTTTGAAGGTTTGTAATTGTGCCTCATTTGCATGTATTTCTTCCGATTTTATTATAATTCTTCTATTTTACTCTTGAGAACGGAGCAAAAAGTGTGAGTTTGCGTGTGTGATTAAAATGAGGACGTGAAAGGATGGAAAAACTCAGAGCTTCATTCTCTTCCCAAATATCGTCATTTCATCACTCTCACTGGCTATTTTGTTTGTCACTGATTTCAATTACTGAGTTCATAATTACTTTTTTTTTTCTCTTTCATCTAAATCAGCCTGTAGAACTAATTAACAATTATAGTTTTCTCATTTTGTTGTTAAATGTTAATACAATGTTTTCTTCTTCATCTTCCTTTAATTTGTTTTCTTTTTCTTCAATTTCTCCCCTCAATTGCAGCAAGATTTTTCTCTTCTTCAGCCATTCGCCATCCATGGAAACTTTCTTCGCCTTTTCTTCACCTTCTCTCTCTCTCTCTCTCTCTCTCTCTTTCTGTACAATTCTGTCGTGGCCACTTTAGTCCGTTTCAGCTTTCATGCCTCGCACTTCGCCAACGTGACGCTGCTTGTCCAACTCCTCTTTGGTTTTATCCTCAATGGCACGAATGTCCTCCATTGTCAATCCATGCCAGCGATCCATCCAGCAGAACACTTGTCTGCAACAGACAAAGAACCAAGGAATTCAGTACATTTTGTGCAACAGGACAAATTGCCTGGGAATCTTTTGGTTAAATGGAGAAAAGAATGCTTTTCTCTATTACAGGAGAGAAATTCCACATCCAGACTGTGCAAATATTTGCAATACAATGAAATGCCCTTTATTATTAACTTTAAATAGAGCAGAAATTGTGCTTTGGTTTTCATTGCACGGATAAATTCATTGCAATTTGATCATGCAAAAGCACTTGAAAAGGCTTCAAGAACACATATTAGATGCTCAATAGACTCAAGACAATTATTATCTAACATTTTTCATGAGAAAACCATCCAACAGATGACGACCCTTTGACAGTTAAATAAATAAATAACATTTTTCCCTCGCAATTCATCACTTTGGAATGTCTTTACGCTCTGTTATATTCTTAGTCATTATAATGTTTGTTTTCTAATCTCTGAATTTACATTCAAAACATACCAAAGAAATGTTTTGTGTGTGAAAGATTATCTAAGAAAATTCTTAATCATTTCTTTACTCAAGCCTGAAGTCTTTTACTTTCTCTCAAGTCGGGAAAATTTCGATGAAATAATTGCAAAAAATAGATTTTGTGAGTCGGAAGTAAGATAGATAAAAAACCCCAGGATTTACTCTCTTCAAGGTGACGATAAGAAAGCTAAACTCTGGCCTTCTGATAGCAGAAAAAGAGAAGAAATTGAATAGATTACCAAGAATTAAACATCAAAATCACCAAGCGAAACAGGATTCTGTGCTTTGAGCTGAATTGAACAGAAATCATTTAGCAAATAAGCAAGAGAAGCGTGAGAAAAGCCGAAATGACCGTTAATCATACGTGAAAAGCGCGTGAATTCAACAAGGAAATCAATAAACTTTACAGTCCACGCGATCGACCAGCAATTAATCATCTTATCAGTCTCTGCTGGATGATTTTATCAGCTCAAATTTAATACATATGTTGACTCTGTGCTTGACTCACCGATGGAAAGTTGTGAAGAGTCGTCGCTCGGACTTCTGGATGAAATTCTCTATCCTTGACTGGAGTCCGAACCATTTGAACTCGCACGTGACCAGCTTATAGCACGTCATCACAGGATCCACCTTCTTCATCCAGTCCGGACCTACGAGCGGCCCACGCCCCGTCTTCTCCGACTTGAACTTTGTCGGATCCTCAGACGGTTTGTAGTCCGCCGAAGACACGGAATCATTGGCGATATCAATGTGCACAACGTCGCGCGTTTTCAGCTTCTCCGGCGGCAATTCGTGAACCTACAGAGAGTGAGTAGTCCAAGAAACACCACAAATTAGTCACAAAGAGGAACATATTTGATGTTATAATATTTGGTGAAGAGAAAGAGAGAGAACATTTATCAATCACACATTTTTCAATCAACTTCTGAGTCATTTTTAGCTTTTTGTAAAAACAAATAACACTCATTTGATTATCTTTACATCATATTGAAAATATTCTCTCTCTTTTTCTCTTTCGTTCGTCATCTCGTCTTCTTGACTTCACAAAACAACACAAACATCACACATTTTCTCACGAGAAAAATCCTCTCGATAGAGAACGAAGTGAAAAAAAAACCTTGAGACGAAAACCAATGCAAAAGGGAAAATATAATCATAACAATAAAAAAAGCCAATGAAGCGACAATGAAAAACAAGCACTTTTCCACTGTTTGATACAAAAATTATACAATTTCAAACGCACAATTGCTTCTTCTTAATCACCATGTTTTTCCCGCCTTACACACAAAAAAAAATCTTCATTTTGTATTTGTACCAAGAAAAAAAAAACAAGGAAACAAGATTAATTCGATTTGACGCAAAAAGAACAAACCTAGAAATTGTTAGGAAAATAAAAACAGTGTCTTTAATTATTATTCGTACTGTAACACCTTTTGGTCACGCAGACGCTTCGAGAATGTTTCAAATTGAATGTTTGTGGAACTTCCAAATTAGTGAATTTGGTGATATTGAATGGATTTTCTGATTAATTAATTATTCCATAACTTTTAAGAACAAAAGACTGTGAGTAACAAATTATTTCATAGCGAAACACGAAAAATATCAAAATACAATGATTTTTAGTCACTTTTTAAATTAAAGCTTTAGCATTTTAGGCTCAATTTTGGTGGGTTTTTCTACTTTTTTTTCTTTCTAATGCCTAAAAAACCCAAGACTTTTACATTAGATAATAAATCTCTAGATAAATTGTCTTTTCTCGCAAAACACTTTGAAATAACATTATTTTGAGTGATCAAAAGTGTCTAAAAATGGCAAATTCTCCATCAATTTGCCTGCCAAAAGTGTCCAAAATGTGTTACATCAATAAAATAGTGTTGTGTTAGTCCTTGAAACAGGCAAAGAATCATCAATTTGTTATCCCGAAGAGAGAATAAGAGAGGAAAGAAAGTGTCTGTGATGCTAAACTTACGTTGTGCTGATTACCCACGTCACCGACATGGAGAGACTCGATGCAAATCACAAAGTTCTCTTTCATGTATCCTGGATTCTGCATTTTGCAAATTTGAGGCGATTTTTTGTTGTCATTGCACACAAAAACACACGATTTTTGATTGTTTTTTTTTTTCAACACAGGACAACAGAATGCACACAGAATTTTGGTTGATGATGAGTTTCAATTGCGGATCCAATAATTTTTGTGTGTTGGATTTGGTTTTTAATATCACATGTTGAGAGAGCGCGAAGCGTGCAACAGTCAGAGAAAATAAAAGAGAAACTGATTAACAAGTCTTCCTTCAACTTACATTATCATTGGGATCAACTCCGGGCAAGTGAAAGGATTCAATGTGAATTTCAAAGTCCTTCTTCATAAATTTGGGGTTCTTTTTTTCAGTTTTATGGTGGAAAATCAATATGAGGAACGAGGATGCGAATATTGTTGGGAGAAATAAAGAGAGAGAGAGAGAAAAAAGTAGAGATAAATATACAGTAAAGAGGCTGAAAAGAGGCCCAAAAGTGGGCTTAACATACGGTAATGACTGTTCGACAGTAGGGATAGGCATTCCAAGCCTCCTCGTGGATCTCCAGCGATCCCTTGGGCGCCAGTAGTCGGATGAAGGCTGGCACTTTTGACGCTAAGTGGTAGATTTTATACGTATACTGTCCGGAACTGTACCGCCCGCCTGCAGAATGAAGTCATCCATTAGTCATCAACAAGTCCCGCGCGATGACGAAAGTCTCTCAACTCACCCAGCAGCGGATGGTTGGTGAAGGGTTCGTTCTTGAGCACTTCGATTCCCTCGCCGCCGCCCGTCTCGTTCTTCGACGCCTCCGCCACGGAGAAGAGCTGTGCAACTTGATACTGTGGCCGTCCCGGTTTTCGCGCGTGGAAGAGAAAAGGCGCAATCGATTAGAAATTGTGTGAATTCTCAAAGACATTAAATAACGCCGGAGGGCAAAACATATGGCACGCTTTTTTGCACGGTTTATATAAATCTGCGCTATATATTCTCCTTGCCCAATTCGCGCGCGCGATGATGTAAAAGAGCCACAGATTTTAACTTTACAGCAGCGCTCTTCTGCAATCACCACACGAAAATACGCGATGGCAATTGAAGAAACTACGCGTAGGAAAGCGCAAACCACAAGAATTGCCGAGAAAATACTCTCATTTTCATCAATTTCTCAGAAATCATTATTTAATAGCTTTCATTAAATGCCATTTCTTTGCCTTATCTAAAGTTTGTTGGAAAACTCTTTGAGAAATGTTAAAGTTCCCGAACTGAAGAAGCTAAACTTTTTTGCATTTTTTATCTCTCTTTTTGCGAACACATTTTCAGCGCGAATCGAATTGCTGATCGCCAAACCTTTCGATCTTCACGGACAACCAAAAAAAACGCTTCTCATCAAGATGACAAACAGAAATCAAGCAATTTCCACTATCATTTGATAATCATGGCAATAAATCGGGCGTTTTACGGCCTTCGAGCGCGCTTGCAAGGCGGACAAATTAAGGGCCTAAACTGGCTTCAATTGCACAGGTTCTCTCATCTCAAGAGCACCGCGCGATCGATTGCATCCAATTGACCCCCAAGCGCCCCAAACGCGAGCACTCCAGAGTCAACTCGAGTTGAGAGAGTGACTTTTCAATTGGCAACCGGGCGTGCGTTTTAAATCCACACACACGACGACTGATAAGATAGTGGCTATCGAATTTAAGGGAAATATCGGAAGGCTCTGTTATCTCGGCATTCCGCTGGCCGTCCGGGAAAGTCCTCCTCCTCCTCGGCTTACCTCCTCCACGGTGAGCGGCAAGGTGACTCGGCTGCAAAGAGAAACGCAGAGTTAATTGCACTGTTGGGCAATCGCGCGCCCCACTCCTGGCCAAGACACACAGAAACCCGGAGTTTCGCCAGCAGCGCGTGCGGGAATTCCAGGTGCGCTTCTTCTTCCGGAAGCGACACTCTGGCCCAGTCAACCTTGACCCAGAGAGAGACCCCGCCGAAATTTCGGCTTGTCATCGCGCGCGCCGGTGACGTGGACTCCGCCACGGGGCGCCGCGAAGCCGCCTCGCCTCTCACACCACTTTTCTCGCGAATTTTCCCACACTCGCCAGCGACCGAAGCGACCCCCGAAACTGTCAAACTTTTTTCCTCACGAAACTCCCCCATTTTCCGCCCGTTTCCACCCCACTTTGCGCCCCGCGCGCGCCAGCAGCGTGGACCGTGGGGCCCACCATGGGCGTCGATACTCACAATTCTTTGATTAGCATCCTGAATGGGGGCCTAATTGATGGGAGAAACACAATTAAATGCACATGGGAGGTTCTTCTTGTAGGGCCGAAAAGTGACTGAAAATTCTTCGAAATTCGAGTCGGGTTGTCGACTCACGGCGCCCACGAGAGATTCAGTTCTGAAATCCCACGACTTTTCCGACGCTGACTTGGACATTCTGACCAGATGTCGATCGGAAGGGAATTAATTCTCAATTATGCAGTGATTTTTGAATAATGCATTGAATTGTGAAGGATTGTGAGATGACCTAAACCCATTTTCAGATGACAAATGCTGTGTTTTCACCATATCAATCAAATAATAAAATGAATTTCTTGAAAATCCCATGTTTCCGCCGTCCAAATTCACCTCAGTGCAGACCTCTTTCGGTGAGACTTTCCGAAAACACACACGTTTGGCGGGAAATTGTATTTGCATGAGAAAATATAACATTTCACGGAGAAACTACAGAAAATACCGTGCATTATGAGTCGTCGAGTTGCATTTCCAGCTCAATGTCCGCGACGCTGAGCTCGCGAAGGGAATTCATCAGCATGTAGCGCGAGAAGAGGATGTAGAGCTTCCGGAACCACACGAACTGCGACCGGTGCTCTTGCATGGCCCTCATCACGATCCTGCGGTCGCACCAGCGCAGCACGAACCAGTTCCTGGACAGGAGCAGCGTGATGGGCAGGTCGAGGACTAGCATGTACTTTCGCAGCAGATTTGTCGACTCCAACGTGTAAAATTTGCAATCTGGAGGAGGAAAAAGCACGTGAGGGAGTAAAGACTTTGCCGTGGGCTTTTTGGCTCACCATTTGGCATCATTCCGGCGAGACAGAGCGAGGAGGCGGCGTAGAAGATGGCTGTGTGGTTGGGATGCTGGCTCACTCCGTCGCGGTCGAATGTGATGAGCGCCTCGATCTCCAGCGCGTCCACCATCTGCTCAATCTGTCGCGCGATCGTGCCCACCTTCCACTCCACGCCCGGATCGTCCGGTAGCTCCGTGAGGTTCATGATCGTAATGTTCTCCGGACGCATGTTGAGAATATGACACGAGCGGAAAAGTTCTTCCCTCCGGATGCGTCCTTTCTGCTCGTGATCTCCTGCAAGGGACAAACGGAGAAGGTCAACACGCTCCAAAGAAGATCTTCAGATGCTGCTTACCTATGGAGAGACAGAGGAGGTACACTTGGCAGTCAGCTCTGCGGCAGAGGGAGAGAATCGTCGGCCCGAAGAACATGCACTCATCGTCCGGATGCGCCAGGACAAGGAGAACCCGCTTGTGGCGCTCCGGGAAGTGCGCTGATCGCAGCTTCAAGCTCACTGGGCGGAAGATCCATCGGTAGAGACACAGGCAGACGATGAGGTAGAGGAAGAGGGAGATCACGAGGTGCTCCAGCGCGTCGGCTAGCCAAGATTCCACGTAGGACAACAAAGCGTTCACATACAGCCCAGTTTGGCTCTCCTGGACAGTCACATTCATTGGCACTTCGCGCACTCACTAACAACTCATCTTGTCAGGCTGCAATTGCACTGGCCACGGGCATCTTCAGCTACTGCTCCTCCTCAAATTGGCATCCGGGTCTCCGGAAATTCCGTGCGAAAGTGTCAGTGTCATGCTGACGTGCGGCTTTCGCGCGCTTTTCGCAGTTTACGCCCAGCGTCAGCAGTTCTTCGCGATGTCGCAGCCGGATTCCAGGAATGTGGAGGTGAAAGCCCGCATGGGCAGTGATGAGAATTTCAATCGGTGTGTGGAGATCGCCAAGAAGCTCTGCTCATCCGAGGGAGAAGTCATCAAGCAGCACGATGTCTTCTTCAACGTCACGAATGGTCGTCTCAAGCTGCGATTCCTCGAGGTGATTCGCCGCAAAACCTCTAGGATTCTCCAGATTAACACTTCGTCTCCTTCCAGAACACTCCATCGCAGCTGGTATCTTACTCTCGTCCCGACACGGGGGGAGCAAAGCTATCCTGCTTTAAGATTCTGGAACTCACTGAGCCAGAACTGCTGAAGACAATGTTGGCCGAGAGTATTGGCATCAAGGGAGAAGTGAAGAAGATTCGCACACTGTTCTGGCACAATCACACCAGAATTCACCTGGACAAGGTGGAAAATCTGGGAAATTTCTTCGAGCTGGAAGTTTGTCTTCGGCCGGAGCACACCATCGAGGAAGGCACGAAGATTGCTAATGAACTGGTGAAAATTTTCAAGATTGAGGAGAAAGATTTGATAGCTGGAGCTTATATGGATCTATTGCTGGGAAAATAAAGAGCATTTTTCTTGTATTTCCTGCAATTTTTCGCATTTTCTCTGCTCTTGGATAAAAACGTAAACATTTTGGATAACGCCTTCAGCGCACTCTTGCGGACTTTGTGAGTAGCAAAATTCATCGATTTTCCTCGCCGCGAACGTCACGCACGTCATTTTTCCCCGCTGTGTTTGTAGTTTTTTATTTGCAAAAAGTGCCCTGCCCAAAATACTTTTCATCAAAAGTAAGTGAAAATTGTGCAGCACATCTGCCCAAGAGTGCCTCAAGCATGCCGTGGAGGTGGCATTGAGGAGGGTTGTCCGGGAAAATTGGCACCTCTTGTGAAGAAAGTCGAGTAATTCGTGAGAAACAAAATGGCGACAAATTCAGGGCAGAAATTTTAGTTGCTCTTTTGAGGGACAAATCGGGTGGTTTTTGTCGTGGTTTCTGGGGTGTGGGTTTCTTTTGGGCCTTGTCGGTGGGTGTGGGTGGTTTGCGGGATCGTCGGTTGGGGTTTTAGGGGTGAAAAGTGGCAGAACGTGAGCCGGTGTCCGGAAGGGGAACTCCCGGACGTCTTATCTCTGGCCGTGACTAATTCACTCTTCACTGGCGCTTGCAGATCTCGAGGAGGCCGTGTGAAACAGCGAGGACATGCAGACGATCAAGTGCGTGGTTGTGGGCGACGGAGCCGTGGGTAAAACCTGCCTCCTGATCTCCTACACGACCAACAAATTCCCCTCAGAGTACGTTCCAACTGTCTTCGACAACTACGCCGTCACGGTGATGATCGGCGGCGAGCCCTACACCCTGGGCCTCTTCGACACTGCCGGTGAGTCCGTCCGCACGCCAAGAATGACCAGACACAGCGCTAACGCCACTCTCTTGCTCTCCCTTTGCAGGCCAGGAGGACTACGACAGACTCCGGCCGCTCTCCTACCCCCAGACAGACGTCTTCCTGGTGTGCTTCTCCGTCGTCAGTCCCAGCTCCTTCGAGAACGTCAAAGAGAAGGTAATTGCTTATCAGGTGGTCTCGTGACCGCCTCTGTTTGTCCATCTGCGGGCGCCTATTTCGGGCGCTGCGCGTGGGCGGAAGCAATGTGTTCTAAAGCGTAAACATTCTGCTTCCGGAAGGCTGAACTTTCTCGCCGAAGTCATCAGTAAATATAATTGGTGAAACTTTTGATGGGAGCCTTTCAGGCGTGACTGATTTAATACATATTCACTGAGAGGAAAAATGCGATTGAATTAATGTACAATAGTTAATCATAACATTAAATCTCAAGCATTGATAATTACAGTAAACTCTATTACAGAAGAATATTATCTTAGTCAAATTTCAGTTTGTTTAACTCTTATTTTCCTGGAATTTTATCACGCTAAAATCACAAATAGATTAGCAAATAGATAAAATTCATTATCACTTTGTTGTTATCTGCACTAAAACAGAGACAGAGACTATGCAAAATAACTTCGTATCAATTTTTCTGCCTATTAAGCATTGTTAGAATTGAAAGAACTCATTATTTTCTAAATTTCAAGTTTGATTCATATTGAATTTTATAGTCTGATAAGAAAAAAATGTCACATTTTCCTACTTGACAATGAGATTTGCTACATTGAGTTCTTTTTAGCATAATTACTAGACCTAAAAGGATGTTTCATTAATGGATTGCTAGAAAATCGGATGAAATGTGCTTAAATCACGTATTTTATCGACTTTTTAAGATCGTTTACTTTCTGAGCATTTTTCTCTGAGTGAATAAATCATTTGGGGAGACAAATCGAGGGCTTTTCCAGTCGATTAATGCTGCATTGCGGCCATTTCTGCTGTGCTTGTTTTTCAGTGGGTGCCGGAAATAACGCACCACTGCCAGAAGACGCCCTTCCTGCTCGTGGGCACGCAGATTGACTTGCGCGACGAGAGTGGAACGCTGGAGAAGCTGGCGAAGAACAAGCAGAAGCCCATCACGATGGAGCAGGGCGAGAAGCTGGCGAAGGAGTTGAAAGCTGTCAAGTACGTCGAGTGTTCCGCTCTGACTCAGGTGAATATTATTGTGGCCGCTGAGATGCGTTTTGTGCACTCACGCATTCAATTGTGTGGAATTTCTCTTGCAGAAAGGGCTCAAGAATGTCTTCGACGAGGCAATTCTGGCGGCTCTCGAGCCACCGGAGCCGTCGAAGAAGAGGAAGTGCAAATTCCTGTAAGGAACAGCCACAAGAGGAGAAGCTTTTCAAGAGGATTCATGAGAGGAGTTCGTGGAACATTTTTTCTTTCATTTTCTTTTCCTTGCGTAGATGAAAAAGCAACAAATTCACTTGAGAAATTGCATTTAAGAGATAGACTTTTGAGAAGGGATAAATGTTTTGCTCTGCTGGCAATAAAAAAAGAAAGAGATTTTTATTAGCAATTTTACAAAGCATTTGAAAATGCAAAAATTTATCTTTTATTTTCGGGTTTTAGTTGAAAAAGGAAAAAGAAAAATTGTAATAAGAGATTTCAGTTGATTTTTAAGCAAATTTAGTTGGAGAAACATTTTTAGCAAAACGTTGGAAAAAAAGTAGAGCCAGAGAAAATGATATGATTTTTGAAGAAGAAGAAAAAAAAGACACAAAACAGAAGAAGAGAAAAAGAACCTTTTCAAAGCCGATAAAGATATAAATGGAAAAAAATGAGTAATACAAAAATGCCTTGTTCTTTTTTACAACAATTCATCTTGTAATTTCATACTTGAACTAAAGAAGAAAAAGAAGAAAACGATGAAATTAGGAAATATTTAAGATGATAAGGAATGAAGGAGAAAAACTGCATAAAAGTTATATTTTACTAATTTTTCAGGAAGCGAAGAAGAAGAAGAAGAAAAGAATCAGTAAAAAAATGTAGTTATTTATAGGAAGAAAAAAAAATCATGAAACTATATTCATAAATTAACATTAAAAGAAAATATTGAATAATTTCATGCAATATCAAGTCGCGAAAGATGAACTTTCGATTAGTGGTTAAAATAGCGAGAAAGAGAGAGAAAGTAAAGCAAACTTATAAGAATATTTACATTTAAAGTTTAAATTTAGAGGAAAATCAATGACTTTGGAATTAATTTGCATGGCTCAGTATTTTTGTTTTTGGAGAAAAATTCACCTCTAGATCTTAAGTTTTCTACTTTTTAGTGTCTTTTATAGAAGAAATCCCAATGATTTTCTTTTGTCGTCTATATTTTGTGAGCCAAGAAAAACCCAGTAAGAGAGAATTCTTTACGAGAGCTTCTAAGAGTGGGGGATTTTCCGGGGGCAGAAGAGGAGTGTTTCCCGGACATAAATTCATATCGCCAGGGGAAATTCTCAGTCTTCCACTCTCTGGATTTGCGGAGGGAAAATCTGGTGGCAGGTGAAAAATCGGGAGGTATTTTTAATTGTAAATATTCTGTAAAATTATTATATAATCAATTACACAAGAAAAAGATAAAGAAAAAAAATACACTTTTTGCTAAAAACATTGACAACAGAGAAAGATGGAATTTTGAAGAAGTCGCTATACAACAATTTGTTAGCCAACAGGAATATTAACTACAGATGAAAGATATAAACAGCATTAACCTTTTTATAATAAAAAAAAATGCAAAAAATATATTAATTTATATTTTCCAACGAAAATATCGTTTTATTTTCCTCCTTGTTTTGTCCGGATAGCGTGCTTTCCGGACACTTTCTCACGCTATATTTACATTTTCTATTGGAGTTCACCTAAACTAGTCGCAGTCTGAGTGGCAGGCCTTCATCCTTTCAGCTCGGGAATCTTGTCAAGGAGCGCAGCTGTGGGCTGGGCGTTCTCCTTGACCAACTCCAGCTCCTGTTGTTTCCTGGCCGGCTTCACGACGGTGAAGTAGTTGAAGACTCGCGTGCCCAGCATCGTAGTGGCGTAAAGGGTGAGCCCTATGCACGCCCAGACGACGCCCCGGTGGACCCTGTCGTACATCTTGTCTCTCTTGGGCAGTCTCCTCATGTTCCCGGACGAAATTCACAGAAACTCGCGGAGGAAAATAAATGTGAAGTGAGGCGAACTTTGGTTACACTCAGTGTGATTCTGAAGGCGCCAAGACAGAATTTTAATCACTTCAGTAATGAAGATTAGCCAATGACTTGGTCAGTAATAAGTTTCCTGGCACAAGAGAAGCTAAAAGAGATATTTTATTTGTAGATTTACTATGAAAACCCATTCAGAATATGTAAAATTTCATCCTTATATTTCTGTTGATAACAATAACTGTGAACTCTGAAAGAAATTTAATTTCGGCTGTCATTCTAAGTCATGTGTTCGCCACCAGAGGCGTATGTTCGATCAATTTCCCGGGAAGGAAATTTGCACCCAATAAATTCATCAGTTTTTTTTCATGAATATACAATTTTTCCTACCATTTCCTTTCCTTTTGCACTCATGCAAAATTCCTGGACATCCTCCACTTCCCCTCGGGAATGCCCGCCACTTGGCGTCGCGAATCGATGAGTTCCGCGGAGGGGAAATGCGATCCGCGGCGCTGACTGGCGTGACTGTAGCTTTCGTCTGTGAATTTGTGTAGTGGATTTTTGAAGAGGCGAGAATTCTTCAAATTTTGTGATAAAATGACATCCAGAAGGTGAGAAAAGTGTCGCGACGGCCGCCCAGTGTCGCGGGGCGGGCGCCCCGCCGAGTGGCGCGGCGGGAATCGCGGGAAATGTGAAAATGGGTCATCATCGGAGAGAGAGAAAAAAGACCACTTTTGTCTCCCACCTCATTTCTCTCTTTTGGGCCGCCCGAAGAGCGCCTCGGCGCTCTGGGGCGCCCGCGGGGGCGCCAGAGTGGCTAATGGCTTCTTGTCTGCAGGTGGTTCCATCCATTGATATCTGGTGTCGAGGCCGAGAAGCTGCTGCTGGAGCACGGATTCGACGGATCCTTCCTGGCGCGCCTCTCGTCCTCCAGTCCGGGCGCCTTCACGCTGTCCATCCGCCGCGGCCAGGAGGTGACGCACATCAAGATCCAGAACCACGGCGACTTCTTCGATCTCTATGGAGGTGAGAAGCTGTTCTGACTCGAAAACCCGATGATCATCTCCCCTCCTGACCACCTTCTCTTTCGCGATGCCTTTTCCAGGGGAGAAGTTCGCGACGCTATCGGAGCTGGTGCAGTACTACATGGAGAATGCGGATCAGCTCAAGGAGAAAAACGGCCAAGTGATTGAACTGAAGCAGCCGCTGATTTGCGCCGAACCCACGACCGAAAGGTGAGCCAATTCCCGCCATGTCGCCCGCGTTCACATGGAATTATTTTAATTCCATGGCCGTATTCGAGGCACACAATCATGCAAATCCGCACGATCGTCTCTCGCGCGAGATCATCTCGCGCTCTCGCGCATTTGTCATGTTCCGCGTGCGAAGAGCTCTCTTTATCAGCACTCTGCCAGTGCATCAATCACTCTTCCTTTCGACGCCTCCCAATATCACGGGGCGCGCTCTTGTGTGGACAGCAATTGTGGGTGCAACACTCCTCCATATTCATGATGATGTTGGTCAATGCGAGCGAATTGCAGAGTCTCGCTTGGCAGAACTTGGCTTTATTGACACTCACAAGGCGAGACAATTAGCCAAAACTGGTGTACAGCTCAGCAGAAGTGCTATGAAATGGAAGAGTTTAGTTGATATTCGCATAACTCGACTCATTATTGCTTGTTTCTTAATACAATTCTTACGCGTGATCTTCAAAACTTGAGCTTCAGGGATTTTCCTCCATAGAAACAATCGAATTGGTGTACAAATTGCAGTCAATTTTCTCCCCCTTAAACACTTTCCTCAATGGCAAAACAGTGCCTGACCGGCGTATTGCGCTATCATTTAAATAAATTACTCCACTACTCTATAATTAAGCGTGACGGTGAGCGCGATTACTAATCGCGCGCACATGCTTTCGATACTGAGATGAAGAGAGTCATTTGGGAGTTGAGCTCATGTTAACAGACGCTAAAAGCTCTCTCGCATGCGGTGTGAAACCGGTCGAGGGAGAGCTTCATTTGCAATTTATTTAAGTATAAAACGCTTTTCCTTGTTCAACAAACGCGCCATCACAATACTGTGTTGCCAATCGGCAGTAGCGCAAAGACCTTCACACATGTTTCAATGTTGCATATTTAGCGGGAAAATTAGCTGTTTTACAAATGAGCATTTGTCGATTTATTGCTGAAGTATGTTAAAGAATAAGATCTCTGTTTCTGGGCACAGTTGGGAAAATATGTTTGGAAATCATTATTATTATATTCCTTCACGACTTGTGGTTTTTCGCAGGAAAAACGGCTTAATTGATGAGATGAAGAGTTATTTCTGTCATTCAGTGCATCATTTGTATTTTTATGGTATTTCCACAAGGTGGGAAATTGGATATAGGGCAAAAGAGGGCAGTTTTGAACAGGAAGTTTAATTAGTGAGACTCAAATCAGTAAAAATCCTTGTTTTCGATTAGAGCGAAAACTTCTTTTTGTTCTCGGAAATCGAAGAATTTTAGCACAGACACAATTTTCTCGATTTCAAGTCTTGGTTTTGAAATCTTGAAACACTATTTTTATTCTTTTTCTAGCCTATTCATGAAAGATTATCTTCAGATCTCTATCAACTTTTAAGCTTCTTTCCAAAAATTGCTCCGCATTCTTGTAATGCTGGGCAAATCTTTGTGGGGCGAAAATCGATAGTTCAAGCACACGAGATTTGCGTCGGGGGAGCGAAAAGGTGGGGTCATTAGAGGCGAGAAGAGATGAAAGAGCAGAAGAAACAACAATCTGCAGGCAAAAGTTTAGAGGAAAACAACCGCTGTGCATTCATCAAAATGATGATTTTCCCAAGCGGCGGCGGCGAAGGTGGGAGGGAAAAGTTGATGAGGCGCGACATGGAAGGTTTCGCATTGTAATAGGATGGAAAATGCTCGTGAATTACAATAACGTTTTTACCTTTTTTTTGAGGTGGAGTCGAGATGAGCGAGTGAATATGATTTCAGTCTTATATTTACACTCTCAAAGTTGATGTGAAGTTTGTGTTTCAAACTGGCCAGAATTGAATTCGTGAGAGTGCGTGAAGGAAGGATTAATTCGACACTCTTTGGGCGGGTTTTTTTTTAGTATTCGGTGGACGCATAAAGTGAAGGACAAGCGAAGCACTGCGTGACGTTGTGAATCACATTTATTCGCGCATTGACATTGTTGTCCAGGAAAAAAAGATGAGATGAGAACAATAATAATAATAAGAAATAAATTCGCGCTGAAAAGACATTTTGAGGAGCATTGAAATTCATCAGGTGATAATTTCCTCATTGAACTCACTGAAGGATGTATAAATTGATTGTTTCGTGTTTATCTCGAATTTCACTGAACTGAAAAGAATTCACTTTTCAAGTCACGTCGCTTGACTCAGCCAAAGTGTTGTTAAATGCAAATTTTTCCATATATATTTTATTGGCAAAAGTCTCACTATTTGTGACACGTTGGAAAACAATTTGCTTAATCGTGGAAATGAGGTGTGAAGAGAAGAAGAAGACGAAGAAGTGTGATGAAAATGCACAAACATTTGAGCAGAGCAGAAGATAATTATAAGTTAATGCGCAGCCCTAAGAAGGAATTAATTAACAGAGAGATTTTTAATGGTTTTTCTATTGTTTCTTTCACCATTCTTCATTAAATATCCTCTTCCTCTTCTTGAATATTCTTCTGATGATATTTTCATATCTTTCGCAGTGGGGAAAATATTGCAATATTAATTTGCTTAAGAGATTTACAATGCCATTAATTGCCTAGTTAGTGTCACAGGTTATTTTTCATATTAGAAAAATGAGAAGAAGAGGAAAAAAACCTTGCTTGTCTCAATTAATTATAAAAACTCTCGGTTTCGTTCACTGAAATTCGATAGTTCCTCAAGAGATTATGAACCGCGCCATTGTACAAAAGTCAAATATTGTTAGTGAATTTGCACGCATAGAAGCAGATAAAAAAGTGGTCTTAATTTGCCCGGTGCGAAGATATTAATGGTCAGAGTTGGTGGAATCCAATTGAATCCGCAAAGCGAGAGCGAGAGTGCGAGAAGACTGAAAAAAAGGGAGACACAAGAAGGTGAAGAAGAAGAAGTGTGGGTGCTTTTGAGAGACACAAGAACGGCAGTGATTAATTGGCAGAAATTCACATTAATCGCAATGAGGATGAAGATAACAAATGGCCGTGTGATGAATTGAAAAGATCACGAGGTTGAAGAAGAGCTTTTTGGCATGGATTGTGGCAAAAATAGGCTTGGAAGTGAAGTAGTTGTGATTCACGTGATTTTCTTGGATTCTTCTTTCAGACTCTCCTAAAAGCTAATATTGTATTATTGGGTGTATGAGAAATATCGCATGCCATTTAAGTCCATGTTTTTCTCGTTTCTCAACAATCTCGCACGGCTGACCCAATGAGATTTGTCAGAGATTGTCTCACGATCATGCTTGAAAAATGCGCTCTTCTCTCACTAACACGACGTTGTCGCGACTCCACAGCGATTGACAGTGAAATAATAATATAAATGCAAATTGCTTCTCTAATACAATCGATTCCACCTTGAGGATTTCTTCTCTCTCTCTGTCTCTCTCTCTCTCTCTCTCGCTTTTGTTTCACTAAAAACAGAAAATCAAAAGACAAAAAGATTGTTCTCTTTGCAAGAAATATCAATGTTGGAAAAGAATCTCGCGAGCAGTTTGATTTTGTGTGTGCCTTCGGAGACTCCAAAGAGTGCCAAAAAATATTCTGTCTCTGCACAAATTTTTGTCCTCATCTTCTTATTTTGACTTGTAAATCTGTGCGCGTTCGAGATTTCTTCGTGCAAGCAAGGAAAAAAAGAACACTTTTTGCAAGGTGTGTTCTCTCACTCTTGTATTCGTCACAGGTGTGTATTTATTGTACATGTGAATTTTGTGTGAATCCCACAACGACAGTGATGATGAAAGAGTGCGAACAGGTTTTTATGAAGGAGCGTAATTAAGGTGGAATTTTTTATGTATGAACTTCTGGACACAAGAGAGAGAGAGAAAGGGAGAAAATCTCTGATTCTCTCTTCGCAATTTCATGCAAACAATCAATATTGAATTTATGAATGTTGCGCTTATATGCTAATTTTGTGGTGTGTCTTCAAGTTCAGGGATGCCCAGCAACTCTTCGCGCCTCACTTTTTTCTTCGCATTGTTGCTTCATTTTCAAGCGCAATTTATTGCTGATCTTCGATTGTCTGCTGTCAATGTGCGTCCGCGGGGCGAAAAATGCACTTGAACTGAGAAATTGAGGTGGTAATTGGAATGTTTCTCATCATTGCTGAGTATTTTTTTTCTGCCATCCAGAAGCAGGAATTTAAACAGTCTTGAAGATAAACACTTATTCTTCTTATTTGCTCATGTGCGGAATTTGGGAAGAAAAGTAGACAAAAATTCAATAGAATGTCAATGTTAAAATGACAAAGAAAAGGGTTTCTTCACTGCAATTATTTAAAAATATAATTCAAAAGACAAAATGGTCAATTTCCTTTATCACCTCGATTTATTCACGTTCAACGTTTCAGGAGATTTTTCCTCCTTCTTCACGTGTGGAGGAATTTCATCACTATTTTCTTATCACAACGCGACCAAACACTTTTGCCTTCGTTCCCTGCACTCACTCTGTGATTAAATCTGTTTCTACGATCAAAACATGAGATTCGTATTGTTTAATATGTAAAATGATGTGATAAATCAGAGTGAAGATCTTCGATGGAAAATAGGAAGAATATTTCTATGAATAGAACATAATTTATGATCTCTTTCACTTTGCTTTTCAATTGTGTTGTCTTGGGATTTTTTGAGATGAAAATCCACAAATAGAAACAGAGAAAATTTTCCAGGCTTTTCCATATATTCTTCACCTTTTGATAGGTTCACCCTCAAATTAAGCTTCTCTTCTTCTCCTTCTAAATGGACCATTTAAGCCTGTGGCACATGATTCCAGGCGATATGACAAGGTTGAGCTCGTGATGCGATTAACTAAAGAGTCATTAATATACTATTTTTATCTCTCTTTCTTCTTCGAACCGCGCGACCAATTGTGTTTTACCTCTGACGCCTGCGTGAGTGTTGTCAAGTGTCTTTGCGCGCATCTCATTTCAATTAGTTTCACAACCCTATAAAATAATGTGACGCACTGACTGTGCGACGCGCGATCACATGAGTTGAAGAGAGGATCATCTGAATGCCATGTGATATTGTCATGAAGTGAAGAGGGGAGGTGGAAAAAAAGGAGTTGTATTTTTGTTCTTTCTCAAATTTGTACAAGCACAAACATATGCCTTTCGGGGAAATCAACTCACATACGATATATTGTTTTGGTTGTGGGTGGAAAAATTCTCCCACTCTCGCTGGTTGGCACATGATTCTATTTTGGCTAATTATAGCAACAAACTCACCTGCCATCATCCGGTAATTTTCACATGAATATTCCTTTCTTGAAATTCTGTGTACACTCTTTGTCACCTGTGTAACTTTTTCGAGGAGAGCCTTTTTTTTGCTCTCTCTCGTGTGTGGTTATTAAATATCAATTCGGCGAGACAACACAACAGAGAGAGAGGGAGAGACAAATTACCATTTTGGTTTGTTTTTCCCGTGAAGTGGTGTGAGTGTGTGTTTTCGCGCGCGATCAGAGGAAAAGATCGCGCGAGCGCGTGTGCCGAAGAGTGCGAGGGAGACAGCGTGACATGGAGTGTTTGGTGGTAAAATGACAAGATCGCCTAATGAACTGAGTCAGTTGCCGGACAGGAGTTTTTCAGTCATCAACAGATCGTCCAAGTAGGTGCACTGCTTTTCGCGTGCGTGCGTGCCAAGTTGTGAGATCAGTCAGCGGAAGAATATAAGCATCGAGGATCTCGATTGGATTGCACCAATTCGCAAAAGGAGACAAGGAAGGAAGGAAGAGAAAAGAGCTACAGAAAGTGTGCACAGTTCAGGCGATCTGAAAAAGCGATTGTATTGCGAGCACTCTGCTGAAGTGTGTTCTGAGACAATATAATCCACGAGGAAACACAGCGCAGCAAAACACTTAAAAGGCATGTCTGGGGGATTTTTCTATGAGAACATCATTCTTCATCTCATTGCAAACGAGAGTGAGACTGCGGCGAAGGACAGAACGGCGCAGCAGAGCAAATTGAAGAGATTCCTGAGGAAGATCGGACTGTCGCAGTGAGTGAGTGGCGCAGAGAAGATGTTCAAGAGGTACGTGAGCAAGTTGTCCACTGCCCTGGGCGCTGTTCACTATCTCTCCGACAAGGGCAGATCGCATCACCGTGAGTCTGCCGAAGTGCTGGACATCTCATCAACATTGCCATTGCCGGACGCACAGATCATCCTCTCAAATGCCATCGCCGAGCTGCGGAACACACTCTATTTCTACCCGTTAGTATAACAACCAACAAAAAAAAAAGAAACTAGAATAGGAAATCACCTCAAAGTGCAAAAGATGTGATCAAAAAGTCGTGTGAAAATTAAATAAAAATGATAATGGAATTGGAATACATAAGAAAAAAAAACTCCAAAGTGATTGCGAAACTGAATAAACTTAAGGAATGTCGAACGGGGAGTGAGAGAGAGATGAAAAAAGACAATCATTCGCTTTGCCAATTGATATGAAATTAGCATCTCTCTCTCTCTCGCTCACAATCTATTTATCCAATAATCTTCATTAATTGCGTCCGTGCATTAGATTTAAGTGGAAGCTTTTTTCCCCTCCGTCGCCGAGATTGAGATGGTAATTTATGGAGAAGTGACTTTGATGACAAGAGAGTGGAATGGAAAAATCCTTCACACTGTTTTTCCACTTTCAATTTTCGTGAATCACACATCGGCATTTAATTGCATTCAATTCAAATGCGCCGAAGAGTGTGATTTTTTTCTTTCTTTCTTGTGTCTGTTGTGTGATTTCGTTAGTGAGAGGATAATCAGTGAACCAGAAGATAAACTCATTTGAGTAGAAAAAGAAAAAAAATCTCCGTTCGATTATCGTGTTCGTAAATTCACTTAGCATAATCAATTTTCCACCATTGTTGTTGTTGTTTTATCACCGCAAAATGCCTTAAGAAAAGTGAAATAAATACAGAAATTTTGTGATGATTTATTTGGTGTGTAGAGAATTTGCCCATCGCTATGCGTAGAGAATGACTGAGAAGTGTCTCATTGAGATGTTTGTGATCTCGCGTACAATGCAAAATGAGAATAATTAGACAAGCAAGTATTGCGTAGTTTTCTGCGTCTCTCTTCCATCTGTGGTGATTTTTTCTCTCTCTGCCTTCGCGCTTCTCTTCGCGCACCATTTCCAAGTCGAACTAGTTTCCATTTACAGTCCCGAAGGCATCAAAATAAATGCCTTGGGCTTGAGATCATGTGAAATTGGCGGGAATGAGAAGATCTCTCTCTCTCTCTCTGGTCAAAAGACTGATTGAAATTGTTCTAATTCCGATTGTTCAGGACTTATGATTGTATTTCAAACATTTCTATTAGAAATTAAGCTCGAAAAGTGCGTAAACATCAATTATCTCGCATATTGCGCAATGAAAATTCATTTAAGAGTTACGAAAATGATTCAAGAGTGCTTTTTTCTGTGCAAAAATTAATAAAATTGATCATGAATCATAATATATTGTTTCTAACAGAAAAAAGCACTTAAAAATACTCTATTTTGACTGAAAAAAATAAGGTAAAAATTTAATTTGAATAATTAATTTCCCCTTGACACTCACACAAGTTGTACATTTTCTCCAGATCTGGAAGAAAATGCGCATGATTTTTAGCTTAACAGACAGAGTTTATTTTACTGATGCTTTCCGTCCTTCCGCCCACAGGTGGTTTCACGGGAATCTGTCCGGCAAAGAGGCGGAGAAGTTGATTTTGGAGCGTGGCAAGAATGGATCGTTTCTAGTCCGTGAATCTCAGAGCAAGCCAGGTGATTTCGTGCTGTCCGTGCGCACAGATGACAAGGTGACGCACGTGATGATTCGGTGGCAGGACAAGAAGTACGACGTGGGCGGTGGTGAGCAATTCAGCACGCTGTGCGAGTTGATTGAGCACTATAAGCGCAATCCAATGGTGGAGACGTGCGGAACTGTCGTGCATCTGCGGCAGCCCTTCAATGCCACGCGTATCACGGCGGCGGGCATTAATGCGCGCGTGGAGCAGCTGCAGAAGGAGAACGGCGGCCACTGCTATGGCAAGGGTGGCTTCTGGGAGGAGTTCGAGTCGCTGCAGCAGCAGGAATGTCGGCACTCGTTCTCGCGCAAGGAGGGCCAGAAGATGGAGAATCGCAGCAAGAATCGCTACAAGAACATCCTGCCGTTCGATCACACGCGCGTGAAGCTGAAGGATGTGGAGAGTGGCACCGCTGGTGCGGAGTACATCAATGCCAACTACATTCGGCAGCCGACGGAGAGCGATCAGGGGGACATGAATGCGTCGTCGGAGAACCTGAATGGCGGTCAGGCGATGTGCGCTTCGTGCCAGCAGAAGAACTGTCCCAATTGCCAGGCGCTCAACAAGACGTGCGTGCAGTGTGCCATGAAGAACGCCATTCTGCCCGCGCCGTCGACCAACTGTACAAATTGCAACAAGAAGAGTGAGGTGAGTTCCAGCAAAGACAGTCAAATAGATCCTTAAGTTCGCTGCTAGAGCGGAAAATGAGATCTTCAATTTATTTATTTGCTTGTTTAGAACCTTTTCAACATCAGAGAGTTAACAATTGTGTATGAAATTTGACGAACATCTTCCAAAGTACCAAAACGCCTCTCAAAAGATCGTCTGTTTATCTCAATGTTTTGCACACTCGTTCACGTTAGTTCTCAAGTTGTGTTGAGGCGTGCTGAAGTTTGTTTAGAAACTCAATAATGATCGTTCTATGTGAGAGATTCATGAGTTGTTAAAATGTGTTTCCGAAGATAATAGAAGTTGGAGTAAATATTTGAGTATTCATTGTCATTCTCTTTGTCTCTCAGATTATCAACTCGCGACACAAGAGGAGTGAATCGATAACGTCGCGCGGCTTCGTGATGAACATGCGCAAGGAGGAGAAGGACATGTTCAAGACGTACATCGCCACGCAGGGCTGCATGCCAAATACGATCATTGACTTCTGGAATATGATCTGGCAGGAGAATACTCGGGTGATTGTGATGACAACCAAAGAATATGAGCGTCGCAAGAACAAGTGCGCCAAGTATTGGCCGGATCAGGGGCAGACGCAGGAGTGGGGCCACGCCAAGGTCACGTGCATCACGGAGAGCTCAACGAACGACTACACGCTGCGTGAGTTTCTGTTCTCGTGGCGTGGCAAGGAAGAGCGGCGCATCTTTCAGTATCACTTCCAAGTGTGGCCAGATCACGGCGTGCCGTCGGATCCTGGCTGTGTTCTCAACTTCCTGCAGGATGTCAATCAGCGCCAGGAGCAGATCATGATCGAGGGCGCGAATCCAGTGAGTTGATCGGATCTTGTTGAATCGCTAGATTGTGTGTGTGTAATTTGTGGGTCTTCTTGTCCTTCCAGGGGCCAATTTGTGTCCACTGTTCAGCTGGCATTGGGCGAACGGGGACTTTCATCGTGATAGATATGATTCTGGATCAGATCATCAGAGAAGGTGTGTGTTTGATCAAGCAAATTCCTCCGTGGCACTTGCCTAAATATTCTCTGAGAGTGGCTAAAAGCTAAAAATAGAACGCCAAACAGTGTTATCACAGTGTATACAAATGATCACGTTGTTTGCAGGAGTGGAAACTGAGATCGACATCCAGCGCACGATCCAGATGGTGCGCTCGCAGCGCTCTGGCATGGTGCAGACGGAGGCACAGTACAAGTTCGTCTATTACGCCGTGCAGCACTACATTCAGACGCTGTTTCACGTGCGCAAGGCGCAGGAAGTGAGCGTTCAGGCGGGTCACGAGTACACGAACATCAAGTATGCCGGTGAGATTTGTGATCTGCAGCGATCGCCACTTCCGCCGTCGATGTCCACGCTGAATCTGACCAACAGCAAGCAAGACACTCTCAACTCGAAGACGCACAACAAAACCAGGTGAGACTGCGATGAATTTTCGGGAGATTCTTGATGATTAATCGATGGTTTCTTTGGCAGATCAATATCAGACACGCAAATTCCAACTCCGCCAAGATCAATTGTTGACTTCACGACACAAACAGGTGAGAAATTGAGCTTGATTTTTACTAAAAGTGCTTTTTTACTTAACTTCAAGACATAAAATTTATTATGGAATTTCTTTTGGTTGGAATTTCCAGTCTATTTTCCCATTGTAATTATGGAGAATCCACGGAAATTTGCTGGAGGTTCCAAAAGAACATTAATGGGTTGTTTTATCCACATTTCTGCCATGAAAATTTGCTTTTAGTTGGGAAAGTTAATGTTTAGTTCAGGCACTGAAACTTCTTACGTAAGAACAGATCTTGAAATGGTTGACAATTAAGTGGAATTCTTTGTACTTTTCCAGTTGCTTTTTTACTGTATTCAGCCATGAGTTCATTTCATTTTAAGTAATCAATGAAAAAAAGCACTTTCTTAGCAATGAATCATTTCTTCTCTCGTCTATTTTTGTCCCTGTTCTTTCACTGACAACACTTTCTTTCTGCTCACTGTCTTTGCAGTATATGAAAACATTCCCAAAGACATACGGCCGCCGCCGCCGACGCCGCCCAGGAAGTCGTGACTGGTCAGAGATTGCTGCGCAGAGGTCGGCATGACGAGGAGTGACGAGAGCCAGTGATTTTCTTCTCGCCACGCTGTTTGTTCTCTTCGTGATTGATGGAAATTGAAAAGGAAAACATTCTCTGGCGACGAAAAAGAGGAAAAAAAAACGCCCCTCGATAATCAACATTTTCAAAAAAAAGAAAAGAAAAACTGACAATTAATTTTACAAATATGAAGAAAAGGTGAGAAAATATGTGAAGTGTTAAATTTGTAGGATAACTAAATGTTATTTTATAAGGAATCTTACAATTTTAGAGGACAGATTTGAAGAAATTTACCCCCGAAGATGTGTGGTTGGGTTCTTTTTGACAAAATTGTGATTTACAAGCAGATGAACGCGTGTGTGACTTTATTTAAAAAACAAAAAACGAGAGGGAGAAAATTTAAGGGGATGAAAGCATTTTAAAAATGATTTGTAACTGTTATTTATTCCTGAATGTGAAGCGAAGAAAGTATGTGAGAAGAAGAAGAAAAAAACGTGAGATTTTCCATTCAGCGAGATGTAAAGAAGGAAGAAAAGAAATTGTGGGGAAGTGAAATATTTTTTGAGTATTAATTTTTAGTGAAGAAGTGAAAATTGTTAATTAAAGCGGAAAAGAAAATAATCTTTTGCATGAATTCTCGGACAACTTTTCGCAAAGAGGTGAAGAAAATCATGTTATTAATGGTTTTTTTTTTTATTGTGCACTCTAGAGTAAAAGATAAAAAAACTGAGGGAGGAAAAGGATTAAGAAAAAGAAATAATTTTTATTTCTAGTGTCTCTATAAAGTAAGGAAAAATAGGATGTAAAATTGTTAAAATGATAAATTTTGCCATGTGCAAAGTCAACCTAAAAAGAAAACACCATAACAATGATTTACAAACCTAATTATATACAGCAGAAAATATTGGAGATATTTACTTTGAAGAAGAAGAGAAAAAAAGAGTAAAAAGGGGAGAAAAATCGTTGTAAGTGTAATAAGAATGATAAACCAAACAATGTACGATTGATGTAGGCTTTAATTGTTAAAAAACCAGACACAATTTAATGATTGAAGAAGAATACATTGAAAAAACAAATAGTGAAAATAATAAAACATATAGCAAAAAGTGTGTAGTTAGGATGATTGATTGATCAAAAGAAACGCTGCTTTCCATGTTACAGAAGGAGAAGAAGATGATGAAAAAAACTTCAAGAGGAAATTACATTAAAAGCCCACTGAAAGAAGAAGAAAAAAATCCTGCATTTTCATTTCAGTACGGTTTTTTATTTGTTTTACACAATATAGAAAAGAAAAAAAATGAAACATCTATTTCACATTATTAAACTTTAATACTGCAAAACACTATTTAATTTCCCTCATTCTTACACACTATGAATTTTTTCTCACTTGTTTTTCTGTCCTCTTTTCCGGGCGACAAAAAACGGGAAACTTTGAGATAAAAGGGAAAAAAAATCTACCTTTGAGAACTGATTTGATCTACAGAATGGAGAAATGATAATAATAATAATAATAAAAAGATAAGAGATTATAGGCCGCGTCTTTCAAATTCTTTTTTCTTTTCCTTTTTTACAATAAATCATTAATGACTCTCGTACAATCTAATGGCTAAAAGTAATTAAATTACATAATTTGGTCGTCGTGCTTTCACTGGGAATCAAATCTGCTTCTGCCGAAATGCGCTTGGCGTTCACTGCGTGGGCGACGGCTGGCGGCTGCCCATCAGCATCGCTTGCGGATTTGGGCTGATGCTCCGCCGCACCTCGTCCTCCTTGGCGCGCACGTACTCGCGGATCTCCGCCATGGTCTTCAGCATGAAGATGGGCACGTCGTCGTCGCGACGCTGGAACAGCACTTCGCCCTCGAAGTCGATCAGCTTGTGCTTCCGCGCCCGCAGCAGCAGCCCGACCACCTTGTCCGAGATGTGCACGTAGATCTGCGGAGCGACAACAGATTAGCTTCCTGGATCACCAGACCAGACGCTAGTCAAGCACACAGTAATTGCAGTGATAAGCATTCGATCTGCTCAATAAGTGTGAAAAATGCTCGGAATTAACGCACTTTGCGGCACGAAAGAGTTGTAATAATTGCTGTGGCTTCGAAGAATTGCGGAATGCTCGCAATTGTGCGATAAGAGGCAGTAATTTGTCCAAATCCCTGCCTATATTGGGATCAATTTGACTTCAGTCAAGTGAAAAGTGAACTTTTATGACCGAGAATGATGTTAAAAGTGCAATTATTTGCAGGGCAATGAAGGAAACCCAAGAGAAAGCCGCTCAGGATGAAACAATCCTGAACAACTTGATGATATAATTCCTAATAAATGAATTCATTGAAGAAATAAAGTGATTTGGAATGTAAAAGGACCAATAAAACTGCTATAAACTAATAAATCCCCTTCAACTGAATCAATTCCAGCTTAAGTGCTTGCGAAATTCCAGGCAAAACTGCATTTTGGACTCACATTAAAGAGTTCGCCGAAGAAGATGTACTTGAGGCCCTCATTCTCCTCCGAGATCGGCGCTCCGCTGTTGTTGATCACATCGCACAGTTCCATCATCTCTCGGTACACGTGCAGATTGGCCTTCTGTCCGCGGAACTCCGTGAGGCTTCCCGCCACGGGCCTGAATCAAGGAAAAAAGGAGTGCTTGAGAGTCTTCTTGGTGCGCAATTCACAGAGCGCGGCTCATTAGTGAAAATTGAAAAGCCGCTTGGAATGTTGCCAAATTATTGACTTTTATCTGTTCAACTTATGAATCATGTTAAAAGCTGATGCGTAACTCACTTTCCGTACTCGTCTTTGCTGAATTGCGGCCTCGGCGACCGTCGACCGTCGACGTCTGAGAAGGGGTTGAGGAGCTGGGAATCATAGTGCTTCTTCGCCACATTGTTGAACATGGCGACCTTCGAGGACAGCGGCGACTCCTGCGGAAGAAAGTCAGCAATATGCCATGAATTAGGGTTTGAATGACTATCACTTCCACACGTGTGAAGTGAAAAGAGCGGGCGCGCGATGGTAATTGAGGAAAGGCAGCTGAGAAAATTGTGAGATCTCAATTTATATGCGAAGATTCTCACGTGCGACAAAAAAGAAGACTTTCTTATTGTCTCACATTGTGTGTGATCAATTAAACTGTGAGGTCTGAATTAGATATATCAACATGTAAAATGCCATGTGCAGAGGCCCAAAATATGTGCAGAAAAACGCCCGCATTTCTCTCCCACATCACACATTTTTCCCATTTTTCCCCGCCAAAGCGAATCACTCTCGCGATGTTTTTGAATTGAGACGCGGGAGAGTGAGAAAGAGATTTTTCTTTCTCTTCATTTTTCGTTCATGAATAAATACATAATTAGAGGCCACAATTGAAAGTTTTTCTCCTTCTTCGTGTGTGTTTTTTTTGTGCATATAATGCGCCAATTGCGGATCCGACAGCAAAAGTTGTGAGTTGAAAAATAAGAGTTTCGACTGCAGATCACTAATTTTAGAGCTAATTACCACGCGAAAGCCCCATTGTTGATTCCGCACACAGCATTTGCGTGGCTTTTCAGCCAATTATGGGGACGTCTGAGAGCCTCCTTTTGTCTCACAAAACCTCATGCGCCTCATCAGCGGATTGACGTCAGCCGGAAAAATTTTGGCACACACTTAAATAATAGGAGGATTTATTTTTGAGTATGGCTTTAGGGAAGCATTTCGCACATTATACGTTTTTTGACAAAGCCCGCGTGTGTATTAATTGCTTTGTTGTTTGCGCGGCGTGCGCGCCATAAAAGGACACGCGCACCGGATGTGATCCTGCCTTTCACCCGCACAAACAATTGCGCAACGCCCAGAGGCGCTGAAAAGTGAGAGTTTGTGGTCAGCGCGATGCTATCTATCTCTGTGCTTGGCTAGACACACTCGCTCTTCCATCGCAGCGAGGGCATCGAATCACGATGCCAGCTCGCGTGTCATCGTCCTCAGCCGAGGATGAACTGATCGCGAGACATCCTGAAGATCATCAATTGGAATCTCATGGTGATTTCGGCGCGAATTAATGGCTCTTTGTGCGGCTCTCTCTCATGATCAATGAGCTTTCCCAAGTTCACGCTCTTGCAGTTGATAATTGAGAATATCTTGGCACGCTGCCTCCGGACGAGGAGGTGTAAGATCATCTCGAATATCCACCCTCAAGTGCCAGAAGTCTTGTTAACGCGTCAATCGTTGCGAAAGTTTAAGGGATTGCAATTCGAGGCGCTCGAGATACGTTGAAATATCGTTGGTAATGAAATGGCAAATAAAGAATTTATAGAGTTACTAGAATGTTCTTCAGACTAGATAAAGCTAGTTCATTGCAAAATGAAGATTTTGGCAGAAGGCATTAATTTGCATTACAGAATTTTATAATTTATATTATAAATTACAAGAGCAACAATTTTAAGGCTTTTTGAAATGCATTTTAAAAGAGATTTCCCGACATTTTAGCTAACTTCTAATAAGCAAAAGAACTCTAGAAATGCATATATTAAAGCCTTCCTCGAATAGGAAATGAAAGCCTTTCTATGTCACTCATTTCGCGATATGAAAAACCCTTTGCAGAAGTTTCTCAATGGGATTCTTGCTATTGCTAAGGCGAAGGGCTCTATTTTTAGCCGTTCAAGATCAAGAGGACGCGAAGATCACCTGCAATCTGTCATCAGCTGATGCCTCAACTCACCACAAGATGCCGAATGGCTCCCAGTTCATGATCAACGTCCGCCATTTCCGGTGTGTCTTCTTTTCTGGGGAATTTCTCCTCTAAATCACTTCCTTTTCACTTTTCTCTGGTGCGCGCTGGCACAACAATCAAACAGAAAAACTCCACACGTGAATCTCAATTTCACTGGCGCAGCTCCACACAGTGTCTGGAGAGTTTGATGGATGATGGGAAAATGCACAGAAGAACACAGAAAATTTGGTCAACACAACAAAATATAGAGCGACTCGATTCAAATGCGCGACCGTCAACTGACTCGATCGCAGGATTGCGCGGGGAAGTTCAGGTCTCTGCTCGCCGATTGCCTCTGGCCAAGTGACTAGAAGCCAGACGGTGTGCAAGAGTTTTTATTTAGAGGCACAGAGAGTGATCGCGATCGCGCGAAATGGGCTTCGGCGGCGGCGCATGAGAAAGAGCGCGCGCGGCGGCTCCTCTGCAGCTGGCGTTAATTTTAGCCCCACGCGAGACGACGGAGGAGGATTTTGTGATCCTCGCGATCGAGTGCAGCTTCCGATTTACGTAATGATGAGGAGGAATGTTAATAAGATGAATGAATGAACCCGTGGCATAAAATGCAGGGCGCGAAAGACGGCCAAGAAGATTTTGGCATTTGCCATTGCGATCAGTCCATTCATGCGACGCCCCAGCATCCCTTATCGAGCCACCGAGGCACTAATTGCGATGTGATTTAGCATCGGCGGAAAATGAGAAACCACTTAAAGACATTGTATGTGAATTTATTCATCTCACAAATGCTGCGACCTTTCTTGGTATCCCAAAATAAGCCGCGCACTCACACAATTCACGCGCGCGGAAATTCGCCCATTCTCTCCACTCTCAGCGTCGCCGGAAAGATCGGCGTACTCGCGAGAGTAAACAATCTGGGATTCCACATGGCTTGGAATCATCAGCGTGGGTTCATTCATTCTCCAACCGCGGCCAGAGCACTTTTCCACGCAGATCTAGATCAAGAGATCATTAATTAAGAATTGTACAAAGAACGCACACAGCCAGAGGTGAAAATTCTCCGCTCATGAAGTCATTACATGACGCTTTTCCGTCCGTCGCGCACTTGTCAGCCAATCCATAAAAGGCGAGAAGACGCCAAATTAGCGATCCGCCATCTTTCCTGGTTTTGAGGAATTTTAATCACTGGCGAAAGATGAAATCACAGAGACAAAGAAGCAATTTTCAACTTCAAAATAGTCACATAATGAAGTGCTTACATTGTTGCGCCTGAAAATGCATGGAAAATCTAAAATAATTAATTATTGTATTAAAATTTGATTGAAAAGCAAGAGAATAGTGTGATCGATTCAATATGGCATCGTTTGTGATGACTGAAATATGCGAAACAGCGTCGAAACACGTGTTTTAGCAAAATAAAACATTCAAAATTTAATATATCATATTGAATTCAGTTTTATGGGTTTTATTGATTTAAGAGCCACGCGCAGTGACCAGATAAACTTCCAATGTTGCAGAGAGAGCTTGAATTTAATGACTTCCTAGAAAAAGACGAATCAGATCGATGTTATTTGAGGCACTTGAGGAGAATTTATTTGAATTGCAGCTTTTAATCCAACTTTATTATGGCTGCTGATGAAACGTGGTGCAGAATTCCTTGACAATCGATCGTGCCTTTTTCCTCAAAAAAAAGTTAAAACCTCATGAAAGTCACACGCGAATATCGAGTGAGAGGGATGAGTTTTTGGCTCCGAATTTAATTCCTCTGCAAGTGATCTCACTAATTTCTCACGCTGCAGCCAGGAAATAATCCACACAATTTAGCCATCGCGGCAGCGGTAAAAGTAGAATCTCCCAATTAAATGATCGACCATTGAGGCTTGCGATGATGCACAGTTGATGATCGCCAAGAATTTGCCTATAAAATTTATTTTGCCTCGCCTGGCCCACAAATTCCAAACAGACACTCACGACCCAGATAAATAATCGCGCCAATTTGGCGTTTTTGCCTTCCTGAATCGCCCCAGATCGCATCAGGAGTTTTGAGAAGAGAATTTATATTATTAGAGATGTGGAATTGCGCGCGTCATCCCTTGTCACACATCCTCTGGGCTTGTTTTTCCTCGCCCACCAGAATTTTCTCGCCTTACTCACGCCGCCTATTAATAGTGCGCGCCAGAGATCGCAAATAACCAGTGGAATCCATCATAGAGCACACAAATATCCCGAGAAAATTCTTTTCTTCTCTGACATTGACACACGCAGCGCGATTTTTGCGAAGCTTCGCGCCAGTGGAAATTTATGAATTGACGAAAAATTATGGGAATGTTTACTATTTTTCTAGCTTAATTCTCGCCACGGAATTTGAGTTAGATGGTCTTCCGGCTCACAAATCATCAGCCAATATGCATTTTTTCTCCGCCCCTTTGTATGAAGACGCTTTGAGAGATTCTCTTGAAATTTTCGCGCTCTTTTCTCTCTTGCAAATTGTGAGATTTATTGTGAAAACTTTCTCAATTTTCTTCTGGCCTCTTCAGATCCACAGTTGCTCAGCATTTCTTGAGATCCGCAGCACTTCAATCAGCACACAGAGACGCGAGATGTGGAAAATTTCTGTTTGTTTTGGTCCGCCAAGAGCGGGTGGGAATCTCGTGAATGAAGCGATCGCGAAAATATTTGTGTAGGTCACCATCATGAAATTAATTGCTCATCGCGCGCGCCTCAAGGATTTCACTGTAAACATCGCCAGTGATTCCGGATGTGTTGCTGGGAAAGATAGAGAGAGAGAGAGAGAGACTCAAATGGCAAGAAATTCCATCGGGATATTTATTTATCTCAGCCGCCAAAATCAATATCACTCCACTTCTCCACGATGCCTATAAAAAGGTGCATTTTCTCTCTCCCCAAAAGTGGGTTTTCAGCACAAAAATCCCACCTCGCAGCATGAGTAATTCATTGAAACACCCTCTCGAGAGATGATTCCATTAAATCTCTCGAGACTCAATGTGATTTATTTTGGTCGGCAAGATGATTGGAAGCCATCCAACGAGATGCTTGAAGATGCGACAAATTCTTACCTTGAATCTGGCGCCAACGACCACTTTCCTTACGTCGTGGTTGTGATGTCGACACACTATTCCGCTGTGTGGCCCTCGGGAGGACACAAACATTACATCAATCTTCCGCCGGAGCCGATAAACTGCGCGTGTTGAAGAGCGACGGTCAAGGATGGTGAGGAAAAGCGTGGCGGCGACCGTTGTTTTCGCCGTCATATTTTCGCCGCACCACAGATTTCAAAAGAAGACGAATTCTCGTACTTCGCAAAGAGATTTTATGGCAAACAGCAGCTGTCACTTCTCAAAATGTCTGACATGTAAGTTTTTGTGATTACTCCCGGAAAATCGCCTTTTTCACCAGGAAATCCCCATTTTCCGCAGTCAAATTCGTGCATAACAAGGAAAGGAATTCTCTGTGTGTGTTTTTTAAACAAAATTCTGGCTGGAAAGTGTGATTTTCGACATGAAAATGGGAATATTTTGGTGTTGTTAATTATAGGTTATGTGTTGTGTCTCTGTAAAATGCGTAGAAAATGCCCTGGAAAAGGCGTTTTTCCTCAACTTTCCACCTAATCTATCACATATCTGAGTCCTTCAAGAGTTTTGCGCAGAAATACGTGTGATGTTTGCCGTGCTAATCGCTTTTTTGGTGTCCCTCCAGCGATGACCTACTCAACTACGATGAAAATGAACTGGGCGATGAGGAGGACTTGGTCGCCAATGAGGATGAGCTGTTGTTGTCAGACGAGGAGACTAGCCCCACAAAGTCCCCCGCCACGTGGGAGACGCTCAGTGCCGTCTCATCACAGCCCAGCACGCAACCGGACTACGCGGTCGTCCGGGAGCAGGTGGACAGTAGTACGCACGCCAACGCGGCTCCGGAAGCTGAAGTCACGACCACAGATGATCAGCTCGAGGTGTCGGCGGGTGAGTGCCAGTCGCAGAAGAACGGTGAAGTGTCCTCCACGATAAAGGACGTCGTAGAGAGCGTCCCAGCGCCGCAAATTGCAGAGTCCTGCACGACAGAGGAGCCGCAGTCGCAGGAGACCAGCGAATATCCGTCGTCAGAGACAGGAACGGCCACAGGGACAGATGATGTGATCGATCTGGACTATAGCTATACAGATGGAGGTGAGAAGATGGCTCAATATGGTGAAATTCTCAACAGAAACTCATTCTGTTCAACATTCTTCCCAGATATTGAAGATTCAGACGAACAGAGTGAGAGGAGGAACCCAAAAACAGCCGCCGAGAGGGAGAATCTAGCGCTGGATAGTGATGAGCATCAGTTCAGCCATGGAAGACCAGTGCGAGGTTTCCCGAGGCGCTTGAGGGGCTCTCCGAGTGGCCGTGGCATCTCTGGACGCTTTCCTCGCGGTCCGCCTGGATTCCCTCACTATCGCCAGCCACTGCCGAATGAGAATTTCAACCCACAGACGCCGCAAATAGTGCCGGACTTCCAATTCCGCGGCGCAGCGCCAGATCACGGCCCGCCGACGTCAACAGACTTCTGCCCGCCGCCCATCTCGTCGGGCTACCGGCCGGAATTCCGCGGCCCACAGCCTTTCGGCATGCGAGGCCCGTTCGAACCTAAGCCGCCCGGCGGAGCGATGTTCGGGCCGACGATGGACAGTCAATTCCGAGGGCCGCGCGGAATGGAATTCGCACCGCGCGGCAATCGCCACCAATTCCGGCCGTTCAATCCGAACGGCGTCAGGCCGTCCTTCAGGCCCAACATGCCGCGTATGCCGCCGCGCATGGACGGCATGCGGCCGCCATTCGTTAGCAGTCAGGCGTCGACGTCCTTTCCCGCGCCACCGCGACCGGCGCAGTCATATCCGGGGCCGCAGAACCCTATGGCGATACAGCAGTCGTCGAAGATGCCGCGCAAGGTGCTGATCAACCCGAACTTCAAGGGCGGCGTCGAGGCGGCCACGACGCAACTGATGATGGACACGCTGCAGCACCCGCAGTTCATCAACTCCATCAGCACCCACGTGTCGCACCTGCACAGCGACGAGGAGCTGCTGCGGCAGCAGGAGGAGTTCATCAACAAGAACCGCATGCACATCGAGAAGCGGCGCCACGAGCGATCGCCCGAGCGCGACAGAGAGCGCGATCGCGACTACTCTTCGCCGCCGCCACGGCGCCGCGCGCCGAGCAGAGAGAGGCAGGCCAGGGGCGGCTGGCGCAACAGGAGGGAGTCGCCGGACAGGGGCGCGGAGTGGAGGCGGCGAAGACGAAGTGCGAGTCCGGAGCGGAGTAAGGACGAGAAGAGGGACAAGGCGCCGGAGGATGAGGACGAAGAGACGCGAGAGTACAGAATACAGATTGAGAAGCAGAAGGCGATGCGAGAGAAGATTCTGCGCGACAAAGAGATGCGAAGGCGAAAGGCGGCCGAGGAGAAGGCGAAAGTTGAGGTGAGAAGATTCTTCTGACTGATTTCTTAACCCTCAAATCTTAAATTCCCTAAAATGATTAAGAACTGTTGACTTTTTCACTGATCAAAGCACAAATTTGTCTTGCAGCATCAGCAGCAACAACAGCAGCAAGTGGTGGAGAAGAAGCCTCTTGAGCCTGCGCCGGCGCCACAGAAACTCACGCCTCTGGTCGTGACGGAGAGCAAAATCATCTCGCTGAAGCGCAAAGCTGAGACATCCAATCTCGCGCCTGTGGCCAGTAAACAGGCGGCGAACAGTGGCGAAGAGTTGCCTGACTATGCGGACGAGGACGATGGGACACCGTCACCGCCGCCGCCGCGCACACACACGCCGCCACAGCCGCCGACGTCTAGCTCGACGACGCCACAGCGGCGCCTGGTGCTGAAGCCGACTTTGGACAACCAGAAGATGAGCTACGCATTCGCGGCGGACTCGACAGAGGCGGCGGCGAAGCCGAAAGGCATCTTCGATCGGCTGGAGAAGAAGATCAGCGTGACTGACGCGGCGAAAAGGAAGATTCAAAGAATTGTGATCAACAATATGGAGTAAGTATAAAGCGACGGCGGGCAGAAGCTGACCATTAATTGTACAAGTTTTCATTTTATCATCCTGACCACGTTTTTCCCCCTTTATTTCCACCCATACACAAAATTGTGATGCATTTTCTCCACAAAATACTTTCTCTGCATGAATGGGATTATTTTTGCAAGAATTGTACTATATATTTCCGTCTTTTCCGTCTTTTTTCCACCCTTTGATTTCTAGCTTGAAGAAGAAAGCAAAACTTTTATTGTACGGACGTGAGAAAGCTAAATAAGCAATCAAAATGAATGAGAAAAAGCGGGAAATGAGACAACTTTTAGGGATATTCTTTTCTATTATTCTTTTTTCTCTTATTTGTATAACATGTTTTTTTCCTCGCTTTTTTGCTTGACTACCAAACAAAACTCTAGTGCATTATATTAACATCACCATCAATGTTTTCTTTGACTGATGATTGAATTCTGGAAATTCTTTTTTTATTAGAAAGGAAATGAAAATAGCATAAAAATTTGGTAGTTGAACAGAATTTTTCTTTGTTCTTAAAGTAGAATTTTTCATTTATAGTAATTATATTTTTGCCCAATGTTTTCTCAAAAATAGTCAGAGAATTTGTAGTGAGAAAGAGAAGCAAAAGTGTGTGTATAATTTACGATTATAGAGGAAAATGAGAGAGAGAGAGAAAGAGCGTATTTAGGGCATTAACTTACGATTATAACTTCTAACTTAAGATTACACAGAGAAAATGAAGAGTTTTCAATAAAAGGTCTTACATAAAAAAAAATTTTGATGTGTAACAAAAACACTCATACAACAATTACTATATTTGTAAACAGTTTTCTTTTTTTTCGTATGACTAGAATTAATGATTATATAGTGAAAAAGAATATTTTATAGTGTTTAAGGCAAGAGATATAATTATATTGTATGGACGAGTGGGAAAGAGAGTTGAAAAGCACGAAGATTGGCAAAAGAACACGAGTAGTTAGATAAGTTAATGTGAAGAGAAGAGGAAAGAAATTCGCTGTACAGTCTTGATTTCGTCATTTCTAATCGACTTTGTGTAGATTCATGAAGCTTGTCTGCTGATTAAATTCCTTTTTTCAACGGACACTCATAATTGTATTTGTTGGCATTTTTGACAATGCAATGGAATGTGTGACACAGAAAGAAATTTCTGTGGCACTTTTTTGTCATAAAAAAGAGACTTTTTTCTATTGTATTGTCCACAAAATCGAATAAAATATATATAGAAAATTCCGCCAATCTGAAGAGCATTGCAACAAAAAGAATCTATTCATGTTTGTATTAATTTGCTGGGCCGAAGAAGAAAAAACAGGAGAGCCTGCAATTTTGTAGGTCACACCGCGAGGTCGTAAATTGAAGCAAACATTGTGTAGAGAGAAGAGAGAATGATAATAAATTGCAAATAGGATTATAAAATACAGCAAACGCATTAGGGAGAAATGCTAACAGACTCCACGCGACGAATAAAGAAGGATGAAAAACCTACTAAGTAATGCAAAAGTGCGTCTTTCATTTGTCTGCAGAAGTTTTTCTTTCACCCATTGATTGATTAACTGTTGATGTGCTACTAAGAAGTGTAATTTGACTTTTATCGTCGCTGATCGCGACACACGATCGCGAGAGTCACGAATGGGCGCCGGAATTCGACACACACACTCTCCGAGGGGCTGCCAATTGGTCGAATCAGGTGAGAATTCGCTGAAATGATGAAATTTCACAGAAACTTAACAACTTGGGCCACATAGGTTTAAGAGGATCATGAGTCAACAATTGGCATAATAAAGGCGGAGCTTCTGAGTGGGCGTGGCTTTATTGTAATAAAATACTCTTTCAGCCCTGAAATTTGATTTTTCTCAGCACTGCACGCACTTTCCTCAGTAGTGATAAGCCTTCGGCGAACACCTGTTGCAGTGCGAGCGCGAAAGCGAGATCGCGCGAGTGTTTTTCTCTCTCTTGAGAGAAGCTTCAGGTGGAATAAAAATTCACTATTCGGCAGTTTCACAGTCGCGATCACACCATTGAACAGTGCGCGCAGTCTCTCAGGTGATCTGCGAAGTCTACTGCACTCACAGTCAGTGTTTTTCCTCGAAAAAAATAGAGTCAATCAATTGTGAGTGATTAAGAGCCCGACAATGGAGGGATTTTTCCACCCGCGACGCATTACCGGCCAAACCACGCCTCATTGAGACTCAACCAGTCAATCGACAGTGTCAACAGAGATCAAGTGATCGAGTGAATTCTGACACTGTAATTAAGTCGCTCTTGAGACAGTCTTTCAGACCCACCGCGAAGTGACTGGAAAGTGCCGTGATAAAAAAAGGGGAGGAAAAGCACATTTACGTGATTTACGTAATTTCAAGTAGTTACACTCTTGAAAAGTATAATCCAGTATTTAATAGAGGCTCCATTTGAGGCCTTGAAGCTTTTTTCTCTGTGTTTGTGTTTGTGCATCTTTTATCTCACTTAGAAAACTCTCCCTGGAAAGATTGCGAACGGCGTGCATTTTCCAAAAGCTCTCACTCGCGCTCATCTCACTCTGTGTTTGCGGTGCAGAAAATTGTGAATGTTTTTCCATCTGGGAAATGTGTGTCAAATGCTAATACTCTTCATCCAGCTATTCTTGTGAATTTTCATCTTTCCCACCACCTTTTGATCATCTCATTTGTTGCGTGAAAAGAGGAAAAGCAGCAGCAAACATGGCTCAATTGAATTCATCGGTAGGTTTTTGTTTTCTTATGCTCGCCTCTCCCCTAATTGCACACCTGTGCGCCCATCTTCAGGTGATGAGAGAACTCTGGAGTATCACGCAATGAATTTCCATCATTTCCATCTAATGATCATATCGTTATGCTCTGGCAGCGACGATGGTAAAAATCTCTTTTCTCTCTTTCTCTCCGTCCGGCGTGAATGGATTTTCCAGCGCTCTTTTTTTCCTCTTTGTCCATCCTCAATGGACGATGGGTAATTTTTAATGCTTCACGTTGGGTAAAAATTCAATGAATTTCCCGTTACTCGGCGCTGTTTTTACACCGACAGATTTTACATCGTGAACGTGATTTTCAGTTAGACGAATTGCGGCACGGTAAAAGATGAGAAATTTCGCAAAGCACCGCGAAATTCTGCGCATGATTCACGTCAAGAATGCCACAATCAATTGATAACAATTTCCCCCCAAAAGCAAAAGAACAAGAAAAGTGAGATAACACTAAGTAAACAACCTTTTAATGCAGAAGTTGAGTGTTCTTTTGGCCACTCGCGATTTGTGGGAAAGCCTTCAAGTGCAATCTCAAGACCCGATTTTAGGCCACACCGCAATGAGTGACACACGGAGACGTGTGAAAAATGATACGGCAAGACAGTAAAAGAGTGTCTCAACAATTACAACTGCGCTATGGAGGACAGAATGCGCAAAAATTCCGTCTGTATTTACTTAGGAAATCTGTGAGCAAACATAAGATAAACACATTCTTCGGTGAAACAAGTCAAGATTGTACAACTTTTCTACTCAATTGAGCTTTAGGATGGTCATATAGAAATAACTTTTATGCCTTTTACGACTCAGTTTTTTATTAAATTCTTCTTCTGCTTACGAGTTGGGCCAAAGCACAGTTTTCTTTAGTGACTGAGCAAGAAAATCTGTTACTTTGAACATCTTCTAGAGTCATTTTCCTCGATTCTTAAAGATTTAGGGAATTAATTAAGCTAGATCAAAATTGAGATCAAGAATCTATTAAAACTTCTGATTCAAATTCATCAATTTCGATGATCTTAACTTCATTTGGAAACTCTTCTAAAATTCTACAAACCAATCAATTTATAGATAAAATCTATTTCTCAATTATTCTAAATTGACAACAGAACAACAGAAGCACAACAGTGTGTGTTAGTTTTGAAAAAGCGTCGTTACAACGCGCGTTTCCTGGTGGAAAAAGTGGCTTTTATTGAAATTAACATCTCGCGATGAACTGAATGAGCGCCGCTGAACCTGTTTAGAATTGAGTCTACGACTTGTCCTCATTCCCGATCGAATTATCATGCTAAATGCGAGGCGATCGAATGGTTCTCTTGAGGGAGTTTTATCGCACAAATGGAAATAATCGCTCTCGGCTGACGGACCAGTTTTCTGGCGCACGAGCGCAATTGCTCAGCCGTAATGTTTGTTTGTGGCATTAATTGCACCAGCGGCAATTTACCATCACCCAAAGACCTTCGCCATCAGCCGAGAGCGTAAAAGGATCCCCAGGGAGTCGCTCTGCGCTCATCGATTACTCATCAATAAAACAATTAAGATTACAAATAACCTCATAACATGATGCTTGAGACCTTCGGCGTAAATTAAATGATGGATTTTCTCAAAGAAATCTTTGTACATCTTCTCAAAACAATAAATTGAATTGTTCGCAACTTGTTATGCTGAGTAGAAAAAAGCCTCTCCTCAATTACTCATCTTCTTGCAATCGAGCACGAAACCTTGCTTATCATCTCGCTCTGAGGAATGCATCAAGTCTCAGGTTGGGTGAGATTCGCGACACTTTTATCACGTCAGGTGTAATTTATCAGAAAATCTCTTGCGGATTAAGATTCCTGGGCATCGTGCGAAGGCGTTCAAACACGTCCAAAAATCCATCTCATCATCAATTTTCCACCTACACAGACTTCGGCACAAGACAATCTTTTTATTCCCAGTCACAGAAGACTTCATTCTTTAGTTCTCTGAAATGTCTTCAGCGTGTCGGACGTGAGTTTTCCGTGCATTTTTTTCGCCATCGCCAGAGGAGTTTTTACGCAAAGAAACGCACACAAAAAAGTCAAAACATTTCGTGAAAAAGCCACAAAATATTGAAGCGCCAATTTTGATGCGCGCCAGTGATTTCTAATCGTGCTCTCTAGGACAGTGAGATAAGGCAGTGGAACACACAAATGGTTAGAGTGCTATTCATGCTGGGCTGGAAGGTTTTCCACCCACTCAAACCTCCATTCTTCCCGCGTACGGAATTCTCTTTTTTGTTGTTTGGTCTCTCAAAAGCACACATTCAGCACTGTTACAAGTTCAGAGTGTGTTTTGTTGTTATGCTAAAACACCCAGCATTATTCCAAACTCGCGCGCGCAATTGCATTGAAGAATGGAGGAGAATTTGCTGAAAAAATTACCTCACAACAAACACTGAAATTAAATCTTATTACAACAGGCCTCCAGAACGAACTCCATCCTCAGAAAATTCCACCGCGATAAGAATGCACAACAGGTAAAAATAAGTTGCTGCTTCACACTCTTTTTCCACCACTGATTAACACTGATAACAAACATCGAAGCACTGGGCGAGTGGGAGTGAAAATGTGATCTGAAAAGGCGTGCTAAAAGAAGTTCGAAAGGCGACAAAGAGGTCAGAAATTGACCAGCGATTAGTCTTGCGGGCATTTGCTCAGCCTCACGTGCTCCAAAACTCACCGAGGGGCGCAGAACTTCACTTTCTGCAGCTCTGCGCTTCGCTGGATTTCATACACTCTCGATTCTGATTCATAATTATGCAATTTTCCAGCTGTAAAATCTTCATCGAAACGTAAAGCAGCAATGAGGGTCGTAAAAATACTGACAGAGAAAGTAATTTCAATTGCTTACCTTGGAAAAAGGCATAAAATTACAGTGCAATAGAGACATAGAGACTTGCAGGGTAATTTGAACACAGAAATATACATGGAAATTATCTTTATTCGCATTTGAACAGTTTTTATAATGCAATTTTCAAGTTTTCTCTAAAGAAAATAATGGAAAAGTCTTAATCATCGCCCTTAGAAGCCCCGCTTTTCCGTATTTCGTGCAATACTCTTTTTCTACATTAATTTTGGTGTTTTCACGTGAAATCCCTTCAAATTCAATCACGAAGATCGTAAATTTCCCAATTACATAAAAATACACACGCAGAGATCTTTTTTGTCAATACGAATTACCATCACAAAGATTACGGTGTCTTTTCTAAATGCTTCTTGGCACGAGTCGCGACATTTCCTGCTGCTGCCCTTGATGACAAATTTATTCAACTTCTTGTATTTAATATTCAGCAGATGAATTGAATGTGAGAAAGTTTCGAATGCATAACAACTCATCTTCGCAGCGTGAAGAAAGACGCGCGACGGCTGTGTAAATGCGCTTGTCTTTAAGCTATTGACCCCTCGATTGGAGCCAAATGTTCTCCAGTTTGTCCGCTATTTGCTGAGACTTTTCACATGTATGGAGATATTTTCCTAGGGCGCAAACGGGAAAGTGGGAGAAAGATTGTATCATTTCGACATGTGGTTCTGATGGAGAAGAAGAGCTCACGAGGAACAGAGCGAGAGAGAGAGAGTAATGACCGCACAGATCAATGGGAGAGAACTTCACCAAATAACATGAAAACTGTTCATTACATGGAATTAAGTACACGGTTCGATCGTTGCATAACGAATTGCCGAGTGTTTTGAAACAAGACTCCGCGTGGATGAAAAAGAAATGGAACGTTTAAAGAAAACCTCCTTGGAATTGACTTTTTTGCCCAACAATCTTTTTCATGCTTTACTTGTCGCTCTTTTGGCTTCTCTCGCGCGGAATCATTCTTTTGCAAAAATCACAATCTGTGGCTTTTTTTCTGCGTGATCGGATTTGGCTGTGTTGCAAAATCACGCGCAAAGAAGGCAAATGAAGGCTCTCTTGGATGTGAGATGAAGTGAGAAGAGAGAGAGAGAAAATGACACAATTTTCCCAACACTTTTCTCTCCCTCTTGCGTGCACTTTTTCTTCTCTCCGTCAATTCAGCAGCCTCATCCGCGTAGAGAAAGTTTTTTTTTCTACATCATCACATAGTTTTATTTCCTCTTCCAATAAAACTCCATTCCTAAATTTCACTGGGGCGCAATTTATGCGATAGTGAAGTGACACCATTAAAGTGCCTTCGCCTCTTATCAAATGCTCGTTCACTTTTTTTTCACTTTGTGAGGCGCAGCAGAACTTTTTCGGGCCTCTTTGCTTCCCAATCAATTACAATCGAAACTACCGTGATAAACGCTTCATCCGGAGAGTGGTTTTTTAGAAAAGTGTGTTAAACACGATTCGCTAATTGTTTGCATAACAGCCAACAACAGAGCGCGTCTTGTGATGTTTGAACAGAAGAAATTGGTTATTTGCCGAAGAATAAGAGCAGCATTGTAAAATCCACAATTTGTTCTACTGAACGCCATTCGATTTGTGTTTGAGCCCCAAAAAGAGCCACCAAAAATCACTAATTAGCCTCTTTTGTGACCTTCTCTAATTGCCGAACAGCGACTCTAGCTTCCGGCTTAATTGGATTCTCCAGCCATTTGTTCCCGGCGTGGCGCGGGAAATTCTCCTCATCCCCAGAGCTTACCCGGACTTTATTGATAATCCCATTTGGCTGATCCTGCTCTGGGAGAGTGCCAATGCGGAGAAAAAACGGAGTGCCGCGAAGCAAATCCCCTTGGCGTCTTTTTTTGCACACACAGAGGCCAACGCAAAGGGGGCTCTCAATGTCTTAATATTGGTGAATTCCTGTTTTCACGCTAATTTTCTGCCGGATAAATTATGATCAAGCATAGAAGAAATACTAATTGCCCGTGTTTTGATTCCGATTTGCTCACACTTGATAACATTTCAATTTTTGATGATGGTTTTATCATCAAAATCAATTGAATATGTATTTGAATTTAAACAGAAAACACTGCAGGACATATCTTGCAGATATCCTGAGATATGTCATATGACACTGCTTAAGATTCTTCACAGACAGTCCGGTGAATCCGATGAATCGAAAAAATAAACAGAGTTTGTCCATTCTCTTAAAGATCATCAGTTCGTTGGCCTCAAAAACTGCCATTTCTCCATAAGCAAAGCCCAGCAGATCCTTATCCGTCTTTTCTTTTTGACTCAACAACACTTAAGCTATGATTTATGATGACATGCCGTGGATGTTCAATGCACAAACTGCAATTCACCCCTCAATTTAATTACTTTCTTGCACAAAACACGGTAATTGATTTAATGACTCCAACATTTCATCCCAGTGAAGAATGCAAATTTCCCTCCCAACATGCTAATCAGCGTTATGTTAGTCAATTATGCGATTAATTGTTACTCAAACCAGTGCTGAAATTGATTTCACTCCACTCTTCAGGGTTTTATAATGACGAAATGGTTTTTAAATTGGAAATGGATTAAAAAGAAAAACGCCAGAAACTTTCAATATATAAAAATATATGATTTAATTCACTCTAAACTGCCGGTCAGTCGGTGTGAGAGTGAAGCAGAAACTGGGTGTCACTCGAAGTGGCTGATTTATTGTCGCCTCAAGTGTGTAGAATTCTGCAATGAATGGCCCCTCGACGTCCCCCGCGAATTGGCACATTGCACCACATTGCACAGCGCCGAGCGAGTGTGTGGTTATTATTTTGAAGAAGCATTCCCGTGCTGACTGTGTAAAAACTCTGGTGCAACGAAGGCCTGAGTGGGCCAGAAAAAAAGTAGGGAAAAGTTGTGGAAAAAGTGGTGATAAGACGTCTGGTTTGGGCGCAGAGTGAAAAGGAGGAGTATTGGATTGCTTTATGGGTTCACATTTGAAAATAATCATTCACTCAACACATTTTCACCACCACACCATCGCAATGTTGTTGTGTTCTCACGATGGCTTTTTTCCCAACGGTGCCGCAGTCAGTGCAAAAGGAATAACACACATTTATTAATAGATCCCCATAGAGTTTGTGAGTTTTAAAATTGGAAATTTTTGGTATTCAAAACGGGACACTGCGAGCCTCAGTTGTGCGCTGAACTCGAGGCCGATTGGGTGGCCGTTAAATATCTGTCCGCCGCCAAAATTGCCATTTAGCAATCCAGAAACTGTGTGCACCTTGTTGCGGAAAAACAGATCCCCAGTGGAGCAAATTGAGTGTTCAATTCGCTGGACAAAAAGTGCTCTAATCTCTGCCTCTTTTGGTTTTTTTTTGGTTTTGTGCCGCGCTTAATCGCGCCCAGTTTTTGTGTGTTCCTCGCGCGCGGGATCAATTTGCTGCAGACAAAGTGAACAACAAATTGTGATCCACTTGTTCATCATCGCGAGAGGTCAATTTTCGCCTCATTTGCTCGCCTTTGAGCGCAATGTGTGGCCAGAGAAAAATCTATAATTAATCCCCCCAACGCGAAGAGTGCGCGCGCGATGAGGAGGTGAACAGTGGCCAGAAGAGTGTCCGTTAAGTGGATTGACTCTCCAGAAGTTCAGCGATCGCCCGATGAGATGAACAAGTTGCGTGAATTTCGCGCCAAATCACCTCAGCCCAACCGCCTGGGCGGCAGCATTCTCAACACAATCTCGCGCAGTTACTCCAACGTTAGTCACAAGTTCCTCAGGCGCAGTCCCGGCCGCCGTGGCGGAACTCATCATCGTGCCATCTCGTCGGGGAGCTACGATCTCACCGGTGCCACGGCGGAGCAGCGCCTGGAGATCGGGCATCCCATCCTGATCAACAAGACTGCCCTCGATGTCGACACCATCGATCTGCGCAAGCCCGAGAACTCGATGGCAATTGAGATGGAGACAGACAGCTCCTCTGAAGTTTCCTGCGCCCATCTGCAGGACATCACGTTTTCCTTCCTGCCAGAGGATCACGAGGGCGAACTGGCGGAAGCCGCAGAGTACGAAATCCCACCGAATCCCAAGAGAATCTCACCGCCAAAGAGCACCATCGTCAAGTCCAAATCCTCGACGAATCTGCACAAGTCCGAGCTCACGGTTTACCTCAGGAGATGCTCATCGGTGCGTCTGATCAAGCATCAAGTGTCCACCATTGAAATCCCCCAGGAAAGTCTCAATAATCACGTGCCCGGGAGGAAATCTCTGCCGCCAGACATTCCTCCGCCACCGCCGCCACTCATTGAACGCCCTGAGCATCAGTACGAAGTGGCGGGAAGTCATCTGCGCCGCGCGAGCTACTCCAAAGCGGTGAAGGAGCAGAGCGATAGCCAAAGTGGTGAGGAGAGCGCCAAAGAAGCGTCGGGCAATTTCAAGATCAACCTCAAGATGCCACACTTCAATCGGGCCAAGGCGAAGAACGCCTGGAGTGGCTTCCGCCACTGGCTGGAGGACGAAGTGGTGGTCAGAGTGCGTCCGCAGGAGGACGCCAAGGAGGACACGAGCGGCGGCAGTCTGGAGGAGCCTTCGCACGAGCCAGACGGTCACGAGGTAACACGTGTTGTCCATTCTGTGTCTGTGATGTCATGCGCTCATCCCAGAAATGTAAGCCGACGCGCCGCAGTCAATTTACCTCTGACGCCTGATAAGCGACACTTCCATCGACTTATGCAATCCACTCTCATTAGTACAAACACCCAAATTCATTCCCAAACCGCCGCAGACGCTTACATCTCTCGACTCTCTGAATAATTGCGGAAAGAAGTGAAAAGAGGCACTAATTCACAAATCAGTGAAAACTCCATTATTAGCACCATCTCGCGACCATTTTAAACCAGGAGACGCGCAGTGAAAGTAAATCTATTAGGCGAAAAAATTATCTCAGGCCGTTGTCAAATTCTTGACGAAGATGTGCGACAAACGCTTTTCACTCCCATTAGCATCTTGGGAATGAGAAAGTCCCTTCAATGCGAACACTTTGCCGCAGGGCGAAAGTATGAGCACGTGAAATTTTTCCCATAATCACAACACATAAATTCCTCCACTTAAACACACAATATATATTCCAATTGGAATAATTCATGAGATTAATTAAATTATATCAATCAACAAGTAGGAAAAAGACTCAATTACTTCATTGAACTGCGTGAGGAATTATACTTTAACACCACAGCAAATCTAGCGAAACGTATCGAAATTCCACTCAATTTATTCTCAAACTGTGTCTTCAGGGGAAAAAAAGCGCGTTCGACAGCAATTTCGACCTCTAAACAGTCAGTGATAAACATTGGGACTTCTTTGGGGGGAATTTTATTGTTTAAAATTGTGGAATTGTGAGAAAATATAAACATCCTTGACCTGCTAACCGAAGAAGATCACCAGAAGTTGTGGAGTAACAGTTGATGAATTGTTCTCTGCAACTCTGAGAATTAGAATGGCGAGGAATTCTCAGGAAAATTGCATGCGATTCTTGATAAATACATTCTCGAACAGAGTTGCCAATTGATCTAGATAAGATGCTCTAAATGAAAGAGTTCAGTGTCTCAATGTCTTATAAATTGTGGTATAAATTGCCATTGCAATAGCGTAGACTATATAAAGGCCACGCCCCCTCAGAAGCCCCGCCCAATTTGTCCATTCTCCTTATTTTAAGCCCAATTTTTCACGGAGTCATGCGTTTTTCTATCTTAACTATTTAAAGAAGACTTTTATCACGCTTGTAATTCATTGCTTGAGCGCAATTAATTTCTCACATCTCTTATCTAAACACGCCAGTCTGTTGAGCGAGAGAAGCGAGAATTCTCTCCAGAGAACTCTCAAGCAAATGGAGCTTGTGACGAGACATGAGAAATGATTAAAAACTGTGTTAATTTGTCTTCTCGAGCGGTCGTCTTACTAACAGTTAATGCCACCTGAGCTCTTTATCACTCGCGTCACGTCTTCCGCTATTTGGCACTCGCCGAGTGACTCTAACTGCGCCAAGAACTCATTCTTGTGGACTCCTTCCTCTGTCGTCACTTTCTAATGGGGCAATTTGAATTATGGGCACAGCGTCAAGTGCTTTCGGAGTGCAACAATTTAACTATATGAGCGGCAAGAAAAAAAGATGTATTGTTGGGGCTTTGAGTTGCATGATCGCCTGTTGACTATTGTGAATCTAACCATCCGGAAACTCTTCTGCCACTCACACAAGCCCACTCTCTCTGCGCCTGGCTGGCTTCGGCTCCCCGTGTGCAAGCGAGGTGGCAAAGCCAAGAGGAAACTCCGGAGCTCCAGTCAGTCGCGCACACCAGAGTTGGACACAGTGAATCGAGAGTATCTCATCATCAAATGTGGATCTTCAGCACACTCTATCAATACCATTTTGAGGTGCTCCTCGAGCGCCACTCGATGATCTTCCTCCCCATCGAGAGCGTGTTATTATTCATAACTTGAAATTGTTGGATGTGAAATTCACGCGAGTGAAAAGCTGATTTCTTTGCCTGCCTTTCTTCCTCAGGGTCAAAGTGGATTTGAAGAACTTCGACGCTTCGTGAAGCAAGGCGATGACTTCAGCAAGGAAATGCTGGCAATTCTCCAGGAAAGGTAAACCACTTTTTATCCACTCACTCTTGTCTCTTTTCCCAACACTCGATGCGTGTGGGGCATAAAAGACGAGTTTTCAATTCATTTATTGCAAAAGGGGGAAAAAATACCATGGCATTCAAAAAGTATCACAAGTTTCATCGATTTTCTGTCTCTCCGGCCAAAATCTGATCGGGGAAAAAAGGCCAATAAATCATCTGCCATATGCGCGCGATTTGTGATTGATAACTTCATAATTGCCCCCTAAATTGTATTAACACACAAAAAAATCTTGTGGCAATTGTGAAATAATACCGGAAAATCACTTTCTTCGCTCTTCAACCACTTCAAATTGGAAAATCTCATTACTTATGATTCCCTCTAATTAGATCTCTCACATTAAATGGCAACAATTGCTTCACTTTATCATTCAATTACAACCGAAATGCTAATTTATGCCTCTCACACTGAAAGAGAAATTGGCTGCATAAAATTTCCACACGCCGCGCAACGAGTTTCCCGCCCCGAATTGTGTGTCCAGTTTATCTGGGCGTCTGTATTGGGAAATTGAGTGACACAATCCGCATAATGAGAGGGGTTTTCCCTGTTTTCGCACGCAGGGCCGAGGCGGAGCTCAGCTATGCAAAGTCCCTCACGAAGATGGCCATCAAGCTGAACAAGGCGTGCCGCGAGGTTCCGGCCAGCGGCTCGTGGCGCACCGTGGCCGCCGAGATGGAGAGTCGCAGCGAGATTCACAGGCAGTTCTCGGGCACGATGTCCGAGGAGATCGTGAAGCCGCTGAAGGTGATCATGGAGAATCAGTACAAGGCGCGCAAGGCCGTGGAGAGCACAGTGGACAAGTCCGCGCGCATCCTGGGCGACTTTCGTGCCAGCGAGAACAAGGCCAAGATCAAGTGCGCCAGCGCCGCCAAGAAGAACGAGAAGCTCCAGGACACGGGCCTGGACGTGAGGTGAGAGAAGATCACGTGAATGTCTAAATTCCAGTGTTCAGGAACTTCCTTTTCACATCTGTGCACTTTGCCTTGAATTGAGTGTGTTTTTCGGAAGCTCCGAATGAACTTTGGGAGTTTCCCAGATTCACGGAAACTAATAAAAGTCTTGTATCATCCGCAGAATACAGAGAAGTCCTTCCTTGGGCATTCTCCACCACGGGAACGGCCTTCCGCTGCCCACGAGGAATCCAGAGAAGGAGGAGCGCCTCACGGAGAAGGAGAAAACGAAGCTGGAGACCAAGCGTCGCAAGGCGGAGGAGGCGGTCAAGAGGGCCGACATGGAATACTACACACTCTGCGTGCGCGCAGAGAGGGCGCGCGTGGAGTACGAGAAGGCCGTGGGCAGAGGCTCGACAGTCCTGCAGACGCTGGACACGCAGCGGAGGCTCAACATGCGCACGTACATCGAGAGCTTCCTCAAGCTCATCCCCTTCGCCGCGGAGTTCAGTCTGGAGTCTGACAGCGCGAGTGCAGAGGAAGCGCCCGTGCTGGACATCAAGAACGACGCCCTGATCAAGCACTTCATCCGCCCAGGACTGAATCGCAGCAAGAGCGTCGTGGAGTACGGAAGCCGCTCGGAGACGCTGCCCAGCTCGGGAATCTCCATCAATGGCCAGGCGAACGGATCGATCGCGGGCAGAGGAAGTCCGATCTGGGACAGAGGCATCGCGGATGGTGGCTCGAATCAGCACGATTCGGACTTCGATGAGTTCTCGTCGCACGACGAGGACGAGGACTGCGCGAGGAAGAGCGACAAGGCGGCGCCGCAGAGCAAGATCATTGGGAGGTGCAAGGCGATCTACAACTACGCGCCGCAACTCTCGGATGAGCTAGAACTGAATCCAGGTGAGGACATGACTAATGCACTGCCCGCGAAGGTTACTAAGCATCTGTCTGTCTGTTAATTGCAGGTGATATTATTGAGATACACGTGAAACAGGAGGATGGATGGTGGCTTGGAGCACTGCGAGATCGCGTTGGAATCTTTCCGGCCACGTATGTTGAGGAGATGTCTTAACATTTTGCAATAACAACCGAAAAGATTGAGAAGCAATCGCGGATTTAACATGGAAAAGTGTTATTTATATTTACAATTTAGCTATTAACTTGAGAAATACACAATATTGACTCTATCTCTTCTTCTTCCTGTTTCTCACCGATTGCGTCCGGGAAGACTGAGTAGATTGGACAGTTGGGAAATCCCGGGCAATATCAATCTGGGATTTGGGCCAGAGCCACTCGCAGAAGCGGAGTATCAAGTGACAGAGGGAGACGACCAGCAAATACGGCCACACGCCAGTGTTGAGATAACTGTAACACATTCAATCGTCTCAAACACTTGAGATAAGAGATAAGACTTCACTCACCTGGCCAGCTTTTTCCCCAGCGGCTGATCGGGCTCCCTGAGAACTCTCCTGTACACTTTCTCCGTCCTTGTGGCCACGTTGTCCCAATTGTAGAGCTCCTGCACCAATTCGTTGCAGGCGAAAGGACACAAAATATCGTCCTTCTTGTGAATCCCATTAGATTCTGGCAGCTTTCTTTGGTTCCTGTGTCTCTTAACAGCCAATAAGAGTCCATTCAGCAGCGCCTCCACAGTGGCTTCAGTCATTATGATGAGCTTCTGGGGCAGCACTTCAGGAATTCCGCCCACTCTTGTGGACACGACTTGCAATCCTGTGGCCGCAGCTTCCACGATCGCCATGCAATAGGCCTCCGTGAGGGATGTGTTGAGGAAGATGTGGCCCTGTGTCAGCACGTCACGCACTTTGGAGTGCTTCAGAGCGCCCAGAAGAGTTACGCGCTCTTGCATGTTGTTCTTCTCGCGGATCTCCTCCAGAAGACCTCTCTTTGGCCCATCGCCACCAATTAGGAAGTTCACGTGGCGCATCTCGGGCATCTGGCTGATCCTGGCGATGATCCCCACCAGCAAATCGATGCCTTTGCGGTACACCAGCCGAGAGACAATGACGACAGTGACTGGAAGAGCACAGAAAACGTCAATATGAGAATTATCCACAGATGAAGCGATCTCACCAGTGTCGTTTTGAGGTCTCCTAATGGGATTTGGCGTGAAGAGTGCTGTGTCCACTGCGTTGGGTATCACGGATACCTTCTGAGCGGGCACAGAGGCTCTCAAGACGGTGTTCTCCTTCCCAATGTGCGACACACAGATGCAGTGATTGCAGGAACACAGGGAGATCTGGAGGAACTTGTTTGTGACGACAGCGGAGAGATCAGCGAAGCCGAAGAGGCTGTGATCCGTAAAGACCACCCGGAGGTCCAGGAGCGACGCCACGAGCATCATCTCGTGCGCCAGGGCGGAGAAGGCAGAATGTCCGTGCACGATTTCGATCCTCTCGCGCTCCAGGATGTTTCTGTACAGTGGAATATTGCAGATCATCGTGGGCAGGATGCACTGGTTGTAGAACGTCTTGATGGGCAGGTAGTAGACTTTCAGGCCGCTGGTCATGTATCGGATTCCCACTCGATCGCCATAAGAGTGAGTCACCACGATGACCTATAAGACAGCGAGAAGGAATTTAGGGATTTCCGCCAAGACTCCTCACCCTACACAACCCCTCACCTTGTGGCCCTTCTCGAGAAGGCACTGCGAGAGGCTGAAGATGTGCTCCTCCACTCCGCCCATGTTGGGATAGAAGAAATCCGAGGCCATGCTGCAGAGAAGCAGAGAAGAAACTCACTTGCTAAAGGAATTCCTCAGCCTTTCCGTGATCCTCCTTACCAGATCCTCATGCTGATCATCTACTGGTAACTACAGCACTCCTCATTGAGGAATTAAAGCTATTTTCCTTGATGGAAGTGATTTGTTTTGGTTTTCCGACCACTTGCACGCACATGCACGCATTTCATCGACATTTCGACATGTCAAATGGACACTTAGAGCGCCATCTAGCGAATATTTTGCATGAGATTACAAAGAATTCGCTTTTCCCGTCCATCTGAGGAAAAATAACGAATATATGAAGTGTGAGTTTTATTCATTTATTATACAATTCAATTTTCTATTGTGAAATTTATGAAACGAGTTAAAATGGCGTTTTTCGCCATATATTTACATAGAATCAGTTTAAGAAACTGGAGCTCCTGGAGCTATTGACTGAGTCTTGGTTGTCTGAAGAATCCGGAGAAACTCCTGAAAAATTGAAATTATGTAAGATAGTGTGACGAATTCATCTTGTCTCTCACAGACTCACGAATGAGTTTCATGTACTGCGTAGCAATGAGACCATCGAAATCTTTCATATTGCGATCGATGCCGTTCGCAATTAGATAGCAGTAAAGATCGAGGCGCCTGTACAGAACTGCCACGTGAAGAGCGGTCATCTTGGACCGAGGATAGGTCGCGTTGATGTCGCATCGTCCCTTGAGAAGCGCAGTCAGGCTGGAGAAATTCGTCTCTTCTCTCATGACAATCGCACTCACGCAGATTAAGAAGGGAGATACCTTGCTCATTGTGCATTCGTTCACCATGGCGCCATGATGGATCATGAGGCTGATCAAGGGAGCGGATAATATGTAGCAGGCCTTGTGGAAGGGCGTGTAGTAGTCATCATCGTGAGCATATCTGGGAATGCTCAGAAAGCCAGGATTTTCAAGGAAGAATCGAGCACAGATTCGAAAAGACGCTGGTGTGAGCTTGACCTTCCGTATCTGGGGAACAAAAGAAAGGAAGAGAATGGTGAGAGGAATCTGGATTTAGCTAAAAATTATGATATTCTTACCAAAATGTCGTGAATCGTCTTAGAATCATTGCGAATTTGCACGGAATACTGCCAAGACGCGTAAATCAAGCAACCAGTCATGATTAGTGGCATTATCACCTGGTAATAGTCCATGAAATACTCGAGGAAGTCCATATTTTTCAATTTTCTGTTGAAAATTGCCGGGAAAATGTTTTTTACGCCCAGGGACGCTCTCAATGTTGATGGCGCACACTTTGACAACTGACGCAGTGAAGTTGGCTACAAGAATTTACTTCGCGCGTAAAATCCAATCTGCTGACAATGGTCTCTCAGAGACATCTAGCGGAGTTGCGCACTCTGGCCGACACTGTGAAACTCATCAATTGTTAAACGACAATCTGAAAACCAGTCAAAGCTGCAAGGTGGAAAAAGTGTGTGTCGAAGAGATTCATTGATTTTCTCATAGGATGTTGCAGCTGTGAATTTCTCAGGATAAACAGTGAAAATCGCACAAAATGCTGAGGAATCTCCTGCCTGTGCTGTCCTCCAAGTACTTCAGTGCCATTTCTGTGGTGCGACAAAGCCGTGCGGCGAAGACATTGGCGAGTGGAGCTGATGTCATTGATTCCTGGAGGAGCAAACTTGAGGAGCTCAATGTTCCGGACGTGAAGTCGTCACTGGACAACATTCTCGGGCATGTCCTGCAGCAGAAGCAGGTGATTGTACTTGAGACTCCTGCACTTGCAGTCAGTGTTATCTCAGTTTCTGTCTTTAGGTTCATGACCTGAGCGAAAGCAAGGACTTGTCTCTGACCCCAGAGCAGCTGGATCACTTCGAGAAGCTGTGTCACTGTCGCGTGGCACGAATGCCCATCCAGTACATCGTGGGCGAGTGGGAGTTCCGTGATCTGGTGCTGAAGATGCAGCCGCCGGTCTTCATTCCGCGCCCAGAGACTGAAGAACTCGTGGAGTTGATCCTGCAGAAGCAAGAGCCCACGAATCCCGTGACGTTCCTGGAGATCGGATGCGGCTGTGGCGCCGTGTCGCTGGCACTCCTTAAGGCGCTGCCGCTGGCCAAGTGCAAGGCTGTGGATCAGAGCAGCATGGCTTGTCTGCTCACGCTGAAGAATGCCATTTACCAAAAGCTTTCGGATCGCATTTCTGTGTCACAGCACAAGATCAGCGACAGAGTGAAGGATGACGACTTCTCCGTGAAGTTTGACTTCATTGTCTCGAATCCGCCGTACATTTCGTCGCACGATCTCATGGATCTCGACCCTGAGATTCGACTGTGAGTTGTGATTTTCATCTCAAGGAGAATTCCCCGCTAATCCACCATCTTCTGTGTGTGTGTGATTTCAGATACGAGGACTTGCGCGCCTTGGACGGCGGCGAGGATGGGATGAATGTGATCAAGTCAGTGCTCAGAGTGGCGTCCAAGTTCCTCTCCGAAGAAGGAACGCTGTGGCTCGAGGTGGATTCCTCGCATCCAGAACTCGTGGTGCGATATCTGGACGCTCATCGCGAGAGTCTCCGACTGAAGTTCGTGGCCAGCTACACAGATCTCTTCCAGAACGACAGATTCGTGGAGATCGTCAAGGAGGCTTAAACAGGCGAAATGTTCGCTTATTTTTTTTATTTACAAGAATTATTACTCGTAAAACTCTCTTTTCTTTTATGGGTAATTAAAAACAATTACGAGGATAGATTGAATGTACAGGTATTTCAGTGGATTTCAATAACATGCGCGCCTGGATCTCTTTGCCTTTAAACTCTCCCAATTTCTTTTCTTTTTCTCTCTATACAAACTATTTACACACAATCTTGCAGGATATTTTGCCGTACGAAAAAAACATCTTTAATCACTTGACTTTCTTTCTCTTTTCCTTCACGTCTTTGTATTCCTTTTGTGTTTTGTTGCACATTTATCACAAAATTTCCGCTTTTTGTTACCTCTCTCTCTCTCTTTGCATCTTCAGTTCAACGTATTCCGCAGTACATTAAGTTCGTTCGCCAATCTCTTGCCTAAGGCCATCATTTGCATTATGAAAATCTGCAAAAGAACGCAAGTTTAAATTGACTTTCCAGCAAGAACACCTTCTTTGGCTCACTTCTAGTTCCGGATTCTCCTGGAGGGCCTTCTTGAGGATCGCACCGTCGGCGGAGAAGAGAAACACCACGGGAATCGTGACGTCGTCCTTCCCATCGCCCGACATTGCGAACATCGGCTGATTATCACTCGATGTATTGGCAGTGTTGTCAATGATGATCACCGCCAAGGCTCCGCCCTTCTGCGCTGCGCGCGCCTTCTCGATGAACGTGCAATCGCCCCTCTCCACGATGGCGATCCTGTTCTCGATCGAATTCTCCAAGGCTGCAAAGGAAGAATTCGTTAGAAAACGCTACAGAAACACCCAAAGAAGAATTATTATGTGCGATTCTGGGGAAAACACAAACTGGTTTCCGTTGAAGCACAGGAAATGAAGATAAGAACAGTCAAAAATGATTAATTTTCATGGTTTTTTCGCTTAGAATCGCACCAGAACGTAAACATAGATAATGTAATGCTGAAATTCTTCAGATCCGCAAGAAAACCAACCAATAATGAGTTAAAAAGTAGCAAGATTGCAACAAAACGCAAGAGAATACCAATCTTGGCAGTTCACAAGTCCAAAAAAATGCCCACAAATTGATGGGAATAGAAACTCACCAGCGCAGAGGCGAAGTGGCTCGGTGAGAACGGCTTTCTGGTGGACGGACTGATCATCTGTGAGCTCTGGACTGAAGTGACTAGGACCCGCTTTGAGGATTTCGTAGCTTCCGTCTGGCTTCTTGAAGAACACCGCCTGGAGTTGCATCGTCGGACTGGCGGCTTGTTGCTTTGACAACTCCACCATCTCCTGCATGAACACCAGGCCGCGCTCCGCGTCTTCCGGCGATTTGGCCTGCAAAATCACACACACAAGAGTCAATACAATCACTCTCTTTCTCTCTCAAGGATTTCACCAGGCAGACTCACGTTGTAGAAACTGTGCAGCAATTGCACTTTGCCCTCGCCTAGAGACACCATCGTGATGCCCATGTCGTAAACAGTGCGCAGGTGATCAGCATTGCTGACCTGAAAGTCCTGAGCGCGCAGTCGCTTGTTGCTGGACACTCGTGGACAGATGCCCGTGACCAGATCGCGAATGGGTCGGCGCACGGTGTTGGGAAAAAGCTTGTTCGGACTCGGGCAGGAGCGCATGAAGTCCAGCATGTGGTATTCATCCTCATCCTTGAAGTCCGTCGTCGCATTAGTGAACTGACCGAGTGAGAGTGGCAGCAAATGCGCCTCTGTGGTGAAGATGAAGTCATCCAGATCCAGGATGAGCTCCGAATCGTCGGCGAAGAGCAGGTAGAGGTACTTGAAGGTCTCCGACAGCACGAACGAGTCCATTCTGTCTTCGTGCTTGCCCGTGCGCACGTCATTCACGGCGGCATAGCCGCACGGCACCTTGGCGTGCTGCTGCAGCGTGCGCAGCACCTTCTTGCCCACCTGCAGATAGTAGTGGTCGCCGGTGGCCTTGTACAGGAAGTACGTGGACTCAATGAACTCGGGGCGCAACGGATGCTGTCCCCAGTGGATCTGGAAGTCAAACGTGAAGGCCTCGGGGATGAACGTGTGCATCTGCATCACCTGATACAGCATCTCGTGCGTCTGCACGGCGGGCTTCAGGTCACCCGTGAGCACCTGGAGGCCCGGCCAGAAGGCCAGCAGCGCATCCATGAAGTTGCGCGATTTGGCGTGCGGCCGATGCATCAGCACGTCCAGCAGCATCGGACCCTGGCTGATGTACTTCATCACGGCGTTGTAGTGACGATTGAAGCGTGCCAAGTAGCGCTCGTCGCCCAGAAGGACGTAAGACTGCGAGAGAACAGAAGAGTGTCATTAGGATTCTTGAACGGATGCCAAGCGTCTGCAGACTGATAAACCCCCTGCCCGAAAGAAAGACGCATTTGGGCGCGCTGGCGATCGATTTCCCAATGTGAATTTGAATGCAGCAAGAGTCTCTCACTGGGGATTTTGCAATCCACACGGCGGCCGCGCGACGATCCGCCCAAATCCGGTTTCTCGCGCCTCAAGGAGACTCACCTTCAGGCAGTACTCGTAGTAGGAGTCAATTCCCGCGCCCACGCCCGAGTCGCGCCGTATCCAGTCGCCCGAGTGAACATTGAGGGTGGTTCCCATGAGATCTGAGCCCCTGTGGCGGATCTTCCACAGGGCGTCCATGGCGCGGTGCGCCTTCACCTCGAAGATCGGCTCGCCGCTGAGGCGCGACAGTGCCGCGAACTCCAGCAGGATCGTGCCGGCGCACGCGGTGCACGTCTCGCGTGAATGTCGCAGCTCGTCGCTCTTCATGCCGTCGCGCAGGTTCACGCGGGCGTGCGGAATGCCCGTGGAGGTGTTGAAGGCCGGCAAGAGTCGATAGCCGAGGTCTTTGGCCATTTCTAGCAACTCCCCGCGATACCACATCATCAGGTTGGCCTCCTTCTGGATGTACTCGGCCAGGATGTGCGCAGAGAGGAGACCACTGAAAGACACATCAAGCATAGAATCCCTTCCAGACGCTCTCAAATTCTGTGATTTCTCACCCAATCATGCGGATGTTGGTCTCAAAAACTGATACAATGATGTTGTGATCGAAAGAGACATTCTGAATCACCAGCTTCACAGCGTGCTCGAACTCCTCCAAGTCTCCCAGGATCACCAGTGTGTCCAGCGTGTCCACGAGAGTCATGGAGAAGCTGTGAAAGAACGGATTTTCTTGTATCTCTGGCACAAACACTCCCTGGCCACGCTCCAACTCACTTTCCCAGCACATCGTCCATGTCGCCGCGCGATGGGGTAATTCCTCGGTAGCGTCCGGCACAGCTCAGGGGCATCAGCTCGTCAGCGGGAAAGGCGTTCTCCATGTACGCATTGTAGCCGTGATAGAACATCTCCCTGGCTTCCTCCCTGCAACATAAAGTGGAATCAGCACATGTCTTATCGCCCAGCAATAGGTGGGGCACCCACTTGAGCTCGTTGCGCTCCTTGGTGGACATGTTCTCCGTGGGCACAGCCGAATCTGCCACAGCTGCACTTGCCACGAGAGACACAAGCAGGAGTCCCGCCATTGTTCGCTCCCTCGCGTTGTGTATTCGCATTCTTCACTATTTCATTACACTATGCGCTCCAGCAGTGGTTTGGGCAAACAGCAACACCTGAATTCCCAATTAAAACTAGCATTTAGAATATAAAATACACTACTTTCTGCCCGTCTCCATTGAAAAAACTACCATCGCTGACTGACGTGTGCTTTTGACTGGCGCGACGAGCGCTCCTCTGGTGTCTGGGATGCGCATCAAATTTGCCAATTCGATGAAATTTCAGGTGGGAAAAAAAGAGTGGGAATTGTGAAAAACTGAAGCAATTTACCTTAATAAATCATTATTTTGTCCCCTAAAACACTCTTTTACTCCTTTTTGAGAGAGTTTATTGCCTCAAGCCAAATATATGGGTGTATTTTCACGGATTTCAACGAAATCGCGCTTTCTATATTTTCATTTTGAATTAATTACCGTGTTTTATATGGAAAATGCGCGCGTGGGATTTTCCCACCCACAATTGGTTTTGGGAGGACTTTCAGTGCTCTAATTACTGCCTTTTCCTCTAATTACACACCTAAAATTTGCTACAAAACACCCTCAAAGCAACCCCTTAATAGTTAGTCTGCGGTTAGACTTTGGCTCAAGTTGTCGTGATTCAGTGGAAAATTATGAAACTCAAGGGATTCAAGGATTTCAGGATTGCCTTCTGGAAGTGCTTAATTGAGTACTTCGAGACGAGCAATCTGCACGGCTATCGCGAGTTTGTGAATGGAGACACTTTCTGGATTCGCAGGATTGTGTGCATTTGGATGCCCATCTTCTGCACCGCCTGGGGAATTCAACTGGTTCTGCACGAGTACAACTTCTTCGTTTCCCATCCCATGATCACAACACTCATCTCCAATCAATATCCGGCCAGGAATTTCCCCTTTCCCGCTGTGGCAATTTGCCCGAACAACAAAATCAGCAAGACGAAGGCTTGGAAATATGCCCAGGAATTGTAAGTCAGTTCAAGAGTTCGTGTGGAATTTTGGATTAATGAGTTGTGTGAATTCATTCCAGGCACAATAGCTCGAATGGGATTCAGTCTGTGGAGTTTATTTTTCAGAAGCTGAAGTACTTTGGCCACCTAATCGACGCCCTGGATCCCAATCCTGCGGACGCCGTTTGGTTGCAGGAGTTCGTGGACAACTACGACGATCCCGATCCCGCGAAGTGGATAGACACCAGGGATGTGATGAAACGCCTGATGCCGGACTGCGAGAACATCCTGTTGCAGTGCATATACGAGGAGGAGATCGTAAATTGCAAGAAGATCTTCACCAGACGTCGTCTGATTGAGGGCTATTGCTGCTCCTTCAACTACCTTCGCGAGACGGACGACTTCAAGACCACGCAGAAGATGATCTATCCCAAACTGACAGGGATTGGCAAGGGATTGACTGTGGTCATCAACGCCTCGACTGACGACTACCACTTTCCACTCCTCAGCAATGATGGCTTCAATATTCACATCTTCTATCCGCACGACTATCCAGATCCCTCGGCAGGACTCATAATCAAGCGATTCGTGGCGCCGCTCATGGAATCCTTCATCCAACTGAGAGTGATCATCGTAAAGGCATTGCAGAAAGTGCGCTTCTTCTCTGAAAATCAGCGTGGATGTCGGTTCCCGGAGGATCTGGCCAAGGAGTACAACATGTACTACAGCTACAGCGATTGCCTGGTCAGATGCAAGATTCACAGCGCAGCCACACTCTGTGGCTGCGTTCCTTTCTTCCTGCCACGGAACTTTCAGGATCTCGCCGTTGTCACCACTCCCATGTGCAGTCTCAACCATCTGCCCTGCCTGGAGAAGTACAGGAGTGAGTTCTCCTCGGTCTTTCTTCGGTTCTTAGAGATCACACAAAATCTTGCTTGTTGCAATCTTTCCAGTTAAGGTCAAGATCTACCGCCCTCGAGTGCCAGTGCCGGGACTGGAGCGAGAAATGGAGGACTCTCTGGATTGTCGCGATTGCCTGCCACTCTGCTCCTACGTGCGTTACGGCGTCGATCAGACGAATTCCTACATCTCCATGGACCCCAATGAGCGTCCCAGCAATGGCATCTTCGAGAAGTACATCAACCAGACGAATGTGTCCATTGTGAACGTGTACTTTGCCAACTCCGACTCTGTTCTCTACCATCAGACGGTCAGGAACTCTTGGTATGGACTGTTGAGCAATCTGGGCGGAACTCTCGGTCTCTGCGTGGGATTCTCCCTCGTGTCCATCCTCGAGTTCCTCTACCACATCACCTTCCGCGTGTACAGAGAGCTGTATCCCAAGGAAGCGGTGCTGAAGACGCACGAGAGGATGACCTATGGTGAGATCGAGAGAATCCTCAACAGACAGCTGAGACAGTAAACCCCCTGAAGCTCGAGAATTCCTGTAAATATCGCACCTCATTGTGAGATAGTGCCCTTTTGGGAATGGACACTTTATCTGGCTGGCGGAGAGACTTAGATACTGGGCGATAAAGCAGCCGCGATTCCAGTGATTACGACCTGCGCTGGTGTGCGCAATGAGAGTCATTGGGCAAAAATTCCCTCCTGAAATCTCGACATGATGTATCGACCGCACAGTTTTGATTCATTACTCGATTAACAGTGCCTGAATATCATCAATTTCTGTCCATTTTCGCGCTGTCCCAGGAACTAATTGTCTTTCTCTACATGTTGTTCACCGGCCGAGAAATCGCGCTCGTTGTGTGCGTGTGTCTGGGATTGGTCAGGAGTGAGCAGGAAGTGAAATATCGCGTTGCACAGCCTCTCAATGACGGTCACAACAACGCCTGGCTCGTTGTCGCCGTCATCTTCATACTCCTGTTCCTGCTCATGACAGGCCTGTGCATTTACCTCTGCTACATGCGCCGGAAGCGCGTCCAGGAGATCTACGACGCCCAGCACCAGTACGCGGCCAAGATCCGCCAGCAGGAGTACCTCCAGAGGACCGGCTACATATAGAGGAGCGGAAAATTCGCCCAATGACTCAGTAGATGATTTCTTGTGTGGAAATCCATGATGGATTACAGACACAGAGCTTGCGATTAAGTTAAGTCCATGCAAAAGGAGTGTTTTTCTTTGTGGCTGTAGAAAACTGGTGTAATTTAATCCTATAATTGATTAAAATAAATGGAAATTGACTTCTAAAACTTTGAAAATTAGTTCTTTCAACTTACTGAATTCATATTTAAAAATATGTACTTGTGTTAAAAAAAATACTAAATTCTGTGCACATGCAATGAAGATAAAGAAAGTTAATGGAGATAAGAATAATTATGGAATTCAGTGACAAATTTTTGAGTTTATTGTTCTTCATTCTTGCGTGATCGTTATCGAAGATCGTAAACACAGTCATAACATTTTATTTGTTTTGATAGCTACCTTTCTAGCCAAATTCCTCAGATCTCACCGGCAAACTATATGTACCTATATTTATTACACTGACCTAGGCCAGGAAGACGCGTAAATTATTCTCCTCCGCCCTTTGGCGCGCCCGCGAAAACCATTCAACTCTTTCACTGGGCGATCGTAAAGTGTGTAACGCGCTGATTAATTATAGAGGTGACTATCGTGGAAATTGTCGGTATCAAAATCGAATCAATCACATCTCTGTGAAACACATCCAAACCACAAAGTTAAAACTGATATGGAAATCCTTACTAAACGATAAATTTTGTGGCAAGACAAGTCTTGTCTGCTCGCCGAAATCAGTATTGAGTTTGATTTCAATCAATTCATTGGCCAAATTCTGCCGCGGAATTTTATCATCACCAGGATTTGCATTTGTGCATGTTTCAGGATCAAACAGGATGAAGATTGTGCTGCGGTTATTGATATGTGCTGTGCTAATTGCCGCTGTGACGTGCGATTATCCTGCGAAACACTCGAGATTGGCGAAGAGGCAGGTTTTTCAAATTCCTGACTGGCCACCGGCCACAGATGCTCCAGGAGCGCCAGGAGAGCCGGGAGATGGTGATTGGGTGGCTCCCGAGTGGCCGCCCACAACGGACGTGCCGATGCCCGATGATCCAGCCGAAGGAGCAGCAGAGTCTTCAGCCTGGATGGTGACAGCCATTGTCTTCATCGTTCTCTTCATAATCGCCGGTGAGTTCAAAGGCATTTTCCTCGGCGTCGAGATTACGCGGCTAATCGGCACTTTATCTTGCAGTGGGAATCGCCATCTACATGTTTGTCACACTCCCGCCTCGGTACAGTAGCAATAACACGTTCACTCTGCCCAGAGTCAACCCACAGCCATCACACTAAAGATCACCATCATCCTCCATCAATCTTCTTCTATTTGCACAGGCACTAGAGCCGCTTTCGCTTTGCCCTGAACCTGATGACCAGGACTCACGCCATCGCGCCCAGGGATTTCTATCCATTCCTCGCCACTCCAGCACAGACCCAGCAATCATCCCTAGCTTAAGGACATTTCTAGTGTGAATCCCGCCAAATGAGAAAATAAATTATTCCTGATTTATCTGCGGCTGCGATCAATCATGTTTTGGTGGCGATTGTGTCCATTGGAAACTTCTCATTATCAACAACACTTTTGAGTGGCTGCTCTTACCACCAATAAAGCCGTAATTGACTTGATTATTTGTGCCATATTAATGCCCAAGATATCGACTGGGAATGCTTCAGTTGCGGAGACTTCTTGTCAGTATTTTGGTGTTCGCGCGACGAAATGAAGGTGCTGCAGAGCATTGTGCTTCTTTTTAATCTCTTGCTCGCGACTCAGTGGGATTTCGTGGCCACTGAAGAGGTTCACTGTGAGATCATTGATTTTACCCCAGAAACAGTTCTGAATTCATGTGCATCCGAGGAGGAATTCTATCTGAGCTCGTACGAGCAGGAGAACGATGCGCCACCAGAGTTGAGGGAAGAGTCTATGGGACTCCTGGCCAAGACAGGTCCGGGAATAGCTTGTGTTGAGCTGCCGAATGAGTTCATTCTCGATATGGACTCTGGAATTCATCTGCCCACGTATTACGAGCAGGACACGGAAATCACCATCGAGATTGTCGACGTTTTGGATCCTCTGAATCTAATTGAGCTCAATATGCCCCTGTCAGGACCTGATTATGGCTGGTACAAGCACGCCCTGTTCAACTTCTTCGAGGACAGCAGCGTGGAGTTGCCCAACACATTCAAGGTAAATCCTCAGGAGGACCCAAAAGCGGGCCAATCCGCAGTGTGAGCGATAACACTCGCCTATCAGGAGAAGAAAATGCGTTGAAACTCGCTTTCTTTGGGAATACTTATCTGGTGACTTTGCAAAGGTGGCCAGAATGATTAGAGATAGTGAATCACATTGTTGCTCATTTGTAAAAGCGATACTTTTTCCGTTTTTCCCCAATAGATCACAATCAAGGCAGAAGTTAAAGACGACAATGGACGAATCTTCATCGATTTCCTGCAGGTTTTCAACACTCAACGACAAGAGCTAGAGGAAGAGTGTATTCCTCGGGAGATTCCCGAGCCAGAAGAGACAGATCCTCCAACTCCCTCATATACCCCATCTCCTCCAACAGGAGAACCAGAGACAACAGAAGAACCAGAGACAACAGAAGAACCAGAGACAACAGAAGAACCAGAGACAACAGAAGAACCAGAGACAACAGAAGAACCAGAGACAACCGAAGAACCAGAGACATCTGAAGAGCCAGAGACAACCGAAGAACCAGAGACAACAGAAGAACCAGAGGAAACAGATGATCCAGAAACAGAGTCCACAGAATCCACAGAACCCTCTGAGGAGCCCACAACTCCTCCAACAGATCCACCAATAACTGACGATCCGACACAGCCCGAGCCACAAAAAGAGCCAGAGTGGAAAGTGGTTGCACTCGTGTTCGTGTCACTATTCTGCGGAGCTTGCGTGCTGATCTTACTGCTGATCTTCAAGCCATTCATCGTGAAGAGCTCGACGGCTTCCAGTGGACTTGTGACGAATGAGCATCCAATGGCACAGACAAATCTTCCCAGACTGCAAGTCGAGGCGGGATCTCAGGGCATTTCGGGAGCCAATAGAGACACAACTTGGCCTTAAAGGAGGATTTTCGGGTCATTGAACGATATTATGATTCATCCAGAGACTCTCAAGAAGAGTCTTTATCATGTACTCTAAATAATTTCACAAGAACACTGATATTTTTAAAGAGATGTTTCAATATGTTTCTCTTTCAACACGTGCTCAAGACAAGCTCAAGATCATGAGGAAATCCACTCTTTGGGCGCGTTTTAGGGCTCTTCATTCACAGAAATTCTTGTGCGCACGTGAAAATTGTATCAGGGCGTGTCTGGTGACAATTGCCTGGAAATAAAGCAATTTAGGCGATGATCATTCCAAAGGTCTTCCTGGAATGTGTGACAAGATCACGTAGGCAGAAGATGAGAACAAGGCAAATTGCAGTCCAGCGGTAGAATCGCTACTCACAACTACTGGCCAGCGTTATCTGGGAAAAATACCAGAGATAGCGTTTATTTGGCCCAGCGAAGGTGGCGTCCAAGCAGTCAATATAATTCCCCGTGCGATAAAGAGCGCCAAAGTGTGATAAAAGACATAATATGACGATCGGTGGCCAAAAACTCACTGTGCAATTGACCTGAACAATTCGCCAAAATATAATTAATTGTAACACTGATCTTCCCTGACATTTCACTGGGAAAATATGTCCAACTTTCACGATAACGCGATATTTGATAAAATGATAATTTTCGGTGCTATTTTTTGTCTAATCTCTTTCCAGGTCGATTGATAAGAAAGCACTGAAAAATGACTAATTTTAACTTTCCCGCGGAGAAAGTGAACCACAAAAGACAAAAAATTAATCTGCCGATTGAATGATGAGTTTCGACGTCCAATTTTTTGACAATTTGGTAAGGAAATTGTGCAATGCAGAGGAAAATTCCCTGTCCCTGGACTGCCACTGAGGAATGCGTGACGATGAGAAATCAATGATGGGATTTTAATGGGTTCCAGTTAAGCTAATCCCGTGCCTTAGTCACATTCACCGTCATGTTATGTGTCTCTGATTTCGCTAATCCCTGCTGAGATAGAGACTCACTGAACACTCAATGAAGACTCAGAAGAGCTTTTAAGACGTTGGCCGATGGCAGGAAAATTTCAGTCTCCATTTGCGTACCGAAGAAGAAACTTTCTGGTCAGTGTTGAACTTTCTGCAGAGTCATGAAGTCTCTGGTGATCGTGATTGTCCTGGTGTGTGGCAGTAGATTCACGGGTGGAAACGTTGTGGCGAGATATGACCGCACAATTCCTGACTGGCCGCCAACGACCGACGGTCCTGGAAGTCCCACAACGACGCCAGGACCCGGTATACCCGACTGGCCACCGACTAGCGATGCTCCTGGAGGTTCACCAGGACCCGGTATACCAGACTGGCCGCCAACAAGTGATGCTCCTGGAACGTCGCCGCCAGGAACACCAGATTGGCCGCCAACCACTGACGGTCCGGGCACACCAACCACCACGACGACTCCAGGACTGATTCCCGACTGGCCGCCTACCACAGAGGGACCAGGAACTCCCACACCACCCCCAGGAAACCCGCCACCAACTACAATGCCCGGCCCAACTGCTTCCACGCCGTCGCCGCCAACGGAAACAACCATCTCCACGGATCCAACCTCGCCCACGTGGCCAGATGCTCTTCCCGAAACCACCACGCAGATATCGATGACTCCTCCACCCCCATTCGACTCGTCATCGTGAGATCTGACCACGAGACACGCGGAGAAAAATTATTTTCCATGAAAAGAATAAAAGCGACTGTTGGCTTTTTGAAAAATTGAATTTCTATGTTATTTTTCTGGCCTCTCTGGGCGCCTCCAATAATTTCAGCGGCTCACAAAACTTTTCACCGCAGACAAAACAAAGGTGTAGTTCTGAGAAAAACAGTGGAAATACCGTGAAATCCTGCCAGGATCCTGTGGAAAATGAAGTAATCCTACAGAGGAGTTGCAAAAGCTGCGTGAGAGTGTAGAACTTCTTGGAATTATGCACAACTACACCTGAAAAAAGGTAAGAATCCAACACCTAGCCTCACATTTCATCTGCCAGTCTAGGAAGCGCCCCAAAGGGAGGCTTTTCTCGTGCGGTTTTTCTACATGTGGTGCCTTTTTGGTCTCTTGTAGGGTGTACTCTTCTGTCTACTGAGTCCATAGCGTGTAGAATAATGCAGATATCGATCCAACAAATTGCCATAGCCAGTCGCCTTGCCCTCATCAACATTCAATTTCTCTCAAATCTCATCTTTCCGGATCACAATGCCGGTGTCTTCGAGTCACCCGTGGCTCCGGAGCAGGCTGGACAGCTCGACTGGCTCGTGGAGAGCTTCCTGGGTGGCTTTCGGCGCTGGGATGGCCAGTATTTTCTGCACATTGCAGAGTACGGATACACTTATGAGAACACCCTGGCCTTCTTCCCACTCTTCCCGCTCTGCATTCGCGCCATTGCCCACTGCCTGCTGTACCTGCTGCCCGTCCTCTCCCTGCGCAGCACTCTCCTCCTGGTGGCGGTGTGTCTGAATGTGTTCTTCTTCATGAAGGCCGTCCAGAGTCTGTACGACTTGAGCTGTCGCGTGTTGGGCCAGAAGAGTCGCGCCAAGATTGTGGTCTTTCTTTTCTGCTTCAATCCCGCCTCGGTCTTCTTCAGTGCCCCCTACACCGAGAGCCTCTTCGCGTGGCTGACGTTCACCGTGATGAACCAGTGCGTGCAGGACATCTCCGTGTCCATCGCGTTCCCACTGAGCCTCAGCATTCTCTGTCGCTCGAATGGGCTGCTCAACATCGGCTTCCTCTGCTACTTCGCCCTGCGCCGCATCATCCGAGATTTGTCCGTGAGGACATTCCTGGGCGTGGTACTGAAATCGGCTGTGATATCCTTCTTCGTCGTGTTCCACTTTGGACTGCTGCAGGCCTACCATTTCTACCTCTTCTGCCACCAGCTCAACATCAAGTTCCCCGCGCACGTTGTCTCGCACGCGCAGGCGATGAACTTCACGCTGGCGGGCAACAAGACGGACCTGTCGTCGCCCTGGTGCGCGCAGAAGATCCCCATGGCGTACAGCTTTGTGCAGAGTCACTACTGGGACGTGGGCTTCCTGCGCTACTACGAGCTGAAGCAACTGCCCAACTTCCTCCTCGCCATGCCCGTGGTCATCGTCATCTGCAGCAAATTCCTGCACTACGTGCGTCACCATCGAAGCTACGCCACTCGACTGGGAATCTTCGTCTCTGACGCACTGCTAAAGACAATGCGTCGCACGGACGTGGAGATCTTCGTCTTTGTCATGCACGCAACGCTGCTAACACTCTTCTGCGTCCTCTTCATCCACGTGCAAGTCACCACGCGCATGCTGGCCTCGGCCAGTCCCATTCTCTACTGGACAGTGGCGGAAACCTTCCGCTACGTGCGCTCGACGACGCCTCAAGACGTGGCGCGGCAAAGTATTCACAGTAAATTGTCCGGCAGCGTTCACAACATTGACGAGGAGACGGATATGATTGATCTCGCCTTCCTGGAGCACTGCTGGTCAGAAGAGTCAAATGTCAGTGGACGATATCTAGTCGTGTGGTTCTTTTTCTACTTCTACGCCGGCACAATTCTCTTCAGCAACAACTTCCCATGGACTTGAATTGTACCTTAAGCTTCAATAAACTGCGAAATGACGCCAAAAATCACTTCTTTCTGACTCTTTCCCTTCATATTTCTCTTTCCTCTCTATTTTTCAGTGACACACGATGGGCAGGAAGTCATCCAAGAGGCGGCATAGCGACAGCAGTGACGAGGAGAGCCGCAGAAAGAGTTCAAAGGTACAATGAACATGAATGTGATAAGAAATCGATTAAATAACACTTGTATATTCATTACAGCACTCTTCGCGGGACAGAAATGAGGAAACAAATCTCGTGAACTTCTCTTTCCTGGACTTCAAGGCGGATTTGACCAGAGTCCTCGTGGGATTCTCCAATAATGATCAGATTGTAGAGGATGTGCGGGATTTCTGGCTCTTCATGTCGCGCTATGAGAGTCTTCTGAAGAAGAGTGGGCAGTGCATCTTACCTGAGCCTGTGGAAACGTCCCAAAGATCTCACACTGAGTACAGCAAGATGTTCTTCACCAATCTCGAGCTGACGGTGAAGTTTTCAGAGCTGCAAGGACGTCTTTCGACGTATTGCAAAGAGATCACCACCAAGAGATTGAAGCAGTTTTTACAAATTGTGCTACATTATCTGGACTTCAAACAGAAGGAGAAGTTTGCGAAACTGAAGAAGCTGCGCAAGAGTCAGGCAAATTTGCCGGTGGCGAAGTACAAGGATGAGATCATCAAGGCTGTGCAGGAGAACAGAGTGGTGATAATCGCTGGCGATACAGGATGTGGAAAGTCTACGCAAATTCCGCAGTATCTGCACGAAAGTGGCTTTCGAGGAATCGCTTGTACGCAGCCCAGGAGGATTGCGTGCATTTCTCTGAGCAAAAGAGTGGCGCACGAGATGCTGTGCGAGTATGGGATGGAAGTGGGCTATCAGATACGCTTTGAGAGGAGCAAGAATCAATCCACCAGCATTTGCTTCATCACTGAAGGTCTTCTGCTGCGACAACTCTCCACGGAGGCGAATCTGTCGCAATACGACGTGATTGTGCTGGATGAGATTCACGAGAGGAATCTGCATGGGGATTTCCTCCTGGGCGTGTCAAAGTGTTTGCTTCAAGTGCGTCAGGATGTGAAGTTGATCCTCATGTCAGCCACAATCAATATCAAATTGTTTAGTGACTATTTTGCCGCCGAGGAGGCGAAAGTGATTGAAGTGCCAGGAAGATTGTATCCCATCAAGTTGCACTACATGCCTCAGATACAGGACGTCGCGGGGCCGAGCAGAGGGAGAGGTTCAGAGAAGCTGAGTCCTGAGCCGTACATTCAGATTCTGCAGATGATTAACCAGAAATATCCCAGCACAGAGCGTGGCGATGTGCTGATCTTCATGAGTGGCATCAATGAGATCACAACAGTCGTTGATGCGGCCAAGGAGTATTCGGAGAAGAACCCCAATTGGATTATTCTGCCTCTGCACAGCAGTCTCTCGCTCGAGGATCAGGACAAGGTCTTTGCATATCCTCCTGAAGGCATAAGGAAGTGCATTGTGTCCACAAACATCGCAGAGACCTCAGTGACAATCGATGGGATTCGCTTTGTTGTGGATTCGGGGAAGATGAAGGAAATGAGTTTCGACTCTGCCTGCAAAATGCAGAGGCTGAAGGAGTTCTGGATCTCCAAGGCGTCGGCTGAGCAGAGAAAAGGACGCGCAGGACGAACTGGACCCGGAGTTTGCTATCGTCTCTATGCTGAGAAGCAGTACGAAGATCTGGAGTCATACTCTGTGGCAGAGATTCATCGAGTGCCGCTGGAGAGACTCTTGCTGCAGATGATTTCCATGGGACTTCCCAATGCGCGGCTCTTTCCGTTCGTCGAAGCGCCGCCGATGGAGAGAATCGAGAGTGCAATTCTGTCGCTGAAGCAGCACGACGCCTTGACGGCTAATGAGTGCCTGACGAGTCTGGGAATGGCTCTGGCCAAGCTGCCTGTGGATGTTTCCATCGGGAAGATGCTGCTGATGGGTAGTGTTTTCCAGCAATTGCAGCCAGTTCTCACCTTGGCGGCTGCTCTGAGTGTCCAAACGCCCTTCACGAATCGTGCATATCGCGATCACGAGTGCGAGACGGCCAGGAAAGAGCTGGAGTCTGATCATGGTGATCCCATTACGCTGCTGAATGCTGTCCGGGCGTGGCTGGAGCTGAAGCAAGCTGGAGGACGCCGGGAGCGTGGACAGGAGGTGGAGAACACGAAGCATTGGTGTCGACGACGCGGCCTGGAAGAGCAGAGATTCTACGAGATTACAAAGTTGCGCAGTCAATTCCAGGATCTCCTGACGGACTGTGGATTGCTGGAGGCGATGGAGACGAGGAAGCTGACCAGCGCCGAGAAGATTATCCGACATGGGGAGTTGAAACAACTGAGACAGTTGCGGAAGGAGCATCGAATGGAGACTCCGAGGAAGAGGAAGTTGCTCAAGAGTGACTCGTGGCAAATTGAGACGGAAGACAATGAGGATGATGGTTCAGTGGATATCAGAGATGTGGAGTTTCGACTGAGCAATGACAACCGCAAGATGCAGAGCCTTCTATCCAGCGCCACTGCTTGCAGTTATCGAGATGTGATGACGCTGAAGTTGATCCTGGTGAGTGGATTGTATCCTCAGGTGGCGATTGGCGATGAATTCAACTACTGCAAGTCTCCTGGTCAGCAATTCTATCACACCAATTCCAAACCCTTCACTTCCCTGCATCCTATGGGATACTTTGCCAATAATCCGGATGTTCTGCAGCTGAACGACAGCGACAGAGTCGATGGGATTGGCGATTACAGGACGAAGTTGATCGTCAGCTCGAGGCATCAGTTGCTCTGCTATTTAAGCCTGTTGGAAACGACTAAGCCCTACTTGATGAACACCCTGAGGATGCCAGCGGCACAGACGCTTCTCCTCTTTGCGCACGCCATCGACACGAATCTCACTTGCTCCAGGATAATTTGCGATTCTTGGCTCTGTATGGATTTTCCCGTGCCCGAATCTGGGTTAATTTTACTCCACAGAGCGTCAAAGCTGCGGCGATTGTGGAATAAGTTGCTGGAGGAGAAGCTCAAAGTTCTCACGGAGAGTGTCGATGAGGGCAGGACGAAATCATCTGATGGTGAACAGGAGAGACTGGAGCAGGAATTGTGGGATGATTTGACGCTCTTCATGAACTCCAATGCATACTACACGATCAGGAGGCTTCTCGCTGGGGATCTGAAGAGTCACTTCAAGGGCAGAACTGAGGATGAAGAGGATCCTGTGAAGCTGGAACCCAATCCTTTTGGCGAAAGTAAGGAATCTTACACTCCTGGCGAGAGAGGAGGAATTTACCTCACGGATAACGTAATCTACGGAAGTGTGCAGGAAACTGAGTGGAGTGTAAATTTGATGGACTTGAGGAATGAGTGGGAATGCAAGAATTGTGATGTCAAATTCGATTCCACAGGAATTGAGAAGCTTCAGCATCAATCAATTTGTCAGGCAGCAAAAGAGAAGCCCAAGAAAGAGAGTAAAGAAGAAGTTTCTTCCACTGCCAAAGCTTCAGGATCGAAAAGTTATCAATGCGAACACTGCCAGGAAGTCTTCTATTCCGGCATTGATATTCTACGCCACAAGAGAAAGTGTCAAGTGCGAAAATCTTAGGGATTTATTACAGCATTTTTTATTTACGTCCTCATGAGATCCTCGAGGATTCTCTCGACGGCGACTTCGCCAATGGTGCGCTTGAAGAACGTTTGCTGAATCATCGTTGGATCCGCGGCCAGCTTCACGGCGGGAAGGAGCAGGAGCAGGTGGCCTAGGCGGATGCCTCCGCACTTCTCGTACAGCAGCTGAATGGTCTGGTCCAGGAGCGAAGCGACCTGATGCGTGGCCAGTAATCCGATGCTTTCTGCAATTTAGACAAGAATTCAGATGTGTTAGAGAAGGAAATGTGAGATGAAGTTCACTACCTGGCTTGAAGATGATCAGGGCCTTGAGGCAGGCCGCTTCGGTGTAGTCTATTCGGGAGAGGGAGAACTGGTTGATGGCCTTCTGGAAGCGGGAAGCGTCTTCAGCTTTCTCAAAAATGTCTGTAAAGCCAAAGAAATTATTTTAATAAAGGACTTTCAAATGATTTTTTGCAGAGAGACTTTTACTGAGATCAGCTGAAAAACCCCACTGAGCCGCTGTGAGGACAAATAGATCCGCCCAGGAGTCTTGGAGGAGAATTGTCTGGTCACGGGCAGGAAGTTGAGCGAAAGATGGCACATTTTTGGCCCATTTCACAGCGAGGAAGAGAAGTTTGGCTGCCGATTCGAAGATCGCCTCCCTTTGCTGAGGATTCCTCGTGTTGACACACAGAGACATGGCAGACTCCTCAGAGCTGCTCACTTCGTCCTCTTTGGCTGATCCTGCGAAGGGACTTCTCAAAGATTAAAGAACCTCTCACGATTTCCGTGCTCACCTTTTGGGACGTCTGTTGATGGCGTTTCCAGGGTGTTGCCGAAGATGTTCTCGGACAGAAGATATACTCGGTTGAATCTGGACGTGCTGCTGCTGTGCAGATGATGCACGGAGTCCAGGAAGGGAGCGGCGGATGGGAAGTATCTGGGCGTGTCCATTGAGGAGAAATTGCCGAAGTTGACGCTGGGCAGGTGCAGTGGGAAGGGCATGAGGAGGTGGCTTGAGGACGTGCGCCGCTGTGGGTAGATGTCGAATGGCGAGGGCGTGTGAAGAGTGAGATTCCCAGCTCCTGAGCACGATCTTGGCGCTCTTTCGTGCTGAACGGCTGGAAGAATTCAAAAATTTACAAAAATTCTATCATTTTTCCGCGCGGCGAAGAAACATCGCGTCAACATTGTGAATGTCAGTTTGGTGCGTTTTTGGCCGGCATGAAAACAATTCTCTCGTGTTTCCTCAAAATTTCCTTCTGTTCTGTGTGAATCTCAACAAGTTCTAGTGCAAAAATGGTTCTGGACATCTCGGCAGCGATTGAGGAGTTGAAACCGGCGAAGTTTGTTCCGGTGCAGGAAGCAGATGATGAGGAGTGTAGGATTTACGTGGGCAACATTCCCAAGGAACTTCGTCCGAAGGGATTTAAGAACTTGTTCATGAAATTCGGGGAAATCGTCAATTTCTACTATTCTCCAGACAATCGATGGGCTTTCGTGGCGTACGCGTCGAAAGCGTGAGTATCTTGTGAAAGTGACAAACTCTGACCAAGTCGATAACCCATCTTGCTGGATGATTTCAGGGAGTGCGAAGTCGCCATCACGAGACTCAATGGGGTGTTCGGGATGAGGACGCAATTCTGGAGGAACAAGGAGGCGGAAGAGGAGGAAATGATCGAAGCGATTCCTTTCGTGCCGTGCGAAGGCGACAATGAGGCTGAGAAAAAAGTAACGCCATTCAATCTTCCCACTTTTGCATACGAATTTCCTCCTCTGCCGATCACCGAAGAGGACTACAAGCATCCAGAGATGATGAAGTTTGACCCCAAGAAGGAGTTCCTGCTGACGCACGATATGTTTTGGGTGAAGAGACTCGACAGGGAGCATCAGAAGACGGACAAAATGGAGAAGAGAGACAATTCAGGAGTTGAAGTATTTTCTCACGGCGAAGCTGCCGATGTGAAGGAATTTTCCGTAAAGAATTGTAGCAATTGCATGACGAGAAAGAGCATATACAGGAATGGGAAGTGCTCAGTGAATTGCCAGCCTTGGGAATTAACTGCCGGCTTTCCCGAAAGCAAGTCACTTGTGATTGTGACTGCGATTTTCAATCCACGAGAGCTTTTCCTGCGTTCTCTCGCCCCGGCGGCCAACAAGGACTACTTGAAGCTGATGAACGAGGCACAGAAGCTGGGTAAAAGTGCCAAATATCTCTCAAATCCGCCCAAACCGCATTCCATGGCCTTGACGAGGAGAGGGAAAATCTTCACGAGGGCTTTTGTTGTCTCTCATGATGCCTCATCGAGTTTGTCAACAGTTATTCTGGTGGATTTCGGAGAGATCAAGAAGATTCCTTGGACAGAACTGATGGAGATCAGCGCTGAATTGGCTGCGCAGCCTCGCTTCGTGTTCCGCTGCAATCTCAAGGATGTCAAGGCTCTGGAGTATAACAACAGACTGAAGGACGCCATCAGTAGGAGTGAAGGAACAATGCAGATCTTCTGGGATGATTTTGACGATGAATCAATTCCAGAGGTGACTTTGAAGGCATACAACACTGGTGAGATCGTCAATGAGCAGTTCAGGAGTCTCCTCAGGAGAACAGTGAGCGAAATCACGCTGGAAACTCACTCTCTCAACAATCTCAAGGAAACTGATATAACGCCATCGAATAATGTGGAAATTATCGTCCTGGACAACTCTAGACTCGACCGCGGATTGATCACTTGTGCAATCTACACGCAGTACATTGAGTTCCTGCATCAGTGGGAAGTGATGCAGACGCAGTGCGAGAATCTGGGCGAGAAGTTTGTGCCGCTGCCGCAGAATATGTGCCTCGTGAGACTGGATGAGGACAATAAGTGGCACAGAGCCATTTGCGAGAGCACCAATCGGCACAGGATTCTCAATATTGTGCTGATGGACTGCGGATTGTCGGGATCTATTCACACCAGCAACTCTCGAAAGCTTCCTGTGGACTTTGACTTCCCTGTCGCGGTGAAGATATGCAAGATTGAGGGTGAGTTCAGTGCATTGGATGAAATTGTGCACAATTAACATATAATTGTCCCTCTTTCAGGTCTTTCTGACGAAATGTCTGAAGACAGAATTGCAGAATTGAAAATTCTTCTGCCTCAGAACAAGCGTCTGTTTGCCAAGGAATTGCTGGACGGGGAGGATTTTTGCAAACTCACTCTCTACAATATATGAAAGGCTGTTTCATGAGCAAAATAGAAGCATATTGTACATATTACTGTGGTAAGTCATAAAGGTCATAAAAATGAATTTGTACAGTAATTTTAATGTAAAAATGCCAAAAATACTGGCCAAGATTAGTTTGATAAGACCAATAAGACTCTAAAAGTAAGTTTGTTTTATTGAAGACTTTTATGCCTTTTATGGCTTATTTGCTTGTAAAAACTCATGAAAATTTGATAAAAAAAAAAAAATGTCCACAAGACTTCAAAAAACGTCTTTTCACAGTACAAATCAAAATCACAGAAAAACAGTAAAAATTTTTCGACCATTTCTCCATAATCTCAATTATTGGCCATTATTTTGAAAAGTCTTCTGTTGTTCAATTTGTAATAAGAAAATTATACCCAATAAATTCGTATTCAAACTTCTTTATTGACCTCTTAAGCCTTAAATCAGGAATTTTGCAATGTCTGAGTGAATCTGGTGAGGAAGGAGAATTAAAAAGTGATTTGGCGAGCTCCGTTCTGGACACCAAATTGCTATCCTGTCGTCTTAAAATCAATATAAAGAATGTCACTGGTAATGGTCTTTGGATGGTTATATCATTGGGTAGTTATTTGTTATGCAATGTGAACCGTCACCTGTTATCTTTACCATAATTTGTGACTCGTGTGCCGTATTAGCGAGTCACCCCAGCATTTTTGAACCCTTGTTTTCTCTGATTTTTGTCGACCACACGCGCTTCACGGTGGAAATTCCCAATCTGTGCGCCCACAAAATGCAAAGAAGTCAAAAACAGTGGCAAAAGGGTCGCTAAAGATATTGTGATGACGATGATGATGGAGAAGGAGTGTGTGTGTGCAGTGGACAGGGTGGAAATTGAGAGTGAGAAAGAATGAAACGTGAGGCCACTTTTGCAACCCTCTTAATGAAGGACGCTCAAGGAAGTGTAAATACACTGCGCTGAAGATCATATTTGGAGTTTAATTGCGTGAAAATGACAACTGTGTCAATATTTTGTGTAATCAATTAGTTTTCAGACCAACCGAATGGGGAGAGAAACACCCTCCTGTGGGTAAATAAAGCACTTGCGAGAGACTCTTTCTATTCGCATCTCTTCTTTTTCTGTCCGCTGCAGAAACTGTAAAGCTCAGCGCGTGTTTGCAAGAGATTTCGAAGGGGGTTTCTTTGGGGGTTTCTTTCCACGATGTTTAAACTCACCCTCACGACGCATATTGGCCTGGAGACACTTTGCGAAGCGACAAGCCTGACACTGATTCCTCCTCGAAACATCCACAATGCATCTGCCACCCTCCTTGCAGACGTACTCCAAATTCCTGGGAATGGGAAGACAAGGTTTCGGTTACGTCTTTGCGCAAATGGGCGAACTGGGAAGCGCCGCAGATGCTCTCGTCGTCTGTGTGGGAGAAATTACCTTCTGATGCTCCTCTTGAAGAATCCACGACAGCCGTCGCACGACGGGACGCCGTAATGCTTGCCGGAGGCGCGATCGCCGCAAACCTTGCACAACACGCTGACGCCGCTTCCGGATCCGGCCAGCTTGAAGTCCGTCATTTGCTGCCGCACGTGAGAAATCACGATAAGAGCCTCAATTGCGAAGCATATGGTCAAGGATAAATATCACGGAGAATATTGTGTCGCTCAAGGGGGAGATAATTTGACTGAAATGTGGACAATTTGTGGGCAGAGAAAGACTTCTTACACTTCGATTGCTTCGAGAAGAATGAACAGTCTCAGTGAGAGTCTTGATTTTATAGCAAATAAAAGACAGAATTAACACTATTATCAATATCGAATTTAGTTGTTGAATTCTTTGTCATTTTTAAAGGGAGGAATTGAGAGATCTATTAGTATTTTTAAGGGGTTTAAATACCTGGGAAAAGTAAAAAAGCGGTCTAGAACTAAATATCTTCTACATTTTCCATCCCAACTTCCATTTCTATCATCTCAACACATCCTTTCAATAAAATCAGTTGACTAAAAACGTATAGCAAGAAATTATTCTTTAGCTAGTCGAGTTAGTCTTGTTTTAATCCGAGATTTAGCGCCTAAATGCTAGTATTTTCATCCCTTTGCACAGCAAAAATCTGATGATTAGCTGCAAATGTCTTTCCAATCATAATACCTCCTCCTTCTTTCCTCATCAATCATTGAGACTCTTATACACTGAACGGAGGATTTAATTGCCTTTAATTACTGTTTCACCTGCGGCTCGTGCCTTTGTTTAAACTATTTGCCATTTTGCGACCCTCCCGCGTCCGGCGGCCAATTGAAGGCAATGAGGTGCAATTAGTGAGGGCGAAGGACAGACTTCTTGTGCAACAAATAACTCGCGAGGGTTGATTGACTTTCCCCTGGCCGGCCGCGTTTCCGGATTAGCGGCGGAAGGGGTCAAATAAGGGCCAAACAGTGTGTGGATTTGACTTTTACGGTCTCACCCGTCTCACCTGTGGTGGAAAATGCAGAATGGAGGGTAGAAAAAATAAAGCAGCGCATTAAATATTCACGAGTGGCACTTTTTCCCTTGTCTATCAATAGAAGAGGGTTCGATCTCGTCTATTTTTACTCTCTGTCGATTTTCACGACAATGAACTGATAATTTTTTTCCACAACAAATTCCTGAGGGATGATTTTTTTCAATGGTAAATTCACACTCACGATGATTCGCGAGATTTTGCGGTGGAGATGAAAATTAACCGAGTATTGAAATGATGAAAAAAAAAAATTTGCATGCTGAAAATCCTGAAAACCCTTCTTAATCCCGAGAAGAGGGAGAAAAACCTCGTCATAAAACTGTGTTTCCTATCCTTCGACTAACGAATTAATAATGGATTTCTTTACATCTTCCAGAAGTGGTTTGAATTATTGAGAAGATAATTGAGCAATTGCTTCACTTGCGGCAATTATAGAGAATATCACTGTTTTTAATAACAATGACATGAATTATATGTTTTCCACTGAATTTCACTTCCAAATGGAGAAACAAACAATTGTAGAAAATGAAATGTAAATGTTCAATCAAATCCTTTCTAATGGGGATAATTGAATGTTTTAAGGGCAACTATTTTTGGTTTTTTATTAGGGGAGTTTTCCTTTAAGATCAATTTCAATTAAATTTTTAAAAATCAACTTCCATGATTTGCTCAAGAAAATAAAATTTACTAACATCAGTGATGCTTAGAAAATTTCACAAGCACAAAATGCATAAAAATCAATGAAAATTTGCCGAATTTTACGTTGTTAACTCTTCAATTGGACTAATTTTTTAAGGCTAAAGACATTAAGCAATAAAACTTGGATTTTAAGATAAAAATCACTTAATTTTTTTTAACCTACTGCGTCTTCTTGGTTTTGCAAATGCAAAAAATACGCATTAAATCAGTTTTTGTTACAAAATCTGTCTAAATTTTTAATCCAAATCAATTTATTTCTCAACATTAGCTGATTAATGACTATATTTATCGAGACAGAGTTAAAAACTCATGGAAATTCAACTCTAAACAACTATACTGATTAATAAATAAGGGAAATCAAACACACAATTGAATAAAACTTACTGGAAAGAACTTCCTAAAGTCGTCAACCTGAGAAAAAGCCACACTAAAACTGATTGAAAATCACTTTATCGAAACTTTTCTTCACAATTCACGCACTTTGAGAGTTCCTTGGAAAATCCTTCGCTGTCCGATTGCTGAGTTAAGCGAGTGACTTTGCTGCGAAACGCGAGGATAATGGTGGGCTTTGGTGGATTGGAAAAAGGAGCGACTGATGGACAGCTTGATTGTGATAATAAATGTAGGAGAGTCGCGACTTCTTGAACAATTCCGCCGCGAGTAATTGAAAGTTTGATGAAAAATTGACGTCCTGGCGCTGGTGAATCCTTGTGCCCGAAGGGGAGTGGCCTCGGGTTGACTTCTTCACCCTATGACACGCGCCACGACCGCTTTCGCTCCGCCCCTCGCCCTTTCCCTGATCCCACGGTCGCTGTCCTGCGCCGCGGATTGGACTTCACTCTGTCGCGTCCCTCTGCCTGGCGTCGGCTGTGTGCTTCCGGGAAGAGCGGACTTTCCTCCTGAGCATATCGTGGATATCGTGAGAAAGTGGCAGGAAGTTGGCGATGTTGAGTGTTTATTTCAGGCGCCTCTCAAGTGGGTGACGAACGATTAAAGTCCATTAGAAGGATGTTTGAAAGTGTTTTCGTGTCTCGAGAGAGAGGCGGAAAAATCAACACAGGGAATTCTGAGCGGGAAAATCGGTGGAAAATGTGGAGAATCTTTAGCAAAACTGAAAACATTTATTTCAGACTTACGAGCTGCCCTTTGGCAGCGTTATTGTTCTTACAAAACGGCTCTTGGAATGATGGAAGAGAGTGACTTTCACGTGACCAGCGGCGATGTGACCAGATCCCAGGCATTGAGATTCACGTCGTCGCTCGTGGAGCAGATGGACATGGTGATGGCGGCGCCCTTGACCACCGACTTGGCGCTCAAACACAGCCCGGCCGCCAGATTGTAGATTGGCGTGGATTTCTGGACAAGAAAGCAGCAATTATTGCCAATCTTGAGTGTCAAAAACAAGTTTCCTTACCGTTCTTTTGTGGCGCCACTCCTGGTCGCCGCCCATTTCGTGGCATTTGTTGAGGATCGGCGTGGAGGCGAACTGCCCGGAGGCGCTCGTCGACGCCTCCAGACAGAGCAGCTGTCCCAGGATCAGCTCGTTCTTGTCCGTCTCGTACCACACTTGCGTCTGCATGCGCAGGCAGGGCATCAGCTGAAGCGTGCTGCCGCGCTTCCAGAAGCCCTTCACCTTCTCGCCCGTGCTGGTGACGCACAGCGTGCTGTTGGTCAGGCGGATCGTGAAGCTGGACAAGTAGTTTCGCCGGCGTGAGTGCCAGGGCTCAAAGTTGGGCAGCCGGGCAGCCTTGCCGTTGTTCTTCCGCCTCGACTCGCCGGGAATCTCGATCTCTGGGTAGATATTCTCGAGATACCATTTGAAGGAGCGACACTGAAGGCGTTCTCTCAGCGCTTTCCGCTCCCCAACGTCTCCATAGTCCACAGATTGCGCTGTCGGCTGTTGCTGGAGGAAGTACTTCAAGTACTCATCCATCCACACGTGCGCCAGGCGCAGGGAGTTGCGGATCATGGTGTCAGAGCCGTCGGAAGAGCCATAGGGACGCCTCTTGCGGAACACATGACCGACGCGAGAGCAGGGAACCAGCTGAATGGCGCCGCCACACTGCCAGATCCTGAAGGATATTTCGAGATTCTCTCCGCCCCAGATGTCCATGCCCATGTCATACTCCCCCATGTCGCGGAAGTACTTCCTGTCCACGGCGAACAGCCCGCCGGCCATCGTGGGTGAGTTGAAGGGACCCAAGAAGTCAGTGTCCTGGCGCAGAGTGCCTTCCGGAAGGTTGTCCCACTTGAAGTGCAGCCCCCAGTTGAAGCCGCCGCGCACCAGAGGGCTGCTCGAGTAGTTGAATGTGTCTGAGTTGATGATGTCGATGACTGGCATGGCCAGAATGGACGCATTGGCTTTTATCACAGTCAAGAGTGGCTCTGCCCAGTCTCGGTTCACCTCAATGTGGCTGTCCAGGAAGATGAGCACATCTCCGGTGGCCTCACGTGATCCAATCACCCGAGAGCGGATCAAACCTTCCCTCTGCGCACCATTCCGCAGCATTTTCACCTTTCCAGTGCCGTCAATCTTCCTCAGCTCGCCGTCCAGGCTCTTCAGATCCTCCGCTAGACTGTAATCATCCACCAGAATCACCTCCTTCAGCAGCCTCGCCGGCGTCCGCACGAGGACACTATTCACAGACCTCAGAAGTGTCGTCAAGTGTTCATTGTAGAAACACATCACGATGGAAATCGTGGGCAGATCCTTGGGATAGACTTGCTGCGGGCAGAGTTTGTGACGTGTGTCGGGAACATCGCGACTCACGCCCAGATTATTGCTCACGAGAGTGTTGAAAGCGTGCTTCCGGTAACCTTCGTCCCTCAGGAACTGATCCTTTGAGTTCCGCACCATTCCGAACTCATCCCTCACTTCTGGCACAATTGGGCGCATCTCCTCGATGAGCTTCCGGCTGATTTTGCGGAACTTCTTCTCCTTCTTGTACATCTGCAGCTTCTGGGCGAACATATCGTAGTCCTTGTCCTTAATCTTACCGGAATTCTTGGGACTCCATTCTAGAGCATTGGATTCGACTTTGTGCTCCTGCAGCTTGCTTCCCAGGGAACTGGGCGTGGTGGTCAAGATGGGATCTGTGTTCTGGGTCAACTTCCAGTAGAGATAGAGACTGATTGTCCATGTGAGGGATGCGACGGTGATCCCGAAGAGAAAAGACTTCTTTGTTGACATTCCGGCTTTGGGTGTGTTTTTTTCTTCCTCACAGATTTATTGCACTGAAACCGCTTTGGTTGTGCGATAGCAGATCGGATTTATCACTGAATTGGTGCAACACATCTTGCACAACACAATAAGATGAGATTTATGCCCGTTTAGAGAGTATTTCCACGGTTTTCACAGTAAAATCACGAAATTTGCAAATAGAATACTGACACCATTGCGGCGAAGAGGGGATAAACATTGCGGCGAAATTCGATGTGTTTCTCGTGCGCCAATCGTGCGCACGAAGATGGGATTCGGGTGTAAATGTCGTGCTGAAGCTAGAAAAAGAGTGGCTTTTATTGTGATCAGCATTTCATTGATATAGAGTTTTCTCTACCGTAGGCACCATGGGAGTACCCAAGTTCTTCCGCTACATCAGCGAGCGGTATCCCAGCCTCAATGAGCTGGTGCGAGAGAATCAGGTGAGTGCGTGTAGAGAGCTGTGAAGTGGAATTTTCCTAAAGCAAATAATCTCTTGCAGATTCCAGAGTTTGACAATCTCTATCTGGACATGAACGGGATAATTCACACGTGCTCCCATCCAGACGACTCCAATGTGCACTATCGCATCTCGGAGGATAAGATGTTCAAGGCGATCTTCCACTACATCGACGTCCTGTTCCGCATCATTCAGCCGCAGAAGCTCATGTTTATGGCCATTGATGGCGTGGCGCCGCGCGCCAAGATGAACCAGCAGCGTGGCCGGCGCTTCCGCACGGCCAAGGAGGCGGAGCTGCAGGAGAAGAAGGCGCGCGAGAAGGGCGAGAAGCTGCCCGACGAGGCGCGCTTCGACAGCAACTGCATCACGCCCGGCACGCCGTTCATGGCGCGCCTGCAGAAGGCGCTGAAGTTCTTTGTGAAGAAGCGCATCAGCGAGAGTGACATCTGGCAGAAGTGCCGCGTGATACTGAGCGGGCACGAGACGCCCGGCGAGGGAGAGCACAAGATCATGGAGTACATCAGGTTCCTCAAGTCCAAGCCCGACTGGGATCCCAACACGCGCCACTGCCTGTACGGCCTGGACGCGGATCTGGTCATGCTGGGTCTGTGCACGCACGAGCAGCACTTCTCGCTGCTGCGCGAGGAGGTGAAGTTCGGGAAGAACGTGAAGCACGCCTCGTCTGTGGACACCACGCGCTTCTACCTTCTGCATCTGGGCCTCCTGCGGGAGTACATCGAGATGGAGTTCGGCAGCCTGAAGGCGACACTCAAGTTCCCCTTCGACATCGAGGCCATCGTGGACGATTGGGTGCTGATGGGATTCCTTGTGGGCAACGATTTCATCCCGAATCTGCCCAATCTGCACATTAACAAGAACGCACTGCCAGAGATTTATGCCACGTACAAGAGCATCCTGCCCAGTCTGGATGGTTATCTGAACGACAGTGGGAAGCTGAATTTGCCGCGCTTGGAGGTGTTCCTGCGGAAGCTCGGGCTGAAAGACAAGGAGTTCTTCGAGGAACACTACGATGATTTGCGATATCTTGAGGCCAAGACAGGTCTGACCAACGGATTGGGTGAATCTGACACGGATTCGGATCCCAATCTGGGTGCGTTTGACTGCCCGGACGACGAATTGATGCGAATGATCAAAGAGACGGAGGAAAAGGTGAGATTTTGCGAAATAATGTGAAATCCCGGTGACGCACTATAATGACTCTCTTTTCAGTATGACACCTCAAGCGATTCCGATAATGATGAAGAGGCGATATTTGAGAAGAATTTCATCAAATACAAGAAGAACTACTACACTAGTAAGCTCAAATATCCAGATATGACGGAGTGAGTATGAAATTTATCATCTCTGGATTATCACTAACTTGCATTCTCTGCAGAAATGTCCTGCGCGAGCAGACAAAGTGCTACATTGAGGCGCTGCAATGGACGCTGTACTACTACTATCGCGGAATTGTGTCCTGGGCATGGTATTATCCTCATCACTATGCGCCCTTTGTCAGTGACTTGAAGGATTTCGGCGATTTGCAATTGGACTTTGAGATCGGGAGGCCTTTTCTCCCCTTCGAGCAGCTGCTGGCCGTTTTGCCGGCTGCCAGCAAGACACTCCTGCCCGAGGCGTATCAGGACCTCATGACAGATCCTCAGAGTGACATCATTGAGTACTATCCGCTGGAGTTCGAGACGGACTTGAATGGGAAGCGCCAGGAATGGGAAGCCGTTGTTCTCATTCCCTTCATCGACGAGGAGCGTCTGTTGCGGGCGATGAAGGAGTGCAGCAAGTATCTCACGGAGGAAGAGGTGTTGCGCAACAGTCACGGACCAATGCTGCAATACGACTTCGTGGCTGAAAATCAAGGATCTTGCGTGGGTCCGGAAGAGGAAATTCTGCACAAAGTGTTTGCGTTGGAAACGCCTGTTGAACGTATGGATATTTATGTGCCGCCCGACAGAATGGTGCTGAAGATGTCCGAGAAGACGCTGAAGGGTGTCTTCTTCCCTGGATTTCCCACCACGAAGTATCTGCAGTACACCTCGAAGCTCGCCATGGCGCGCGTGAAGGTCTTCGAGCAGCCCAGCATGAACGAAAGCATGATCATGTGCGTGGATCCGACGTCAAACAAACTCGAACAGCTGGACTTTGAGACGCTGGCGAGGACGCTGGTGGGCAAGGAAGTGTTCACGGGATGGCCACACTTGATCGAGGGCAAGGTAACCGCGGTGTCCAATGAGGTGAAGAAATTGGGCGCCAATGCGGCGCCTCAGGAATACGACACAAGAGCCTACAATTTGGCCATCGTGGGCCTTCGTGAGCACCACAAGATTCGACTGGGAATCGACATTGGAGAGACAACAAAGCTGGTTCATGTGCTGCCCATTGAGTCTCGGGATTACATCTTCGGCAGTCAGGGCGTGATGACGCTGAGGAAAGTGTGGTCAAAGGTGGAACAGGCTTTTCCACTTCAGGTAATTTTTTATCAGCTTCACTGCAGACAAAGCGCGTTATCTGAACACATTGGTGCCCATTTCAGTTGGTTGTGAAAGATCTTCAAGTGCACAATGCGGACTTTCAGCAGTTCAAGAGTGTGGAGGAAGTCTTCCCGATCGGATCCACGATCTTTCTGCTCAGCACTCCGCAGTATGGGTGCAAAGGTGAGGTCGTGGATACTTCAACAGTGACGAAGAACGAGAGGATTCGAGGTGAGGACTTTGGTGATTAATTTTTGATGGTGTGGAAATTGAAAATTGGGCTTTTTGCAGTGTCGCTCAATGTCTATCCTGAGCCGCAGTTCCCCGAGCTGATCAGGAAGCACAGACAGTCGTCAGAGAAATATCTCTCTTGCCTGAAAGCTGCGACTGTGATTGGCGTGACGACGTCCGTGTTGGGCATGATCTCTGGCTCTGTGATCATCATTGGCGGCGCTCGGCGGCCTGTGCACAATGATGACAATGTAAAGAAGGTGAATGTGGGCTTGCTGATGCAGTCGCGGAAGGCGAACGTTGAGATTCCGGGCTACACGAAGAAGATCCAGGGCTACTGGTACTACAGCAAGGATGCTCTGACCATCGTGTCGGCGTACTTGAATCGCTTCCCGAGGCTGTTCAACGTTCTCTCGGCGCGGCGGCATGGAGACATCTTTGAGGAGGATCTGGAGCCTGAGATTGTGGACGGAAGTCTGCTGCAGGAGATGGTGAAGTTCGTGAAGGAGCAGCCACACTACAACATGGACAGACAAGTGATTGGTGCGCAGGTGATAGAGAAGGACATCATTGAGGAGATAATCGATGTTGTCCAGGAGACAAAGAGTCAGATGTACAAACAGATGAAGCTGCAGATCAAGCCAAAGCTGATCTACCGGCCGGGATTAACGAAGACGAGCAAGGGACCTGATCCAGATGTGATCTTCAAGCTCTTCGATCGTGTCATCGTGGCCAGCACGGCGTATCCCGTACCGCTGGGCCACAAAGGCACCGTTGTGTCAATTATTCCCGAATCGGATCCCAATCCGATCCACTTCGAGACGCGCAAGACGGCGGGAACGAACCTGATCGACGTGCTGTTCGATGAAGAGTTCGAGAATGGCTCGGCGCTGTATGGATTGGCGGACAAGAGGGTGTTCCGTGTGCCGGATTACATCCTCATCAACATCACGTACGGCAGAGTGAAGTATTCGAAAGATACGAAGGATTCGAAGGATACGAAGGATACGAAGGATACGAAGGACACGAAGGAGCAGCAGAAGCCGCAACAGAGCCGGGAGCTTTATCCCAGGGTGCCGCTGAAGGCGCAACAGGAGGAGAAGAAAGCCTCGCCGCCGAGGAATCGCTCTCCGAAGATGTCCGGCAAGGCGAATGGCGTGAAGAGTCAGGAGAAGTTGAAACTCCAGCCGGGCAATCAGTACAATGACATCTGGTCGAAACTGAAGGAGCAGAAACATCTTCCGCCTGCCCACATGATTCCCACGAACCACGTCCAACCCTCGGACACCGCCAAGGATGGGTCGGATTTGCTGCGGAAGCTGCTGAAGCTGGACGTGACGCCTGGAGAAGCGAAGACTTCGAGTGTTCCTGACCAGCCAACGGCGCCGGCTAAATTGCCGCCGCCACCGCCTCTGTGGCGTCAAGAGGCGGCGGCCAAGAGTATGAAGACAAAGGCATCGGCGTCCAAGAATCCTCCAGCAGAGGCTGAGATGAAGGCGAAGCAGGAACCACGGAGAGCACAATCAATGCAGGGACTAATGGGCATACCACCACTCATGTCCAAGGGATCCTTCCAGCCCGCGCTGTCGGCGTTCGCGATGCACCAGAAGAAGCCGCCCCTCGTTTATCCCACGCCGCCGTTCTCCGGCGCTTATCCCTACTGGCAGATGCGCCCGAATTTCCAGCAGCAGCCGCTCAACTTCTGGCCACACGCGAGGCCTCAGGGATTCCCCGTGAACTTCATGCAGCCACACCAGCCTGTCGCTCCGCCGGCGCCACCGCCAACACTGCAAAGCAGCCACAGCGACTTCATCCCTCTGCAGGCGGCCAGGAAGATCGTGAAACAGAAGAACATGCAAGCGAAGGATGTGAAGGAGACTTTTGAGCAGCGCAATGCTCAGCAAAGACAGCGAGTGGAGCAGAATCAGGAGGAGAACAGACAGAAATTCACTGCCTTCATGGAGAAGTTGGCCGGAAAGAGGGTGGAAGCGCCAGATCAGGAGGAATCTCCTGCCAAGACGCAACGGAACAAGGTGAGAATGACCAAAAATCCCCTGAAAATGCTCTTTATAACCAGTTCTGTTTCTCTTCCTGGACAGAAAGTGCAGCCTCCGACGCCTCGGCAGGCACGCATCGCAGCTAAGTTCGATATAAGCTCATAAAGTTTTTTAGGACTGGAAATCATAGATCAGGAAGTCCCAGAATACTTCTCAAGTTAATCTTCCGGATGTTGGAAGACTGAGAAAGAGAGTTAAGTAAGACACTCTACAATTGTTAACAACTTGAAATATATTTTACATTGTGGGACCTTCTATTACTGATAAGTTTTCTACCTGAATCTGTAGCAGGAAGACTGCTTCCTTAGATTCCTGATCTCAATGCGACAACACGTGTCTTCCCTTGAGAATCCGCCTCATAATGACTCTCCTGCCGCCGGCTGTTGCCAATCGTGCCTCCAGGCCGAGCTTTCGGACGCGTTTTATCTCACTCGGTCGCGGGAAGTTGTTCTTAATGTTGTTCCTGGACGAGATCAGACTCCACAAGCCACCGGCTTTGGGGGCCACGAGATGGTTTTGGGCCACTGAGTGGAAGCCTCTCTGCAGGGGATTTCTGTGGGTTCAGGCGAAGGTTTGATTAGAATTTGATGAAATGAGATCCTTGGAAGAGTTTTACCTGAGAGTTGAAGCGAGAAGTGGGAAAATATTGAACATTTTGTGAAAAGAAACTCTAGGAAAGCAACAACACGATTCTAGAAATCAATGACATTCCGCTGTTTCCAGTACCACCCGCATGGAGCGCTGCTGGCAGTTGAGGCGGACGATTTTCCGCCTCTTTTCAAAACATCTTCACTTGAAAACGGACCAAAAACGGGATTCTTCTAATAAGTTTTATTGGTTTTATTCAATTAAAATCTCAAACTACAAATAGTCCATTATCAGTAATAAGGTATAATGTAAGTTATCAATGTATTTAATAATATGATGTGTTAATAACATTTCTCTTATTTTCTCTCATTTTTATTGAATGTTGATCATCTTCTCATTGTTAAAGCATCAAAGGCGAATTCTTTTCCATTTCTCTTTTCTTATGTGTTTAAACGCTAATGTCTGGTGAAAAACTCTCTGTTAATTTTAATTTTCCAGTTTGTTAAAGAAGCATATTTCATCTCACGTGTTTTCAACAAATCTCTCTCTTTATTCTCATTTTGTCCATGTTTTCGCATTTTCCGCGGAAAAGATCAATTGAAATCACAGCCACCAAAAAAGGTGAAGATTGAGGGAAAGACAAAGAGAGTGAGAGAGAGAGAGAGAAAGAGGGGAAAGGAAGGCGATGAATTAATGATGAGAAGTCGTGAACTGAGTCTATTCAAAGCACACACAATTGAATTGTTAACTGAAATATTGACGCAATTGTTGCAAATTGTCCATCATCTTTGATATGCGCAAAAGGATTTGGGTGAGATGACGCCTCGGCAAATTGCATAACGATTTTCTTCCTCATCTTCGTGGTCTAGATTCTACGTAGTTTTATTTATTATTATTATTATTAATCATATGAGATTCTGAGAAAGAGAGAGAGAGAGAGAGACAGACAGCGACAATTCGCTTGCAGAATTGTTTCACTTGTCGCTTTAGGTCAAAATTGTCCAGTTAATGAGGAGAAGAACAACCATTTGAAGTCTTGGTCCAAAAATATTATTGATGGCTTATTTGCTCCGTTTTTTCCTCTTTTCTTTATTTTATACTCTAAAAGACTATGAGTTATAGAAGAATTCATCTACGAAACTCATTTTTGTGTGTATTCTAAAACGCTTCTTGTCCTCTTTGATATTCACTCTTTCCGCCACTTTTGAGGTCCTTCTGGGGAAATTCTTCGCATCTCCTGATCATTATCATGCAGCTTAAACGTGCTTAGGCTAATTTTCTTGTCACCTCTACTGATTTCACGCGCGCGTTGTCGTGTGTGAAATAGATAAAGCGTAAACTCGGTAATAAATAGTTCCTCGGCGCTCTCAAAGAGACACTCAATGCTTCGGCAACTGACGTCTCCTGATTTCCTCCCTCGCACGCTCTCACCTTGAAGAGGGTTCTAATATATATATAGTAAAGTTCTGAAAACCTGTGAGCTTCTCATGGCGCGCAAATGCGCCAAAATATTATTAGTTTTTTTGAATAGCATCGCCAATTGCAATTCAATGCCGTATATCCGATTGTTCTCCATGGTAAAAAGGTATATTATCTATAATGTGATGAAATCTCCTGAAGAATCGCTGGCGCGAGGGAGGGACTCTAGGGCATCCGCCACTTCGCCAGCTACGAAACGTGCGCCAGCAGCCACAGCAGCAAAGGACTCCACATGGCGAGCAGCGGCGGCGCCACCGCCGTGGGATTCGCGTGGCCGCCGGCCAGGATTTCAGCGCGCTTCCTCAGGCGCGCCTGGTACATCTCATCTTCGCCCGGCGGATCCAGACACTCTGCAAGAGACAAGAAGGATTTGATGACTTTCTTGTTCACTTGAAGCTGGTTTTAGTTTATTGTATTATCAACAAATTAAAATCCTGAATTGAATCTCTTGATTGTGCATTCTTGTTGAACAAGAGAATATTATGTATAAATTTCAATTAAAGTTAAAAGCACAAACTAATATAATTTCTAAGTTTTCTAGTGCAAAAGTGAATTTCTCATATGAAAACTTGCAAAATTCGTTTTGTAGGGCAGAAGATTTTTAGGTCAAAGCAGTAATAGAGAAATCTGAAAATCCTTGCTTGATTTCTTAATCGTTTCAATATTATTCTATACAAATACGACAATTTTCTTCACTGAAAGTTTTTTTTATGTAAAAGAAACGGACATTAACACTTTCTGCACACTTTTCTTGAACTGTAAATTCTGTATAAATCGCTTTTCAGCGTGATTATCTTCGCTTCATCTTGTTCTTGTGTAAATATTCCTTTGATCTGCTTCGAGTGTGATTCTGTTGAGCTGTTGAAAAACTAAGTTTTTAATTGATTTTCCGTCAAAGTGCACACTTTAGCAATAAATCTCGATTGTGTGGAAAGTTTAAAGTGTCACCGAGGCGTGTAACTTCGCCCGAATTCCCACTTAAAGTTGCGCTTCGGCAGGAAAAATGGGTCACTTCCGGCGAACAACTCACCGAACTCGCAGCATCTCTCGCCGACGCGGAAGTTCTTGCAGAACTGTAAAACGGCGGATAGAGTTAGTGCGGGGTGATTTTGGGGAGGACGACAGATTGTGGGCTACTCACGTAAGGGGGATCACAGTAAATCGCCTTGCACCAGAGCGGCTCGGAGTGATAGCACACGCAGAGGCTGCACACGCCCGGCCCGGGAACGTACAGCAGCCCGTGCGCCACGGAGTTTCCCTGAAAGTCTATGCAGTCCTCCTCGAGACTAGCTGCAGAGTGGACAAGACAGTGCATTAGAATATGGGAAAATGCATTCTGAGCCAATCGATTTTCTCATCATCAGAGCCATCAGAGCGAAATTCGAGCTACCGAAAACCTCTTTCGAATTAATAGCGTCATTTACATGCACATCATACAGTGGCGTGAAGTAGAATGAGGACAACAATGCTCTAGAGGCTTACAAATGTGTCGTGAGTTTCGACATCTTGATTTAAAGTTTTAGTTTCTTAATTAAAGTTCGTAATTGATGTATGAGCTAAATTTATATCTCGATTGGAAAATGAACTTCTCCATTATAAATCTTGCTAGAATTCCTAGAATTTATCATCAAAATTAGTCGAACAATCAATTTGAATTTTCACTGCGTTTCCTCTTCGACTCTATTTTATTCTGAGTCGCTGTTTCTGTGTGCATTTTGGAAAAATCCAATATTTGCTTAACGGAAAATTGGGAAAACGTAAGCCTTTGAAATTACTGTTGGATGCAAGTCAAACAAACGTTATTGGAGTTTATTCTGCAAATATGAAGTCAAATGAAAAATGGACGAACATTGATGGGAAAAAATGATGAAAAGTGCACAAATATCAAGTTTTTTATCTCTTGGCCAAAGTGCTTTTATCACTAAATGGCACTTTTTGTCTCTCTGCACTTATCAGATGAATTAATCTGAAACGATCAATAATGTTCAGTGCATTCTTGTAAATTTTGTACATTTAATATTGAATATTTTATACCACCCAGTCAATAAAGTGACTTGAAACTTTTTTATTGCTCCCGAATCTGTTCAGAAATACTTTGCGCTGCGCTATAAAAGCTGTTTGTTGTCCCTCAATAAAATACATGTATTTATATACTGGTGGTTTTTCGAAATTTATAAACAGATCTGCGAATTTATTGGCGATTGTTTTATCGTCCCTTTTAAATCCACACGCCGCACATCTTAATTGTTGTTTGCAGATAATTTATATGTACAAAATTTCCGCGAAAGTCAATTTCCATCCAGCCACTCTTGGCGCTGCACTTTGGCGCGCGCGAAAGAAAAACCTGAGCAGCATCTCAAGGATGCACGAGAGGAGGAAAAAAAGGCGCTTGTTTCTGCACAAAAACACGGTGCAGAATTCGATTACAAGAGCTTACAAGAGTCACAACGTGAGCTTCTTCAGCGACACGATGCGTTCTCGAGGGGGTGAAATAGAGCGATAAAAATTTTTACGACACTCAAATAAAGTGGAGAAGCACCAAGGGAAGGGAAAAGTGTCGTCCTCAAATGTATATTTCCTTTTTTTTCCTTCATGCGAGCGAGCGACCGAATATTGGGCGGGCAAAATGGGCGAGAATTTGTAGTGATGATCATGTAATTTGCACGAACGATGGCGAGCCCCTGAAGTGGGTCTAAATAAATCCAATTAATTCTGTTGTGATTTAGAAATTAATAATAGAACAAACATTTTAATCCACACTCTTGCCATCTCACACTAAATTAACTCTCGCTGGCTTCAAGAGTGGGTGGAAATGATGAAGCGCGACATGAGATCTGGCGAAAGAACTTCCGCGATAATCCGAGGTGTTTATGCTCCGGTACAGAGAAGTGCGCTTCTGGCGACATGTTAAACTCCGTCTTGTTGATGCACTTGAGACATTTTTGCGCGCTCTCTTTCAATTCATTGAGATTCACGTCGCAGAATCGTGCCAAGTTGAGGGCCTCAAAATGCACTCAATTCTCACCAATTGCTCTTGTCAATGGCGGGAAATTTCTCGTCACTTTTGCCAAACGACAAGTTTCCTAACTTTTCACACTGATTTAGGGGATTTCGGGACGTCTGAGCGCAGGAAAATGACATTGTGCAGAGCGAAATATTTCTAATTCGAAGGACTAAAGCTGTTTTAAAAAACGCAGTTTGGGCAAGAGACAGTTGATAAATATTACAAAAATTTAAATTTTATTTCAAATAGATTTCTTATTCCGTGGCAATCTATAAAAAATCACTAAAGTCTGATAGAATATTCTGTGAATTGCTCTCTCACTTTCCCCTAATTAAATCCTTATTAATTTTTGATTGATTGCCAGCTAATTTTATCTCTAATTCTGATAAATCTAGTTTTTAACAGTTTTAATTGGTCAGTATCCTCATATTTACTGAAAAAGCTGCCAAACAATATCAAAGTGACAACATGAGTGACAATAAAATACGATGAAATCCTATTAAACAGAGTATTAAACCGATACAATTGTCGACTATGAAGCATTCGACGCTGTTGGGAAAGGGCAGAGGAAATTATCTGATGGGAAAACTGTGGGGTGTTTGCGAAGAAAATCGAGTTAAGCTCTGAGTGGAGAAAATATTGCATTTGCTGCAATGCGACTCTGATGGCCACAGAGTTAATAATGCGTCCCTTCGTCAAGTGCTCGGGAAGTGGATAAATGACACAGGAAGGAAAGCACACATCGCGACTGAGGCAATGTCAAGTGCGATGAGGACGATGAGGGTGTGAATTATGCAATAGAGAGAGAGTATGATTTTCATACCTGCTAATCCCATAAGGACACTCAAAACTGGAATTACATAATTGATTTGAGCCATTCCTCCGCCTTAGCCTTTTTTTATCCTTGCTCTCTCACTCTCTCTCTCTGACTGCGAAGGAAAAGGAAGTTTTGTTGAGAGAAATTATTCACGCGATGCCTGGTGGTGTGTCTTCACCTTGCTTCCTTGGCTGTCTGCCCTCCGCTTGAAGGCAGGGAAATTGGGTGTATATAATATCACCAGTGAAAATCTATATATCACAATTCGTTGGCGAGTGAAAAGTCCTTCTCACTCGCGAATGCACCGAAATGCATTCTCTCGCTATATATGCACTTTTCCCCCCGAACGGCTCGCGTTGCAACACTTTTTCCTACCACACTCAATCAATAAGCCCAAAACCACCACAGCACACCCTCTTGCATTCTCACACACGCTGTTGACCTCCTGGCCGAGGAAGTGAGCCGCGTGATATGCACTCTGGCGCGCCCCACAGTGATTGCCACGAATGCAGCGAAGGGCGGGAGATTCACTGTCCCCTGAGGGCAGCTTTGTGCACTGCTGCCAGGTCGAAAAGTGGCACAGACGGTCAGTCGGTCGAACGGACCGCGGTGGCTGGTGGAAAATCTGCAACTGAAGCCGCGACGATTTTCTCCTTGCTGCATCGTGCGATGAGAAAAGGCGGGAAGGGGAAAATCGCGTGTGTGATTCTCTCACCGAGAGAGAGAAAGAAGCTCCCAATTTCCCCATGAAGAGAGCGAGAGAGTTTGTGTGTGTGAAAGAGTGCCAAAAAGTTGGCACAGAAGAAAACCGGCACAGAAAATCTCCAAGAACAAATAACTCCCCTTTTGGGAGGTGATTTCAAAGGGATTCTTTTCACACTGGTTTGGGAGGTGAGCATGAAAAATTCAGCACTTTCTTCCCGTCTGCCAAACACGTTCCACAATTTTTTATCTCTTCTCCTTCTGGGGATTCAACAAAAGCAAGGCGTCAATAAATTTGCAAAGTCAATTGGCTTTGAATGCAAAAGTGTGTGGTGACGGTGAAATGACCGAAGAAAGGCAATCGATTGGTGTGTTGATAAGGAAATCAATAAACTCACGCCAGGGTTCAAGGCTGATGGCGATATAGACAAGATACAAACGGAGGGTTTTGTGTGTAAATAATTAAATTGATGGGAATTTTGTGAAGCTTCGTCGACAAACAACTTGCTCACTCATTTCCCACCCACTGTGGGTGGGGGTGAGGGTGACACTGTGCATAGTTTCGCCATGCCGACAGGGGGTTGGCGTGTAGCATAAATGGTACACGTTCAGGAAGTCGCAGGGGGTGCAAAACCACGCCAATTTCCAAATTGCTTCACACACACTCAGTTAACCCTCTCGAGAGGCGATTTCTGGTCTCTGTTTTCCTCATTTAAGCCACAATTATCAGCAGATAATCAAATCTAGCCACAATTATATAGAGCCCACAGTATAATTTCATTCTCCTCCCCATCAAGAGATTATCATATTAGAGCAAATTGTGTGGTTTTGAGGGCCAAAAGCCGCCCCTCGACGCTATAGGGAATTCTCGGCACGACTTGCATATGTGCGAGTTCGGATGATGGGATGGAAATGCAGCACGCCGCATGCGCTCTGTCTCCGCAACCCCTCCGGAAGTGGTGGGGCCTCTGTCGTCACAACATGCCCCACACGAGCGCCCACCAACATGGGGACGGGGTGGCAAAGAGTGCCACCCAGGGAGAGAGACACGGAAATCGAGATCAGTCTAATTGCTCGTCAGATCATTTATTAATCCTCGCCATGACCACAACGACGCCCCCTTTTCATGGCCTGTCACCAAGTGGGGCGCACTCAGCGGCGAGGCGGCAGGAGCACTGCAGATGCCGTGTTTTAAAGCTTTCATGAACTTCAAGGTTTCACAGCTATTCTGGGACAAGAAATCCACTTCCTTGTTTACCAATGCTCAATATATGTATGGCGAAAAGGGTGGAAAATCCATGTTTTGAAAAGTCATTGAAAGACTTTAAAGCGTTCTGAGTCCCAGAGTGAAAAGTCAAAATGAATTTTTAAAGAGTAAATAAATGACTTAATAGTTGGACAGTGACAAGTTTTGCTCTTGTATAGCAATAAACACTCTTAGAATGGATGCAAATAAGAGGAAATCTCATACTCTCTAAATGAGATTTAAATCCATTGAGAATTTTCTGCGCTTCCAGAAAGACCGAACAAACTTCTGAAACAAATCCCAAATAATTTTAAATATGTTCTGGGATTATTTTAGAGAAAATTCAGCAAGAAATTTCATTGGAAGAAAGAGAAATAATAACTGGGGAAACAATGTTTTAACTCAATTAAACAATAAAACGAAGCATTTCAACTATGCGAAGAGATAAATTTCTTCCTTGCCTTTTGGTAATGAACTTCTCTTCTATCTCAACTTGTGCCAATAATCATTCAGTTCGCCTTCACTTGAGATTTATTCGATCGCTTAATTGCCGTGTAAATAACGTGGTGGCAATAAATGTGAGTCGCGTGTGGAAAAGAGTGAATTTATTTCGATTTCAACTCATGGGTATTTATTGTCCTTGCGCCGCAGGTAGATTAACTCTGTCCTTTGCTTACTCCTGACTGCGATGCACTGGGATTTAATTAAAGTGCCAAATTTATCACTCCAAACGCTAAGCTTCACTGTGTCGCTGAAATCTGCAAGTGAATTCAAGAGGTGGAAAGTCGAGAGTAAGAGAGAGAGAGAGAGTAATTTATTTATGCCTTCTCTCCGCATTTAATTTGTAGAAAATTGCCCAATTCGCTCTTTGTGTGCCGAGAGCACAGTTGTTAATGAAGTTTTCCCGGCGACAAAGGGTGAAGCAAGTTTCCGTGTTTCTTTCAGGCGCTGCGACAGTTCAAAGCACACAATGGGGGTGGATTTGGGGGTGCCTGAAGATTGTGTCTATTCACAAACTGAGGTGCCCTCAATTTGCTATTCGCTTGCGTTGAAGCACTTTTGCATGTTGCGGTCTTGCAAAGTCCTTCGTAATGAAGTTTTTCTCCTTTGTGTGTCCTTTGTCCCGAGCCTGGACATGCATTCTCTTTGATGCACTCTCAGCTTGTATATTGAGCACGATGGAGTCTGTCGAGATGCATCTTGTGATGCTCCGCATTAGTATTCTGTGCATGGAAATTCCCCCCGGGCGGCCTTTCACGGGTAATTAATGCGAAGAATGGGAGGGATTTATTATTTTATGATTGTCTCCCGCTGGGAAATTTCGCCCAAAGATTTATGCGAGACTTGAGAAGGTTTTCGGCAACATTGCAGCCGGAAGAATACAAAGTAAGGCGAAGCTATTAATGCCCGCCTGAAGTGCTTCCAAATACAACCTTCTCTTGTACTTCTTTTCTTTTGACGCGCTCTATTAAATTTGTATTAAAATATTTATACGGCTACGAAAGAAAAAGACACTTTTGAAAGTCACAATTTTTTTTGTGGTAATTAAATTAATGTTAGAACCAGAAATCTTTGGGAAAGAAGGAACAAATTGCGATGACATTAGAGATTTATTGAGCTGTGAAAAGTTATGTCGCAGATAAAAAACAATCCACAAATCGTCTATTAAATGTTTTTTGGCGCTGTAAATTTTAATTCAATTTGCGATATTAATTATTAAGAAATATGAGTATAAAAAAGCAGAGAAACTGATTCTTTTTCCTGTGTATTCGATAGCAAATTAGAAAGATTTTGCAGGAAAAGCAAACAAAACAATTAATTTCAATTGTGTGTCAGTATAAAAGAGGCAAAATAACAGAAAGTGGTGTACAGATTTCCGCCACAGGTGTTCCCTTGAGCCCAAACAGGCGCTCTTTTGGGGAAACACGAGCGTGAAAGTGCGAGGATAATGGAAAATCGAATTCAACCTCTGACCCAAAATCACTATCTGCACATCTTCGAGCATTTCGCACCCAATTTGCCACTATCACGTGGAAAATACACATTGCTCAGCGCCCAATTCGCAAGATCACAACACTTCGAGGGTGAAATATTAAAGCGCGCCTGAATGGCAAAACACCACGCAAGGAGTTTTTGTCGACAAGACAATTGAGAAAAAATTGCAGAGAAAAATGATTGTCTCGTGTTGGAGATTAAAATGAAAATTCCAGAACAACGAGGAAATGTCTTCGTCACTTTTCATTTGCGCAGAATTTTTCTCACAGCCTTGAAGCGGGCGTCTTTAGTAATTAAGCTTATTCTTCAGCACACCTTCAGCACATTATTTGCCAGCTTTTATTTAAACATTCTCAGAGAATGCAAATTTAGCGCTCTTTAGCAAATTGCTAAGGCTTTAACCCTTCTTTAAGGCAGAAGAAAAAGTCAAGCAAATCCTTAGGGTGACTTTAATGATAATTGATGATTTGACAGGACTCGAGATTGCAAGAAATCAATAAAATCCATTACAAACTTCAATAAGAGCTTTAATATCAATTATCTCAATGCTTGAGAGCTTTTAATTCGCAAGCAAATTGAAAATTTAACTAAAAAAGACCCAAAATAAATTATTTACCGTGACTTTTGGATCCTAGCTTGAAAGCATTTTCCCTATTAATTTTCCTCTTGACTGACTTTTCTCTCACGTCAATATATATAATTCAAGAATCCCCAGAAATGAGTTCAAAGAGCCTTTGCTCTGGCAAATATTCAAATAGTTCAGAGGATATAATTGAATTCTCAGGAAATTCCTGCTGATAAATCAATTTGCGACTGGAAATTGTGCTCTTAAGAGGATTTCCCCACATTTGTTTCCCGTGAAAACACAAAATGCTGCTCTCTCTCTCTCTCTCTGTCGTGACAGGAAGTGCAAAGGAGTGGAAAATTGCGCTTCAGCGAGTGTGTGTCTGTGGAGTCCCGCTGGGGATTGAAGGACATTTACTGAGTCGATATTTGTGGCAGCATTTCCTCACCGACTTAGCAACGGTTGCTAAAATAACTCGCCATATCCGCGCTTTTCCCTAGAGTCGTTGTGTGACTGCCGAAGCAAAAATGTCCCTTGAGGTAAGTTTGCCACACTAAATTCTCACACTGTCTCTCATCCTCTGCCTCTGATCCTCCCCCAAAAGGAGGAGAGACGAGCCTCCAGCGAGCGGCGCCGGAATCTTCTGCATCTCATTGTGCAGTTCCTTGACGATCTGCATCTGTGCGACTCGCGCGACAGTCTCGTGACGGAGGCCAAAATCCCCGCGGACGTGCAAGTGTGCGACAATGTGGACCTGGAGACGATGTATCTGGAGTTCCTCAGCTACTACCAGGTGAAATTTGGACGCGCCCCAAAAATCGTGAAGCGAGTCACGCGACAAGAGACGCGAAAATCCGCTCGCGCCTCGCGAAACAACGCACCCAAAAGCGCCGCGAAGGCAGGAAATCAGGCCAGTGACACGTGGAATAGCCTGTCAGTTGTGCAGATATGTGCAAACTCATGCACTCCACATGTGGACGAGACTGTTAGACTCGGGCGTCCGCCACTCTCATCTTTCGAGCACTTTTCGCCCGAATGGCGGGAAATCGCTCAACTCGTTTGCAGGTGAATAGCCTAAAAGAATTCGCAAGAATCTAACTAATCTCCTCAATTGCCTGCAGAGATCTCATCGTGGATAGCGTCAATGTGTCCTGGAGTGACGTCTTCGGCGCCAGAGATGCCAAAGAAGTCCTCAGGGAGAGTGTAATCCTGCCTCTTGAGTATCCTGAGCTCTTTCGCAGCGGCAAAACTGAGCCCTGGAAGTGTGTTCTGCTCCACGGACCACCAGGCACTGGGAAAACCCTCCTGGCCAGAGCTCTCTGCGCGGAGACGCACGGGAAAGTGTCCTTCTTCAACATCTCCTCCAGTACAATTGTCTCCAAGTGGCGCGGAGACTCAGAAAAGTACCTGCGCGTGCTCTTCGACGTGGCCAGACTCTATTCCCCGTCCGTGATCTTCTTCGACGAGATTGAAGGCCTGACATCGCGCAGGGATTCTCCGACTGAACACGAGGCATCGCGGAGACTCAAGAGCGAGTTCCTCACTCTCCTGGACGGCTTCACACCATCGAGCGGAGTGTTTGTCCTCTGCAACACCAATCTGCCCTGGGAAATCGATCCCGCCTTCCTGAGGCGCTTCGAGCAGAAGATTCTCGTCGATCTGCCGAGCGCTGAAGATAGAGCGGAGATCGTCAAGAGTCTCTTGCCAGGCTGTGCAAAGTGGGCGATTGGAGCCCTCACGGAGGTATCTAAGATGACTGAGGGCTTCACTGGAGACGATCTGAGGATTGCCTGTAAGGATTCGCTGATGGGACAAGTGAGGAAGTTCATTGGGATGCAGAAAGACGCCTCGAAGACTTCCAATCAACCCTCAAATGTGTCTCTGGCGGACTTCGAAGCCTCCCTTGGCAGAATAACACCCACGCCGACCAGTGTCGTGGAGAGACATCGCCAGTGGCATGAAAAGCACTCGAATTCTCTTTGAATGGTAAACTTTTATCATGGAAAAGAATAGAAAATTTTAAGACTTGCTCTTCTTGGTCTCCTTGCGCTTCTCCGCCATCCTGTGGGCGTCATAGAGTCCTGTGTAGTAGCCACTGGTGTACCAGGCCATCAGCATTGCGGCCAGGTGTTTTCCCTCTGCGCTGGAGTCGTTGGCGAAGGGCGGAAGCGGCGGCGGCTGAAGAGTCATCGGCGGCACGAAAGAACCGCCGTTGAGGAGCGATGAAAGCTGAGCAGCGACAGGCGGTGCGTCTGTCTGCCTCGTGGACGATGAGGACTGGGCTTCGGGCTCCTCAGACACCACTGATGAGTCCTCCTCGTCCTCCTGGACGGTCGGCGAGGCGAGAGAAGCCTCAATTTGTTCCATTCTCGCATCACCGCCAAGAGATTCCTTCAACTCTGACGCCGCCACGAACTGCTCGTTCTCATAACCAATGAACTTGATCAGGAACTTTCCGGTACCCCCACTGGATGACACCACCACGGCCTCGTACTCCAGGCCATCCTCGCGGTAAACTGCCCGCACAAAGTCCCCAACTTTGTGCTTCACCGGCTGCCACAGCAACGAGCGCTTCCCTGCCGAGTCGTCCACTTTTGGGGCTTCATCCTTGGTTGTGTTGGTGGCTGAGGCCATCTTCTTGGCCACGTCCTCCTTGGCCAGACGCACGGATTCATCGTAAGCCTTGATGAGCAGTTCATCATCCCAGGGATCAGAACTGTCCGAATCCTCTCCACTTCCGCCATTCAAAGTCTGTGAATCGCAGCCTAATTAGCATCTAGAACACCCGGAGCACCTGCTGAGATTGTGACTTACCCCATTTTTGCCTGCTTTCAGCATTTTTGAGCGCCCCAAAGTTCAACGAAAAATCCAAACGTAAACAAAGCCTCACGCTTTCCGGAAACTCAAACGTCAAGAAAACGAACGTTCCGAAATTCTAAACATGGCAAATACCGTTAGAGAGAGGAAACATCGAAAGAGAGGCACCTCAAGCATTTCTTAAGATTTTTGGATTTTCTGCAGCTTTCACAGGTAATTTTGACCATATATGGTAATCTTCTGTTCTGCCGCATGAGTTTGTGTGACATTATGACCCTTTAATCCCACCCAATGGCATAGCTTTGCCATTTTCTCTCTCGCTCTCTTGTCTGTCTTCGACGCACTCCTGCAAGCGACTCTCTCTGGTACTCCATCTTGGCGCATTCTTGTAAAGGTTTTCACAGCGTCAAGTTGAAATTTTTTGGGAGGTGCGTTTTTCCCTTCTAAGTGTTATCGTGTCTAAAAATTGTTTCAAGTCTCTTCGTATGTTGTGAATGTTGTGATTTTGTAGTACGAGTGCACTGGACATTGTGAGGAAAGTGTGAAAAATAACTGAAAAGTTATTGGCTTTCCTGGACGAAAAAAACTGTTCTTCTTTTTTGCAAAGAAAAAACGTGTTAAAATCATCACAATGAACTTCTTAAGGAAGTTTGCAAGGTAATTTGTCCTCATAATTAAGCGTTTTGTTGGGTTTTATGCATTTGGAGGTGAAAATCTTAGGCAACATTGGAAGATTTTTGTTCTTCACCATTCATTTCCTGGAAAATGGTCACGAAAATCTCATTTATCTTCGATTTCTTACATTTGGATTTGAGGTAACTCTTCATTATTGGGATTGTTTGCATAATTGCGTGTTTGGGGTGCGCGTGAATCGCATTCCGCGTCTATTTTGGCGGCTGACCGGCGATCATGCGTGTTTCCGGGAATATTGTGCGATTGTCGCGTCGAATGGACGCACCTTTGCTCTGGCGATTCTCTGGGTATTTCCCAAAAATGGGTCAGACGCACTTGAAAGCCATCAATTCCCAATCTCTGTCCCTTGATCTGTCTACCTGGCAGAGGTGAAGGACCGGGTCAGGTAGAAAGTGAAGCGAGGGTTTTTGACCTCTGCCAAATTCCGGGAATTGCACGCCAGAAGCGAAACTCAAATGTTCTCGCTTTTTGACTTTTTCAGGGATTTGCAGATGTCGAAGCGTCGCGAGAGCGCTCCAGTGCTGAATGATAATCATGAGCAACGCACCGAGCAGTATCGGCAGGCGATGCAGGACTTCACGGATTGGCGCAAGGAGAATTGCAATTCACAGAAGAGCAACATGAACAGCCTCTTCGCCAAGGGCTCCAGCTCCATTGGCGACAAGTCCTCGCCCACGTACGCTGAGATTGACGATCGGATTCCTGAGGAGGGCAACACGCCTCCTGAGGGATTCTTCCGCTCCAACTCCATCCCCAATTTGGCTCCGTCGCCGCACAAGAGCTCGGCGATGCCGCAGAAGAAGCCCCAGAAGGCGAGGAGCCACAGGAAGGGCAGAGCTCCGCCGCCGCCGCCTCGCTTCAACGCCAATGCGCCTCTGCCGGCGCAGCCGAAGCCAAAGAAGAGCAGCGCAGTGCCCAAGAACTGCTTGCAGCCGATGGAGAGCGAGAAAGACGGCGAGGACACCGACGGGACGCGTTTCAGTGGAAACTACAGGAGATTCGACGTTGATTCCGACGCGGGCATCAAGCTGAGTGCGCCGAAGAAGTATCCGCGCCGTCTGAACGTCGTGCCGAAGCCCGCGGCGATGAATGCGGCTGAATATGACGAAGTGATCAATGAGGGATTCCGCTTCCTGAACGAGCACTGCCAGAATCTGGACATCACACTCGATGAGTACCTCAAGCGCAACAATGTGCCCGTCACTGACCTGGACAAGTCCGATGGCGACTCGTCAGATGAGCAGCGAAAGGGTGAGTTTTGGAATGAATCTGATGGGAAATTGAAAGAGATTTTATTGAATTTATAGGGGAAACTCAGAGAGAAATCTTCATATTGGTCAAATTTCCTTAAATTTCTTATCAAATTGCAATCCAACAAACGTTTTGGGACGTTTATTGTTAATTTTCTTGTCAAGAATCCCTGAATAATATTAAAAGATTGCACAAAAACCTCTTCAAGAGGAAAATAATGAGTCAAAGATGCCTTAAAATGGTTGATTTTGGAATAATCTGTTGATTAGCAATTGCATTTACGCCCTGTTTTTCCTTCCACAGACTCTTTGTCGTCCTTCGGGGGCTTGCAGCAGCAGACCATCGACACATCCGTGCTTGATCCGTTCTACAATCGCATCCAGGACTTCATGCGAATGCAGACTGTGACGATGTGCATGGCGAATGAGGTGCACCGTCGTGTGCCGGCGCCGGGCAGCACTCTTCTCACGCCGCTCGAGTTCTCAGCCGGTGAGTTCAGGAAGTCCTCGGTGTCTGTGCGAAAGTATTCACTGGGCGAGGGTGAGGATTACGGCGCTGCCGATGTGGCGTGCAAGCGAGACTACGAGATACTCGCCAATGTGCGTCACGAGCACGTGAGCGTGCTGATGGCTGTGGTGATGGACAGGGAGTTGAATCAGATCAATGTCATGATGGAGCCTTTCACCTGCTCACTCAATCACTATCTGTACAAGGAGAACAAGGAGTTTTCCGTGGATGAAACAATTACGATTGTGCAGCAATTGTCATCTGCTGTGCAATATTTGCACGAAAGTGAATACATCCATTCGAACATCTCCAGTCACACCGTGATGATGCGCTTGTCACCGCGTGATTATGGCGCTAAAACACGTCGCTATCCCGTGTGCGTGAAACTGATGTGCTTTGAATTGGCCACGAGTGTCAAGTACGACATTAAGAAGAAACTGGAGCAAACTTACGGCCGTCAGGGATATTTTAACGGCGTGGATGGATTCACTGTGATGGGAAAGACGAGGACTTTGCCACCAATGAGTGACACGGTGGACAAGGAGAAGTATTTGGCGATGTCACGAGATCTCCACCGTGGCAAAATTGTGCCAACTGTGAGAGCAACAAAGATGGATTTCATTGATCCAGCTCACATGCCATATTCTCAAGCGTACAGACAGACTTTCTCCCTGCATTACTATCAAGCGCCGGAACTTGTGAAGTCTCGGGCGCTGTTTGTGGTGCCGCGCAAGGAGTGCGACATCTACTCACTGTCCGTGTTGCTGTGGGAGATGCTGAACAAGTGCGTGCCGTACGTGATGTACACGTATGATGAATTGGAGACAATTCACGCAGCTGGAAGATCTCAAATCCCAATAATTGATGATGAGCGTTGTCGCTTCTTCGATGAAGTATTCTCATTGGGTTTGGCTTCGAGGACCAAGGATAGAATAATCTCACCACCACACTTTGACTCTCTCCTGGAGGATGTGCGCTTTATGCATCAGAAGAGAATTGAGAAGGAGCAGATGGAGAATGATGACATTCAGAGGTCGCAGCACATGAAGAACATCACGAATGCTGAGAGGAATGATAAAGTGCAGAAGAAGGATTATCATTTGGCCAGAATTGAGGACATCTTGGACAATGTCACGCTTGAGAGTGCAAATCACAGTGTGTTCTTTGAGAGGGCAGAAAGTTGCAAGGATGAATTGTTGGATGGGAATTTCAAGGAGCGCAAAAATCAGCGTACAAACGGCGAATTGAGCCTCTCAATTGCCTCTGTGGGTAAATCTGCAGGCTCTAGCTTGATGGACAGTGCCAGGAAGAAGCGTTCAATGCTTTACTCTCAACTGTATGAAGAGAAGCCAAATGATACATTCTTCAATCTCTCCCAATCGACGATCTTCAACAGCAATGCAGACTTCCATAATAAGCTCCTGGAGACGGCCAAGGAGGGTGACAAGCTGGAGCGCACGAGTACGACGAAGAAGAAGAAGCCCAGAGAGATTGGCAATGCCAAGGATCTCTTTGGTGGTGACAATGAGGTGAAATCTCGTCGGAATCTGAATGAGAAGATTGAATTTGCGGCCAATGAATCGTCGACAAAGGATGATTCACTGAAGAATGTCTCCATGAATTCGGGCTTTGTGGAGAGAGCGAAGGCCAGACTGGAGAAGTGTATTCTCAATGGGAGTACAAATGTGTCTTCTGAGGAGGAAATTGACGCGGTGAAGAAGACTTTCTCGCCTAGCAAGTATTCCTTCAATGTTGGACAGTGTGATTTGCCCAAGACGAACATCGCGAGGAGGAACAAATTGAGACGCTATGCTTGGCTATCAGAGAAGAAACCATCAATTTCACCGGGTGGAAGTTCCTTCAACTTCCTGTCGGATGAATCTGGCCAGAATGCTGCTCTGCAGGGCTTCAATTTCACCAATCCGATGCAGAAGAAGGCGGAGGAAGAGAAGGCTTTCCAGGCTGATGTGGCTGTGGATGAGCGACGTGGAAGCACATGCAGCATCTCGCTGAATGACTCATTCAGGGAGCGCAAGGTGAATGTGAATCTGAAGGTGAAGCACAATGATCAGGAGATCTTCAGCAATTCCTTCACCAGCGAGGAGGATCTTCAGGCATTCATGACGAAGAAGATCAGTCAGATTCACGTGGATTTGTTCAAGAACAATGGGAATGATCAGGCGGAAGTGGCTTCGTTGAATCCCAAGATGGAGATCAAGATGATTGGACATCGTGGTGAAGAATCGTGTGAGATTCAGCGAGAGATTCTGGATTTGTCAGCGCAAATTGTGGAGAAGTTTGGCAACCATAATAACAGTACGCTGGATGAGACGCAGGAGAAGAGCTCCTTCGAGAGGGATTGCCGACGCATGATGATTGTTAGGCCGGACACTCTGCAGGCGGCGATCAGGAAGCAGAGGCGCGCAACGAAGGAGGATCTGGAGCGCTTTGAAAACTCGCTGTGGCGCCGCGAAAAGAGCTTCTGCGAGAGAACGTCATACAATGGTAGTCTGGGCGAGTCTGATGGCGAAGATGCGGAGAATTGCGCTGCGTTGGCCAATAAGAAAGGTACGAAGTCTGGCAGTGAGGTGAGTCGTTGCTGATCACCTCTGTAAATTTAGACTCCTTCACTCAACACAAGTCTTGTTCTTTTCGCAGGATTCCAAGCACGAAACGGAAGATCTGTACATTGATGATGATCTCTCGCATTGGCCGGCGCTGTGTGTTAATGTGGATTTGGACTTTCTTAAGAAACCTCAAGCGTGAGGACACATATTTGGTGAAATTCCTTTCTTTTTTTTAAACACTGATAACTATTATTGTAGCGTGAAAAATTGAAAGCTTCTTGAACTCCGTGGCGAGGAGAGAAATAGTGAGATGATGATGATGAAATTAAAGAGGTTTATCAATGACGGTTGATCTTTGTTGAGTGTGTATCAGAAAATTTCTTGCTAATGTAGTCGAGTATTGAGTGTGAACAGAAGCGTTTGTACTTTGAGCAATCGCCAGATTGGCCCAATTCCTCTGCCCGGTAGAATTCCGCGTGCAGATCTTCGCGAGCGGAAGTTGAAGGACTGCAAGGAAACACATCGTTAAATTCTCATCTCACTGAACTCTTCCAGTGACTTCCTCACGTTAGGATGATGTGAATGATGTCGCCAATGAGTCCGTTGTGCTCGCAAATCGGCTCCAGAGCTTCCTCGCATATCGCCCGCAGGAGACAAGCTCTGCCTCTCACGCCTGACCATCGCAATTTGCTCTCCAGCGCCTTGTAGACTTTCTTCCTGCTGAACAGCGCTTCACTGGGCGATCTCAGGCTGCGTTCGATGATCTCCAGGCGATCCAGAGGACCAGGAATGAGATCTGACGCCACCGTTGGCATATTATAGTTGGCCTCGAAGTTGTAGGACACAAAGACGTTCCTGTGCGGAATGATCAGCGGCACGGCGATCGCCACTAGAACGCCAGTTGCGCTGTTGTAGGGAAAGGCGAGCCATCGTTTCTCCCTTCCCGGCACTTTTGCGGCACTTTCACTCAAAACAACCCCAGAAAGCACAGCCAGGGCGGCGAGAAATTGGGTGAAATCCATGCTTCTTGGGCGTGAAGAAAAGACTGACGGGAAAATCCATCTGCGAAACATTGTGGGCAATTATTTGATTTACGGTACGATCAATTATCTGTGGATTCTGTGTGTGTGTGTGTGTGTGTGTGGGCGAAGAGAAGGGAACTCCTGGAGAGCTGGAGAGATAAATAGATCTGATTCACGCTAACGGGAGCACAACAGGTGATAATTGGGTGAATAGAAAAGTCCAGACAGAGCACTGATCGAGACAAGGTCAGCTAAGATTGGAGCAAAACGCGACTTATGAGATCCAAAATGCATTCTGGACAGTGTCTGGAGTACTTCGAGCAGTCCCCAGAGCGTCCCAGCTCCTCAGCTGCGTAGTATTCCGGATGGAGATCCTCGTGATCCGATGTTGAGGGTCTGCAAGAGGTTGTGAAGATCACTAGTCTTTTTGTGGGGGTTTATTTGATCCTTACGTGAGAATCACGTGCAGAAGATCTCCCAGAAGTCCGTTGTTATCGTGAAGAGGACTTTCTGAGGCCTCACAAATCGTCCTGAGCAAACAAGCTCTTCCCTTGTGACCGTGACTGCAAGGATAAATCTCTTAGTGATCATCATGATCGACGAATGCCTTCAGCACAACTTGCAAACCATTGAAGATAGCTTTCCAGCGTCCTGTAGATTTTCCTCCTGGTGAAGAATTGACCGGAAGATCTCTTGTGCACCGTTGAATTCCTCGTGATCACTTGTGCGTCTCCTTCCAGTCCGCGATCGACGATCTCGAGCCTCTCCAGAGGTCCTGGAATGTAATCTGCAGCTTCTTCTGGCATCCCATAATTCGCCTCGAAGTTGTACGAAAGAAAGACATTTCTGTAGCGAAGATCAATTGGAACGGCGATCGCGACGAGGATCTGAAGAGGATTTATTTTCTCTTTCTTATCGAATATTATTTACACTTTTCAGCGGGAAAACTCACTCCAGTCGCACTGTCGGGCGGAAAGGTGAGGAATCTCTTCTGCCTCTCTTCACTCTTGATCGCCAGTGCGAAAAGGATCACGAGAAAGGCGGCGATTTTCATGCTTCTCGCTGTCGATCGTGAAAGCAACTGAATTGTCTATTCAGAATGATCTATTTGTGCGGGTGAGAAGATCAAAAAGCCACTATTTGATCTTCGGTATTGCTCTATTAGAACAAGAGGCCGAAAATACTGATCGTGACTGATAAACCCAGAAAAAGTGTGATTTTAGGCCACGCTGGGAATTTTCCTTCTCTAAAAATACACATTTTTATTGTGATTCAGGCTTATTTCTGCACACTATGGAAATCCTTCTGTACTTCTTCACTGCTTTTCCCTCGAAAAATGAGTCCTTGTTGCCCAGAATCTCGTGAGTGAAGTTGTATCTTGCGCTTTTCCTGGATAAAATCACATCAAAGATTCTTAGAAAGGATGCAATTTGGCAATGGAATTTACTATCAAGGCTTTACCTCATGATGTAGAGCGATCTCTTGGGCAGGAGGATATTCACAAAGTACCCAGGATCCGTGGAGTTCTCGGCAGACTTGTCCGGCTGTTTCCTGTAATCACTCTCTGCATTTTGCTGGTACTTCTTCTCATCTATCCTCACCAGGCGCATCACGCTGTCCGACAGAAGACTAACGCCGGCGATTGTGGAGCCGCAATACTGCAAATCCGGGGAGAAAATCTCACAATCTCATCAAGGATCACGCCAAGAGACTCTCTCACCCTAACACTGTCCACGTGAGGCTTGATCACGCCCTCTTCTGCGAGATCCAGGATGTGAACGTGAGGCAGAGCCTCGTCTTTGAACGCCAAATTGCGGATTCTCTCAATGGTCGCCTTGTTGTACGGATACCAGTGCTGTCTCTCCGTCTCCCTGAAACCGTGAATCGCCTTCAATTAACTCAAGTGTAGAAGTTGACCAGGAAATCGATGGTCAGCACTTACGTCATCCCAATGATCGAATTCATAGCGCATCCTTTGGAGATAAGGCTCGATTTCTTCGAGGAATTTACTGACTTCCTCGCGAGAGAGGAAGTCAGGGATGATTGTCATGTGTCTTAGGAAGTCACTGTAGTCTCTTTCTGGCCAATCCTTGTGGAATTCCATGAATTGAGGAACATTTGAGGCACCTTGAAGGTTCATTGATTCAGTGAAATTGCTATTGTTTGGCACTAAAATCACTTACTTGAGGCATTTCTTCTGCAATTCCTGATTGCTGACTTCAAGAAGCTCCTTCTGAAGCTGATAATGCACCTCAACATCACCATTTTCCACTATTTTCCTCACCTTCTTCTACCGCCTCTTATCAAACTATCCGCCAAACAGCTGACTGTCCCACGATTCTGGGACACTCCGGAAGGTTGTCCGAAAAGCCGTTGGTGGCGCTCAAAGAGCGAATTTGTGCGCGCCAAAAACGGTTGAAGGGGAAATTTTCCACCGTAGAAAACGTGCATTTTCTCGAGGCACAATCATCTGTTGCTGTCGTGGCGGACGCTTTTCCGTTGGCGACGCCGTCGCGCATGTGCGACGCCCCCACTCACCGGAGCGCGATGAGAATTTGGAGCCCAGTCGTGAGTTTCCCCGATTTTCCAACAGTCTCCGCAGTAAGTTCATCACGAGTAGTTGGGCCGTTTTTGTTCGTGCGTGGGTGAAAGAAAAAATTGTCTCTTTTTTCCTTCCTTGAGTTCTCCAGTGGTTTTTTGAGTGTTTTGTGGCCAGTTTGGCGGCGCTGGGCCGAGGCGATGGGGATGCACTTCCGGTAGGCGCCCTGGCGGCCCCACTCTGTCGACCAGTGCCCGTCGTCTGTGGGGCTCGGGCGGAGCTCCTCGAGTGCGTGGCGCTCTGTGTGTGTGTGCGGTCGGGAGATGCGGAGAGGAAAAAAGACGTCGTCACAGTGCAAATGGGGGGCAGGACGGTGGGAGGATTATTGACCGAAAAGTGGTCTCATTTTTCTTCCACTTCTTGTGTCCCTCCCGGACGCACGGAGTGAAAACTCCAACGCCCCTCGTCTATTATTAATTGGAGCCTTGTGTGAGCCTCTCGGCTGCAAATTGCTCACTATTACTTATCGCCCAGGGAGTGAAAAATCCCGCCAAACGGGGCGCTTTCCTACTCCCCAATCCCCCACAAAATCTCTCCAGATTGTGGCTCTGGGCGCTCGCGAATTGCGAGAAAAGACTCGCGCGCGCGATATCACGAAAATAGATTTTCGGTAAACTTGTCGGGGAATTTTCACTTTTGTTTATATTAATAATCGATAAATAAAAATATATTGGCGCGCTCCGTGTGTGCTGCAAATCGGAGGAGTGTGAGAAAATGAGGAAATCCACAATCGGTGAAAAGGAGGTGCACGCGAAGCTCTTCCCGCGGAAGAGATTCGCAAAAGTGCTTGCTGCGATCTGATACAAAGAGTTGAAAAAGAGTTTTTTCGATTAAAAGAGGATCAAATTTGGCTGGAAACGTATTTTGGTGGCAGTAATAGATTTTCCAACATGCTTTTTTATCCTTTTTATTCATAGTTTTGGGTTGAAAATTGTTAAAACGTTAAAAAACATAGTTTGAATTATGACAAATTGATCATTTAGAATACTTTAAAACAGCATAAAATTAAGAAAACTACAAAAAATTCGTAAAATGTTTGAATGTGGAAAAATATCACTCATTTTTGCAAAGATCTTTGAACTTTGTAGAAATAAAGGTCAAAAATGCGTCACTTTATGCCACACATTTGTCACAATTAGTTAATTGCATCCCAAGAGCTGATTTTATTGATCTAAAATTAGCATTCATCAGTACCATATGTTTTAACCTTGGTTTTAACTAAAATCCAGAAAATAATTATTGTCAGAGTCGACATAAATTCTCGTAATACGGCGCAATGTTCGCGAGATTATGTGGAAAGCTTAATAGTTGATTAATTATAAATGATAATTAATTATAGACCATTTCTACCAAACTTTCAACTACAATTCTATCTCAAAAAGCACAAATAAGTGTATTGATTGCTTTGTGATTCATGAGAATCGACTGCCCAAAATTGCCTCGTTTGCGCTGTTGGGCAAAAGGAAAAAACACGCATTTTGCTGTACAGCAGGAATCGCCAAAAGCCCTAATACTTTTGCGAACTACAACTTTTCAATAGGCTATTAATAGACCATCGAGCATTTCGACAGTGGCCTTTGCGAACTCCCCGAAGAGCAATGATCAGACCATTCGGGGCAGCGTGACTAAACGCAAGTCTTTCTGCGGGATTACGTGGAAAAGGGCAGAAAAAGGGGTTCGGGCGAAGAAGTGGACACAAAGGGCACATAAAATGACAAAATGAGTGGAAAAATGCGAACGAGAGAGACGGGAAATTTCAATAGACGATGAAAAGCCTGCCATTTGCGGACTCAATTGTGGCGCTCCTGCACGGGAAAATCCCACCCGTTGGAATTCCCGGTCGCCCTTGAAGATAAATTACATTGATCCGTGGGGTCGGAAGATTACACTCCCTGTCGCATGTAATCCAGCGTGGCATATTTTATGCAAAATGTTTGTACATCCCGCCCCTCCCGCCCGCCAAGCGGCGCTCTGGAGACGAGGGTGGACTTGATGGATGTCGAGCATGTAAACAAGATTGATTTTGAGCACTCTTCGGGCGCTGTTTGGACGTGCAGAAGGAGCCCAAATGACCGATGATACTTTAAAAGCGCCAGTAAAACACTTGAACAATAATTCTGAGGGTAATTGAGCCGCGGAAGCAGTCGCCAAGGGGGAGATATTGCAATTGGAAGTGTTGCACAGTTCAGTGTGATTTTGACTCGCAAAATGGTTCTTTTTCACAAATTTTGTTGCACATGAAATTGCAGAAATTAGCATTTGAATCTCATATGTTGTAAAAAGTGGCACTAAAATGAAACAAAGCTTTGAAAATATAACTTTGAACTTTGATTATGTTCATTTTGAACTCATAATCAAGTCATAAAATTGTAAATATTGCCCAACTTTGCTAAAAATATAGCGAATTTTAGTGGTAAACTTTTTAATTAGTTTTGAATAATCGGATATTTGGCACAGAAACACTGTTTTAATGGTAGGAAATTGATTTTCTATTTATATTTTTAGTTTATAAACTCCACAATTCATTGAGAAATCAATCGTTTTATCCTTTCATTCAATTGATGGCGTATTTCTTAAAAATCTACCTTAATGACGCGTTCTTGAACTGGTTAAGATTCTCAATAGAAATTAAGGAAGTGACCAAGATATGATATCGTATATTAACTCCTCCTTGGCACGCACATAAATCTCCCACTCATCATATAAATTGCGGGCAAAATTGCTAGAATAACACGTTGATATTTAGTTCTCAATTGAAACTCTATCGAGCGAATGACCATTGTTTGATCCCAATATAACAGCAGAATTGCGGGTGTTTTGCTCATGGTTTGTCCCATTCTGCAGTTCAGCATCTCTTGATGGCCTCATTTCACATTGTATATATTGCTTCATCTGCAAATACACCATAAAATCGTCCGAAATTCACTCAAGTTTCTAATTTTGCCGCAATTACTGTGAAAATATTCATGGGAAATCCACTGTGAGAGCTTCTCATGTGGAATTGTTGGTTTGATTTCCCAGGAAATCAGGACAAATGTCACAGAATAACTTTATGATTGATATTCTCTCGGCATTTCCCCCAACTTTCTTGCAACTCACACACAGATTGTGTTCCATTTTGTCAGCACTTCACACACACAAACACGGCAAACAAGATGCTGATGGTGAAAAATGATTTGCAGCATTTGAATGCGTAAAGAAAATTCATCGAACAAATATTTAAAAATCCACCAGACATTATAAGGCTTCTCATCTTGAAATTGCGCTTTAAATGGACAACACAAACTGACATGATTTCGCAGCATCGCCATGTGGATAAACAGAGAAGATAAAAGTGTTTCCATGAATCTTTAAAAAGCATTGGCAGAGGAAACTTTTTGCCTGACTCATCCATTAGTTAAATAAATTAAAAGGAATCGTGATCCAATAAAGAAATCACGATAAAAAATCTCAATTGTACTTTGGAAGTTGCAACAGGGGAAGATATTCGCATGGAATTTATTTGCTAGCCAGCAATTTGAACAATTCAGCCCGGACACGTTTTATTATTTCATGTACAGTCTGAAATTGGACCATATTTTATTTCACACTCTCTCTTCCTTTCTCTCGTGTCCTTTTTTGGCCAGAAAATTTTATCTAATGCCGTAAATTTACGCTTTTTCCCCTTCACGACTGTGGAAAGTTTGTCGCCCCTCGCAAAAGGGGAAAACAACTGATAACAACTGAAAAAAACTTATTTCTTCTTCTCATACCAACATTTTTACGAATACGAATATTTTTGTTATAATAATTTGCATTGGCATAAAAACTAACATTTCGGAAGCTCCGCCCTCTCGAAAGCCACGCCCATTTCCATTACTAGTGCAACTTTTTCATTTGTAATCAGGAATTCTATGAGAATAGCCTAAAATTGAAGTCACCTTATTATCTGAACAGTGTTTGATCAAGTGATGGAATATTGCGAGTAATTCCAACTTTATATTGCATACATACCACAAAGTTAGCTATTTGTTCGCCCCATTTTCCCTCGCATGAAAATGAGTAACACTGCGCACACACACAAAAAGGCGGCTGTAAATTTGTGCTTAAAAAGAATTTAGTCCACAATTTTCTAGACCCACAAATTTCTGCCCCATTCTATGGAATGTTAGAGCATGATTCATGGGGAAAAGTCATTTAGAAAATTCCCATTCTTCTGCCTGTCCACGTGTTCATGCGTTTGTGTGTGTGTGTTTTTTTGTGGTGTGAAAAGCGCGCGGTTTGGAGCACAAATGGTGAGGCGAAAAACAAGATGTTTCTATTAGCAGTTCCACTTGTAAACACTCTTTAAAGTGCTGAAGATTGAAAAATTTAGTGGTGCTGAATGAACGACAGAACGAATTAAAAGAAAACTTTGGAAAGTTCCTAATTTAATTACCCGCACACACAAGTTGAGGAATTGAAGTGAGTGAAACTTCCTGTGAATTGCTGGCGGTTTTGCCCCAAGGATTCAACTTTCTCTACTCTCTATTGCAAAAAACACATTCCAGCAGCACTCTTTCTTTCCGCCGCAGAGAAAAAAAAACAGGGAATTCCAAGAAGCTGAGGGCGGAAAGGAGGGGAAAAAAGAAGCTATAATCCGTCAACGTGGGATAAAATATATTCCATCTCTCTATAATGAATGCAATTTATCAAGAAGCGCCCGGCATTTCTAGCTTTCCCTCACTTCAATTACTTTTCATGTCA